AACTGCTTGGAGCACTTGAAGTGCCCTTTATTTATATTACGTGTTGCCTTCACACATTTTTGTTTAAGTAGGAAATGGAAAAGGAGCAGTACACTACTCTCTTCCATTATTGCTAACATGATTTCACTGCAGTGCAGTATTTTTTTTATTCACCAGCCCTCTCACGATGCAACAATCCACCAAGCACCGTCAACGGAGATGATTTCGTTGCTCCGTCTCCGTTATCGCCATCCTTTCAGGAATGTTCCCTCCCTTGGCTGATAATCCGTCGTTGGTCTCGACCAACAACCCATCATCCTTTCCAGTGACGTGCCTTGTGCATGCCCACTTCCTGTTATTCACACCATATTTTCCCAATATGACGTCTTTATTACTTGCGTACAATGTCTGATGCATGCGTTCCTCTTTCTGTCTCTTCAGTTTAATTCCGCGAATGCATCTCGCCGTGCTTTTTTGCGTAATTTTCAGCACTCGTTCCTTTTTTTGTAATTTCCCAGGTTTCAAAGCAATGTGTAAAGGGGGTAATACTGATTCTAGATTTGAAGCTTTCGTGACTGCAAGGATTCATATTCTTAGGTTTTTTCGGTAAAGTCACGTAGGTAAAAAATAAAAATTAATAAAAAGTAAAATAAAATTAAAATCACGACGTTTCGGAGGCAACACAAGCTTCCGTCTTCAGGTGGAACCGTCACAGCACGATAGCTGTATCAAGTAACGGAGCTGATTTCGTTGCTCCGTCTCCGTTATCGCCATCCTTTCAGGCGCGTTCCCTCCCTTGGCTGATAATCGTTCGCCCTTAGGCTCGTCTGGATTTTGCTTTTATGCTTTTCATTCAAGCAGCTGGCACACCGTACTTAAAAACAACTGCATCATAATCTAGCACAAGATAAAAAAAAATTTGCACAATCCAGGTGTGGCTGATGAAATAAGCAGGACCTATAATAAACAGATAATCCTCATTAATGCCATCAGATCAGCAGTCAATCTGAATACAATGGTACTTCAGTTATCCCTTCAGGCCACAGCACAATGCGTGTGCACGTGTGCGTGTACTCCACGTGGAAAAAAATACGACTGAGATTGATATCTCCGCATGGACAAAATCAGCAGTTTTTGAGATGGATATCAAACTGTGTGTGTGTGACTGATTTCTGTTGGTCGCTTGTTACGACAAATAGATTAGTACAATAATACTGGATGTAACTGGTTAGTGCTCGGTGTGGATTCTTTTGAGTTTAAGCCTCGTCCAAGGGGTTGATTCAGCCCAGCACCGCTCCAGCATCAATTCAATGACTACCGCATTATTGGGAAGTGAACAGAAGTCACTAAATTGACAACTCATTTATTTGTAACTGTTTTTTTGTGTTTAGTTGTCATTCCCGTGCACCCTCCAATTATCATGGTTGGCAACACAAGAAGTTCAACATCGTGATAATTGGTTCTTTACCCTTCTATCTGGCAACTGAGGTCCCCATAGTGTAGATGCTTGCCCCGAGCTCTCATACTCTGATGGTGCATTGTCCTTGAGTTGTGCGCCTTTTGGCGTCATCTGGTCCAACCCATATGAGACTAGGCTCGAAGGAAAGCTGTCTCGGGTGTGGACCAATCAACTTCAAGGACAGTGCACATTATCAGAGTTATGTTCTTTTGTTTGTATTATGACTGCAGGTATTGCGGTCTATGCAAACATGACTCCTTGCAAAAAGGTGTCAGTTTTGTTGCCAGATAGAAGGGTAAAGAACCAATTATCATATTTTTACTGGCAAATGAGGTCCCCATAGTGTAAGTTCAACATCCACGCCTAGTCCTCATGTGGAGAGGATTGGCCCCTGTCATTGGAATGTGGAAATGCCACCACGGCTGAAATCGGGCACTCCCCCCCCCCCCCCCCCCCCCCACATTGCTCGTTTGAGTAGCTATTCTCGTTGATTCTGACTCGTTTCTTATTTTGTTCGTGTCGGTGCCAACATAGTTGACGACATTCTGCACAGGTAGCATCTTCCCCACAGGTGTAGATGGAGGCATTAAAAGGACTCGCTGGCTTTTCAGCGAGTGCTTTGGTATTTTTTTTCAACAGCACCACTTTTCTCACTCGTCATTGGCCGTATGGCACTTGAATGGCTAAATTGTTGACTGACCGGAAAAAAAACCCCACCATTAGGATTCTTTACTTGCCACTTATCTTGACAGCATCATTGTATAATTGATGATGCATGATGCCCATGTCAAGTCTGTCGGATGTACTATTTCTATTCCTTTACATTGGACATCCATTTTTTCTCTGCACATGACTGACTCTCTCAAGAAAATATGCCCACTCTTTCTGTCCAGCGTCTTGAGATGTCACATTTTGTTAACACTCATTAATTGGCAGACCACCCTAGTATATCGTGGACTGCAGAGCTGGGGGTGGTGGAATTTAGTACGGGCTCACCATGTGGCTGCCTTTCCCACTCGCCTGTGGTTCATCCTCGGCCCTCCGAGTCGTTCTCTGTCTTCGAGAGTGAGCGAACACTGTGTGCTTTACCAGTTCAAATTAATATTAAACTATTATCCATGAATGCTGCAAACACTCCAATTACGCGCGGTCCTAATTTTCTTATTTTGGGCAACTTTGCCATGGAACGGCATCCCATTACCTGCAATATTTTTCATGGGTAAGAGTCGCCGCGCGGCAAATTACGCCAATCATCCGCGTTTTTTGTCGCGCATGAGCGTAGTAAATTTGCGTGTCATAGGATCGTCGATTACGGCTCGCCATATCACAACGGATAAGAGGGGTTCTGTATATAGCACAGAAAAACGAGTTGTGCGTGTGGAGTTTTGTATTTAATGTACCACGTAAACCACCGGTACCATTTGAGGCAATGCTAATTGCTTTGCGCCGCACCACAACTCAAATCACGTAACCCAAACAACCTTCGAATGATTTTTCACATCCCCTGCGGGGCCAGAAGCGATTGTGTCATCGCCCCAACGCTGACACCGACGAGTGAAGACGGCGAGTGGCTTAGGCCCCCCCCCCCCCCACCGCGTCTTGCTCAATGAGACTTTGTACAAGAGTGACGCAGACCCACGTCCTACGCGCACCACACAAATGTCCAGTGTTTGCGCAACCCCTGACGATGCTCATTTGCGCGTTCACATCGCCCATGTGACAGCTGACCGGCTGGACTGATGGGTCCGAGTGGTGGTGGCGGCGCGGTGAGTTTAATATTCGCCGTCAGTTGTGGTCACTGCTGAGGAATTGATGGGTGGCTTTTTGGTCGGAATAATTGGATTGTTGCATTGATAAGAGCCAGTTGTGTTTTGCCGAGGTCACGAGCCCCCGATGTAGTTGTAACTCGCTTGTTTTTGTTTTAAGTTGTGTCGTTTGAATCGCAGGCTGGAGTTTTGTTGCAGTCTTCAATTTACCAGTTCATGTGTGGGATATGTATTTCAATGTGTTTTGGTCTTTCAATTTGGTTCACGTGTTCTCTTATATTTTAATGCCTTTTTCGCTTTCGGTCTTAAACAGAGCAAGATGACATTAACACACCGGTGGGCTGAAGTAGTAAACTAAATGGCACGTTGTTTACATGACAAACCTTACGGGTGGTGGAGGGTTACGACACATTTATACTTACGCGATCTAACTAAAAAACAACTTTATTATGAATAACATTGGTCGCGAAAGCCGACGTGTTAATGTGAAGTTACTTCCTGTTTCAGGAGCCACTTTGCGGTTCGTTTGTACCAGCAGGAATCGGAACGTGGGTTAGTTCATTGTGATGTGAAATATGATTGCCATGTACTGTATAGCTAGGGGTGTTTAATAACTTATTTGTTTAAATGTTAAATTTCCCGTTTTCAAATCAAACAAGGCCTACAAGTGACACATACAAGTCCAATGCTTGAAACGACTATTTAACAAAAGAAATGCATTTTTACCAGGAACTCTTAATTAGTATCCCAACAAAAAATACTACGTACAAACTTTGCTACGGATTGTGACTTCTAATTCACGTCATATGTACGATTACTCCCAACGTGTTGACAGACCCAGAAAAATAATCGGGCATGGGAGATTATTGGTAAATGAATGCCGCTGGTATGGATACGCAATACTCATTTATCTGTCCTTATCATCGGCCTGTGTAAGGAGACGTTGAAATTCATATTTAAAAATACAACACTAACAGGACACAGCATAATACAACACCTGCGCAGTGTGTTATACAAGTCCTGCACTTTTCCAGGTGTGTTCTGCGGCGTCGTGTTTCATAATAAGCAAACGCTCGTGAAAATATGATCACGTGTGTTTATTTCCCAACTTGACCCCTGTAAGTATTGTTGTTGGTGGGCGTGGGCGTCCTGCTCTGAGTGTGACCCCTTTTCCCCACATTTCCCTCTGCGTTTTAACGTTCAGTGCCACCTGTCTATCAAAGTACAAACGTTACAAGTGATCTCTCCCACCACCGATTGATACATCGTCTTAACATACGGAACTGGTTTCTAATTGTCGATTAGAAGATCGGTGCGGGTCTATCGCGTAGCAAGAAAATGTCGAGAATTTTACAGAATTTTCAGGTTTTCGCTATTTTGTGCTGTTTTAAACTACCGGTAATCATCTCAGCTGAACATTCTTGGCTCACGTCATCGCATGCCGTTCGTGGCTCTTCGTTCGTATGGCTGATGTCGATGCAGAGTAACAACTACAATTTCACATTCAGGTGGTCAAGCCAGATAACCGCATCAGGAGCAGCGGAGTAGTGTATCGCTGTGATGTCTTCTTCATATATTTATGGATAGGGCATGGCGTCGTGATACATTGTACTATCTGTTCTGAATGACCACAGTCGTACACTGTGCATCAGGTATCCGCATCTACTGTCATGGTTGGTGCAGTGGATGCGGTTTAGGGGGGGTGGACCATGAGCAGCTTCGTGGAAGATCACACCCAGGGATGTTATGCGTTGGGTTTTCACAACAAGGCGGTGTTTGTGCGTGGCTCTGCACAGTGCTGACTGACCGATGATGGCGTCGTCGCCTGCGAGCGTGCCGGCTGGAAGCGTTCTGCTGCTGCTGCTGCTGCTCTGCGCCCTGTGCGCCTCCCTGGACTCTGGCTACCGCAGTAACGCAGACATCGAGCGTTACCTAAAGGAGGTCAACGGAAAATTCCCCAACATCACCCACGTGTACAACATCGGCAGGTCCTCGCAAGGTGAGACACGTGCGGCCCCGTCGACAGCTAACGTAGTTTTAGCTGCCCGCTCCAATTATCCTCGTCATCATCGTTTGGTCGTCTTCACCATCATCATCGTCCTCATCGTTGGTCGATACCATACATGGCAGCTGTCATCTTCTACGATGCCATCGTCACCGTCATCCTTGGTCATCATTGTTGTCTTTGGCGACTGTCATCATCAGCCACATTAACTGTCATTATCATAATTTTTTTATTATTGTAATGTATTTGATTTTTATTCAGTTTCAAATAATTTGTTTTTTTTGTGCACTTTTTATGTAGTTGACACTTAAACACGTCTTACCATACTATTTTATTTAGATTATTTGTAAAAACAAATGATTATTCGCATAATGCATAGTTACTTTTGTAATCATTATTTTTAGTCATGTTCAGTATCTTCAGCATCAGCAACATCGTTATCTTCATCTTCCTTATCATTTTCGTCATCATCTCTTTGACATTTATCATCACCGCTATTTTCCAATACTGTCATAATCATCATTATTTCAAGATGATTTTAGCATCCATTTGTTCCCAACAGGGGTGACTCTGTGGGTCATTGCGATCGGGAAACACCCACAAAAACACACCATCGGCATTCCGGAGTTCAGATATGTGGGCAACATCCACGGAAACGAGGTGAGTTCTATCCACGCCTTGGTGACACAATAGCACGCACTTACGGGTGAGGAAAATCTATACACACACGTTGCTGCTGGACTTCGATGTATGTTGAACTTCTTTCGCACTGTACGTAGCCAACTGTGCTAATTGGAGGTGCGGGGGTAGGACAACAAACTAAACACAAGCAGTTCGAAAGAAATTCGTTTTCATTGCAGATTTAAAAGTGCATAGCTCCAGCGGCTTCCTAATAGCGGACGGAAGAGCGTTCCAGACGGCCGCATACGCATATCTGAAAGTGTACGATACAAAAAAAATTAAGTGCTCACAAACCGTGAAGACGACAAAGCATTAAACAGCTAGTTAACATTTGGCGGCACGAGGCTACGCGTCTTCCCTCTTGTGTCCTTTGCTGTACAGAGGCGATTCTGGGATAAAAATGGGCCCACCACCTAGAAGGGGAGGACCATTTATAACGTGGTGAAACCGGTATCCACACCCTTGGCGTCTTATTCTAAGTGGCATTGGACTGTAAGCGCAGACCTTGGCAGTCAAGATGACCTCTCGAATATAGATAACGCAAAGTAATACTTTGCTTGTATTCAACCAATGGGATGTGTCGAGTGACAGGTGTGGAAAGAAGGCGAAATGGCAACTCGTGTATCTTTTATACACAACTATAATTTTAAATTGATCGGAACTATATGTAGCCACATCTCAATATATCCTGGACAGAAACATTAGGTATATATAATTCTAAATTTTCTTGACGAGAGGCATTTGGTAGCAGAATTTAAACTTGAATTCCTCACCAATCACCCCATGCCCTCTGAATGTGTTAGGATGTTATCTCCCTCGCCTGGTATACAGGAGGTTGTGGGTTTGATCCCGACCCTGACGCCTGTTGTATATTTGGAGTTTGCATGTCTCTACCCTTCATCATGTGAAGTTTTCTCCGGGTCCTCCGATTTTTCCCTCCACATTTAGAATCATGCGTTGAGATGATTTAGCTGCTATAAATTACCGTGTGATAAGCCACTTCATTGAGCTATCGTGTGTGGCCAGGTCGCTTCTGAAAAAGAGCTATACACTATAGCTCAGCAGGATTTACCTTGTGAATAAAACAGTGGAAATAAAGTAAATCAATAAGTCGAGGTTGTAAATCCTGTCTTCGGAGGACGTCAAGCGTACACCACGCGTGTCCTTGGAGAACACTGTCAGTGGGCGTCAGCTCACGGTGTGCTCCGCTCGTCTCTGCAGTACTGCGCCGCAGTCGCATTTGGGTGTTTTTGCTTTCCGTTTGTGGGAAAGGAAAAAACGAGGTTCCACCTTCCGTAGCCAGTTGATACGATTTGACGTGGCTTGTTGCCTGCTGATCGGCAAGTTTCCAGATTCGGTGGCCTGTGAAGACCCACTCTTTCGGGAATCAAGTTTCAGCTGGTGTCATCTTCCCATGTCTTCTCTGCAAACGTTTATAGAACACCACAAGCATCCCATTATAGCCTCCTTGGCAAGTTACAAAGGGCCCACTGAGAATTGTCCGCTGACTGGCCACTGTTAAACTTTACCTTTGGTCTGGGACCAAAAGGGAGACACCGCTGTCTATTTATAGATATGAGCACGAGCCTCAAGGTTTGAGGTCTCAAATGCCCTCACTTGTTTGTGCCACTTTTCACAATGAGCACGGTGTCCAGCACAAAAACACTGCCCCAACGTCAATTTTCTTCCAATTTGTTCTCGGTTATACCACTGCTGTTGATCGATTAGCCAAAGCCATAATGATGATTGTCCAGTACATTTCGTATTTCGCGCCGTTCTAATAGCGGAAGGGCTATCACGAAGGCACTCTGCGTTTTGCAATTCGCGACCGACTCTTTTGGAACACGGAGAAACACCAGAGCGAAAAGGACTGTTTACAAATACGCAAAATGCGTTTTTCCCCGAAGCTGCCCATCAGCTTCAGTACGGATAATTACAAGCTTGCTGAGAAAACCACTTGTCGGAAAGCATTGCACAATCCATGCCTATGCATGGTTATATCCAACACTTGTTTGTAAATTATATTTTCCCTCAGGTTGTGAGTCGCGAGCTGCTGCTCTTCCTGCTGGACGCGCTGGTGGAGGGATACGGCCACGAGGAGGAAGTGACGCGGCTGGTGGACACCGTGCGCATCCACCTCCTGCCCAGCCTCAACCCCGACGGATTTGCCAGCTCTAGGAATGGAGACTGTGACAGTATCATCGGGAGGTCAGCCGCTCGCTCCTTCGTTCATTCATTCATTTGTGAATTTTTTTTAGTAAGAACTCGCCCCAACTAAAGAGGACATCGAAATACTTTACAGTATAAATTAAATGAAGGTAGTCCTACCTATAAAATCAAGACACATATATTAAAATGAGGGGGACATACTCGAGGAAATGCTCCAAGAAAAAAATTAGTCTTGCAGAGTTTCCCCGAACTGTGCGGTGCTCGGAGCCAATCTGAGGACCGGCAGAAGAAAGTTCCACATCTCAGGCGCCACACTCACAAAGGCCCCTGCTACCGCCCAGCGTAGAATGACAAATTCTAGGTTAAGCGAGCAGGGCCTGGCCTGAGGAGCGCGAGGTTACATCTTGTTGTAATCGGTAATAATAATGATAGAAACAGGGAAGATGAAGAAACAATGCATATGCATGCGTCCCCACCTTCATCAACTCACACCGACCAGCATGGTGAAGTATAGTCAGACAACCACCCACATGGCGTGGGGAGACCCGCACGCAGCAGTGTGGATAGACCCAGAGCTGTAAATTATAATTATTATTTTGCATATATATATGATGTAATAGTAGCAAATATCAACAGTCGCGGGGGCCAGGTGGCTCAGCAGATCATGGCTCCGAGAATCTTGCGTTTCAATCCAGGCAGCCGTCTTTGATTAGACCGGATCCTAAACTGTAATGCGCTGATGGTCTCGTTCTCATCATCAATTAATTGCACCAATAATATACCCGGTGATATTAAATTTGATCCTGAACTCGATTTGCCCAAATTCCTGAGTAGCCTACTTGAATCAAATTAGTTTCAATCTCTGAGAATTTAAAAAAATGGTTTGTCATGCAGCAAACATTGCCCTCTGTAGTGGGATATGCGGGAAAGTGCTAACCCCTACTGTGCAGAGCAGAGATGACAGACCATATTTAGAAATGTTGATAAGAAATGCACTGGCTCTCACAGAAAAGGTGATTCATTATATTATCCTCGCCTTGCCAAAGGTATAACTCCAACGGGAAAGACCTAAACCGAGACTTCCCGGATCCGCTGAGCCTGCCGAGCTCGGCTCCCCGGCAGCCGGAGACGGTGGCCGCCATGCAGTGGGCGCTGAGCGAGCCGTTCGTGCTGTCGGGCGGTCTCCACGGCGGCGCCGTCGTCGCTAGCTACCCCTACGACAACCTTAGCGCTGGTAGGTCCAGTGTGTCGCGCACGCTCAATAACAACATCAACTGCCATTCGCCCGCTAAGTGGCGGTGACATGACTGCGGTGCTTGTGCCGTGCTATGTGCCCTTTAAGGCCTTTTAAGGTCACGTGAAGTGTTGAACGCCCGCTAGCAGGAAGTCACGGGACACACACACAAAGACGAAGATCCCCCATGTAGCCTTAACAGAATGTTGGGGCAAGTGCTGTTAGTGAGTAGCACCTATGAAGGCCGGCGCAGCACACGGGGGTGGGTGGCCAATATCATGCCCGCCGACCGCCTTTTTCTCCCCAGTACTGATGTTTACACACCACACCAGGAAATGCACTGGTTCTATCATTTAAGGCTAAGTCGACCTAGGGGAGGGCCAGAACCGGTTCAGATAATTGTCACTGGTGTTGACTGTGAGCGGGAATCGAACCCGGATCGCCAGATTCGTAGCATAGTGCTCTCACCATTATGCCACCACTACCCATACCAATACCCGCCATTTGACAGACTCAGGTGCCATGGGTTGACCAACCTGAGATAACTGGCAGATGGACTAGCTGTGCCCCCTACTGTGCCGACTCGCTGTATTTAGCTGCCCGGCGCTCCGCTCGTTGTTGTGAGCGTCGCTTCTCTGCCCTCCGTTGTTGTTGGAGGGCGACTACCTCCAACTGACCAGTAGTGTCCTTCACGAGCTTTGCCCATAGAGACCGATCTTGACACCGCTGGTACCGGTCTTCGGCAAGTCCACTCAGCTCCACATTCACACACACACACGTGGCAGCCTGCCAGCTCACAGGTTCGACCGTAACCCTGGTCCTAACCCCAATCCTAACCCTGATCGTAAATCTGACCCTAACCCGAACCCCAATCCTAATCCCTAATCCCAATCCTAACCCTGAATCTAACCCCAATCCTAACCTTTTGCTGGGCGGCACTGGCACAAAGCTGGGATCCTGACATGGCCCAAATCTTAAACCAGCCCTCGCCCTGGCATTCATCCTGACACTAGCTTTAATCCAAATACTAACCATAGCTCTGCCAGCAACCCTAATGCGGACAGCAGTTTTGACTGGCAATAGACCTCAATCTTCGCTATCAGCACCTACTGCTATCCAGGTAATGTTCATCTTTTGTCTGTGTGCATGCGTTTGTGGTGAGAGGTGGCACAATAGTTAGCGCCACTTGCTGTGAACCCGGCTACCTGAGTTCGATTCCCAGACACGCTTAATATCAGTGGCATACATCTCAACCGGTCCTAGCCATCCCCTCAGGTCGACTTGGCATTAAATCAATACCTGTTGTGGGAGACAAAGCCATCCGGGGAGACAACGGTGGCCAGACGCGGTGCTGGCCACATCGCCTCCTCTCACGCCATGCCGACCTTAATAGGTGCTTGCTAACAGTACCTGCCCCAAGAGTCCATAAAGGTTGAACGGCGGGGAACTTTTGTCTTTGTTCACACGTGCGATGCGTGTGTGCGTGGATGTGTGGCGTCGCGAGCAGGCAGCGCTAATTCGTACAGCGCGTCCCCGGACAACGACGTGTTTGTGAGGGTGGCGACGGTCTACGCGTCCAAGCACGGCTCCATGTACCTGGGCAACCAGTGTGGATTCAACTTCCCCGGAGGCATCACCAACGGTGCCAACTGGTACCCGCTCAGCGGTACGGAGTCGCAGCCACGGCCACTCCCATCCATCCCCGTAACCCACACATCCCGGCCACTGCACCCCAGTTCCTGGCACCACACGCGTCCATTTGGGTCCCGGCGTAGGTAACGTCGTCGCTTTTTTGTACGAGTACAGCACTTTTTGTTAATCCACTGCTGGATGAGGAGCTCCCCCACGCTGCCAAGTGTGTCACGCAGGTTACTTTGCCCGTACTTAGCCGCACTGGTCAGTGCGGGTGGCGAATGCAGGTGGCATAGAAGTGCAGCACAACAACGGCTTTTTCCGCACTGCCTCCCGCCGCCCACCACTTGGTTCCGCAGCCCCGCGTTGACGGTCGCCCATACAAGCACTATACAGGCTCCAAATTCTGCTTAGCTTGTACAGTATGACGAGACGGAGTGCATTCCAAGTGATTTGGTCATAGGCAGCCGCTTGTGTATCAGCTGCGTGTGCAGAGCGTCATGCCACACGCTTGCAGTGTGGTGCCTGGGAGACCGAGTTGGTAGTTCACGCAGAGATCGTTACATTTGACGGCTACTTTGCAAGGCTATGATGTGGCTAGTCGTTGAGGTTATATGAACCATCTTTGTGGAAGTGTGAGTTTTATCTGCGTACTCTTGTTTGCTCTCGCACGTGAATATATTAATAACGCATGAGCCAAGAATGCGAAGCCAAACCCTCTTAAAATGGTTTTGAGACCTAGCAAAAGCTGACCACATTATTAAGTGCCAAAAACGAATTGTTATTGCCTCACATTCCAGTGAACTTTGAACTTTAAGACGTAGGCTTTCGCGACCTATAATATTCATAATAGAGGGGTTTTTTTGGGTTAGATCACGTAAATATATAAATGTTGTGGCTTGGCTCTCCAACACATCGGCGTGCTGTACGAGTTACGAATTGTCCACGTTCTGTTTACGTGACAACCCTTACTAGTTGGCTGTGTCAGGTGGTGGCGGGTTTTAACGACACATATATTTACTCGATCTAACCCAAACCCCCAAAAAAACTTTGAACTTAACAAAGACATTTATAGTATCAAAGTCTGGACCATAACATTTCTGGATGAATGTAAACAGTCGTTTTACATTTGAGAAGGCTATCATGCGTCAGTTGAATTGCCAGCAGTTTACTTGTAAAACCTGTCCGCTATTTATATCCCGACAAGAATGTGTTATGTGTTTCCTGGCCAGGTAGCAATCTGTCACGAACAAAAAGAAGCTCTCATGGCATAATATGGCCACTTCTGCCCTACAAGCAACTTTGGCCGCTTATTCTGTTTTCAGTAAAGGTTTTTGCTTAGTGGAGATTTTTGCTGTGATGTAATGGGTTAGCACGCTGGCCTTGCAATCCAGAGCTCGCTGGTTCGATTCTCCCTGGGAGGAACTTGAAACCATGTGCAAGTTTCTTAAATACCCCCGCCTCCCAATCCCCCCTAAACCCGCCCCCCCCCCCCCCCCCCGCGGATGGGTTGTTGTAACTTCCATGTGTGGTGGGGACGTAGGCGGCATGCAGGACTACAGCTACGTGTGGGGCCAGTGCCTGGAGGTGACACTGGAGGTGAGCTGCTGTAAGTTCCCTCCTGCGAGCAGCCTGCCGGACCTGTGGCAGGAGAACCGCGCTGCCCTCCTCGCCTACATCAAGCAAGCACACCTGGGTACGAGGTGGCAGCGACAATGATTTCCACTCTTTAGCCTCGCTGAGCGTAGTAAACTATATATATATAAAACTATGGTAAAACTACACCCTTGCAACTGCTTGCTCATGCCACTGCTGGAGGAATGGCCCTACACTCGAAGGAGCACCCGAGATAATTTTTTGCGTCCTCTTCCCCACTGGCCACAGACGTATTTGAGGGAGGGAGTTACCCACACTTTACCCCACCGCGACTGTCGCGAACCGTTGGTGCTGCTACGTGAACAGAGGCACGGGTGTAGTTATGAAACTTGGCCATGGTTTGCAACTGCCTTGACAGGAGATTGAACTTGCGACTTCTGGATTGCAAGTGCAGCGTGCTAAGCATTAAACCAGGCTGGTCTGTAAAAAATATATATAAATTTACAGCCCTTTGTCAGTCCACTGACATTTAAAGACCTGCCCACGCAGCGTCGGTTGAGGATTGTTTAACCATACATCACCACACCGGTCAATAAGTCACAAGTTCCAGGTGGTTTCACTTAATATAGAAACCTGAGAAGTTTGAGGCCTCCAGGGAGCCATTTCCTGGCGAAGTGCCTAAAAAAAATGGGACCATTAAATTTGCACGTGGCTCTCTCCTTGTACGCAGGGGTCAAAGGTCGCGTGCTCGACAGTAATGGCAACGGGGTGGCCAATGCCCAGGTGCACGTGGTTGGACGCGCCAACATCCTCCCCTTCAACACGACCGCGGACGGGGAGTACTACCGCCTGCTGTTGCCTGGCCAGTACACCCTGCAGGTGAACGCACACTCACGGGCCCACGCGCCAGCCGGCTGAGCAGTTTAAGCCATAATTGGTTTTTTACCCTTCTATCTGGCAACAAAACTGACACCTTTTTTACAAGGAGTCATGTTTACATAGACCACAATACCTGCAGTCATAATGCAAACAAAAAACATAACTCTGATATTGTGCACTGTCACAAGGACAGTGCACATGACTCCTTGTAAAAACGGTGTCAGTTTTGTTGCCAGATAGAAGGGTAAAAAAACAATTATATTTTTACTGGCAAATGAGGTTCCAATGGTGCAGTTTAAGCCAGTCGTGGGGGTTCTCAAGGTCAGGAGCCACAAAGGCCACAGAAGCCTTTTAAGGTCGCGGCCAGTGTTGAGCCCACTCAAGCCTGCTGATGAGCTGTAAAATGCAGAGCTCGTGTTGCAGCATGCAAACTGCCAAATATTTTAAAGCAAATTTGATAACTTATATATCTCTCTAATTGACCTCACGATGTTATTTTTTAAACAAGTTTTTTCGCCTGATTTTAAATTCGCAATCGGGAAATATTTAAATTTGTAGCATCAAAAATAATCTCAATAACCTTAACGCTGGTTTTCACTTAATATGAAAACAGCCCTCACTTCACCCACCACCCTTTTGCCCCACAATACCCGTGCCAGGTGACCGCCAACGGCTTCCAGCCGTTCTCGGTGTCGCTGCTGCTGGAGGACGGCACGGAAAGCTACGCGGCTACAACGTTCGACCTCATGCTGACGCAGTCGAACGCGGTGCCGGCGGTGATCGCCAAGGACGGCAAGGCGGCCGCCGCTGCCGCCAGGCCTTGCCACCCCCTCTTCCCACTCGCTGCCGCTACCGCCGCCGCACTCGCCCCCGTGCTGCTCGCTCGGTGGCACGCGTGACCGTCCTTATAAGTCCGCACGTGGGATATTTATTTGCAGTAAAAATTAAACGGAGCACAAGTGGGCATTGTTTGAAATGAGCACGTAGGAAATGCAGTCGTGTAACCCCTTTTCAGGTTCTGAAGTGTCAGGGGCATGTGGGTCGTAGTAATGTCGCGCGTGTACACAGCGACGTTGTGGCGTGGTTCGTTTGGGCCCTGGCGCAAGGAATTAAATGAGGCCCCCTCTGTCCACCTGACAAGTGTGGTGCTAATGCCAATAGGTGCTCACAAGCAGCCACTGGCCCTAACTCTTCAAAAGCTAAATGGTGGGATTGTTGTCTTTATATATGTTCACACATTTACTATACACTTATATTGACACACCCTTATACATGTATACAAGTTGAGTGTATGTGTATTGTATGTGTTTGTATTCTGTATCAGTGTGCACATGTACATTTGTGGATGTGTAATCATGTGGTCAAGTTTAAAGTGAGTACCATGTGGGAGGTCGGCAGTGACTATCCTCCACGTGGAATGGTCTCTACCATGGCAATGTGGAATATCCACCACTGGCTCAAGATTACCAGTGCTCATTTGTGACTTGACTTTGAATATTCACCTGCGTAACATATTAAGTGAGCACATGAGATTTTGTCTGGCGCATGTTGAAGACTGTGATTGGTGCAGTATTGGGAGAAGTAGTTCATAGCATCATCACCGTCACCATGTCAAGGACTTTACCCATACATTGGTGACCTGGTCTCATTTGTACAGAATAACTTGACTTGTAGCTCCATATCAAGACAACTAGATACAGAATCTGCATGTTAGTTGTGAGATCCTATGCTATTACACCGTGCCTAAAATAATTTGCATCATTGTAACATTTTACATCCATAACTACGTTTTGTCGTGGAATTATGTGCATAGCATTTGTAATCGGCTACGGTCAATCCACGGCCAGATAAAGGCCTTCCCAAGCCACTTCCACTTCTCAAAATCCTGCGATGCGTCGTTCTCGAACACCTGCACATGAACTGGTTTAAACTCCATCTCCTCGTCGACGTACTCTTGGATGCGTACCGTTCCTTGGCCTCCACTCCGTTATTATTGCGGAGCATAATGCTTGCACCAACACGAAATAAGCTTTTGTAGAGATGTTGAACAGTTGATCGTTGTTAATCATTTTGTGCCAGTAATTTTCACCTCGATATACTGTACCGTCATGAAACACTGTTTAATGGAATATTTTAATTCCTGCAAATACCAAAGAGCGTCTGTTTTCGAGGGGTCACTCCGGCTTTCACGCATTAGATGGTGAATCTGCAAAGGATATACTTGTTTATGTTTAAGCTTTGTAAAATGGTCTCACTGGAATCCAAACATGTCTGAAACGAAACTTTTTTTTTTTGTCAAAAGGCTAGAGATCGCTGTCCTGGGGAAAATCTGTCTTCCCACGATACATACAAAGGATCAACTTCTCACGAAAAAATAATATCCCCATTCTACAAAGGCAGCAACAATTAATTATTGGGTTTTTTTTGTGTGCCTGGTACTGCGCTTCATTGCAAACCCATGCCTAAAATGCACTGCGTTTTGGATGCAATAAACCGAGAATACAGCGAGTATGCCATCGTGTGCCAAAAAATACTATAGCGGGGACATGGGTTGGGAACTGCTGACCCCTTCCTCCACATCCTCTCGTAAGATATATACAGTGGTAAACCGTTTCTGGAAGATCAATTCCATAGAATTGTGGATATGAAAATGCAATACAGATATTTTGCACAATTACACTCATTAAAATCTTGGCCGTATTTGTGGAAGCGCGTATGCACCTTTATATTATATATACTAAAACATAAATATAGTTGTCATTTTGTATCAATTTTGTATCAACTTTTTACCATTGCCACACCACGGAAAAGGAGACCATAGATAGGTGGTAATGGATGGGGAAGGGAGCGAGAGAGAGAATAATGGAAAAAATATTAAAACGAATGGAAAAACGTGACCAAATGGTCTGGAAAGATGAAGATGGGGAGGAAGAGGCGACTACCTCGGGGCCTCGACGCTGCACAGTGCAGCGTCTGGTTTCACGGGGGCGGCAGGGGGATGATAATTCGGAGTGGCAGTGTCCAACGGATAAGTCGCGTGATTTACGGGAGCCTCGATGTGATTTGTATACAGTATATATATGGATTACTGCTGTGAAATGTACAGCATGCTTGGTATAATTTGAACTTTTGCAGAACACATTCTTTTAAGGTGACACTTGTGAAGTGTGCTCATTCGAGTTTTTCTGCTGTCTTGGCAAATGATTTATGAGCCCATTTAAAAGGGGGGTAATTGAAAACAGGTTTTTAGCATATGGGCTTTCCAGTTTAATTTTACAAAGCAGCATTTTATGAAATAATACAGCCTTGGGCTGGTATCAACTGCATGGTTTCTCATCGGCAAGCTGTGTCCTCATGAACCAATGCCACTGGGTAAGATGATGTTATGAGCAGGAGCCCATTTGGCAATATCTGATGTTGAAGCAGAAGCATTTGTAACACCCATCATTTCTGATGATTAAATATTTTTTAAAGGGTCTTTCAAAAATCCATTCGTGGAAACATTCAATTTTTCAGATTTGAACCAAAGAACTTCAATATCCTTGCTTCCTGAGAAAGCCAAGTGCAAAATGGAGGTGAACTTATTTTTTTTTTTGGCTAAGGCCACATTTTTGTCAATAAACCCTGCACTCTAATAATTGACTGAATCATTACGCAGCCTACTCCAAAAATTAATTATGAATCGTAATATTGACTGCGAAAACCTGCATGTCTTGACGGATAACTTTGATAAGAACACGAGTACTACTGAAAACCGCAGTTACTCGATCAAAGAAGACAATGTAGTGTCGTGTATTTTTTTACTGCCGTCACTTCCATTTACTTGTGATTGTACATCACTTGTTTTGCAATGCTACACGTGTTTACGAGGAGTGTGTAACGTAAGTTTTGTTTTCCTCACCCCACTGGGTATTGCCATTTAACACGTCAGCTTTCGCGACCAATATCTATAATACGAAACAGGAGGATTTCTCCACAAACCTGGCTTTCCGTCTGATGATGCTAGTTGTCATTACTGGCAAAACGTCGGACTCGGATTGTAAATGTTGTGGATTTGCTCTCCAACACACCGGTGTGCTGTACTAGTAATGAAGTGTCACGTTTTGCTTACGTGACAAACCTTACTAATTAGCTGTGTCGGGTGGCGGCGGGTTCAACGGCACATTTAAGCGATCTAACCACAAAAAAAACTATTTTGGAGGGTATTGCCATGTTAATATAGTTTTCATCTGTTGAACACAACTACAACAGATGCGTTATTGGGGTATCCCGTATAACAATTTTCTCAAGTAGAAAACCAAACTATATTGACACTGATGATTTAAAATAGGTGTTTTGGTCGAGGGTGGTGTGGGTTTACTGTGGGTGAGTTGTGGGTACGGTACCTGCTTTACCAAACCCGTCCTGTTTAAGTTGCAATAAAGCACAGCTTGTATCTGTGCCAGGCACGGGTCATTACAGAAGATGGAAAAATGAAAAATAATTGTTGCCTCTTTTTTGGAAAGGAATGTGATGCTTGTGATCAGATGGGATATGCTCATGGGTAGTGTTGCGATTCCATCGTTGGTAACGGGAATTTAATACTTTTTTCATTAATCTATTTGACAGGAGAATGCGCTGCTATCACTGCGCACATGTTCGTGTGGATCTTATCTGTCACAGAAGGCAGCATTGAATCATATGATGTTACCAGTGTGTTTTAAAATAGTACTAATATGCAATCAAAAAACTATTTCAAATCGTTAACAAAGCTATATATGCAACAGGTGTTAAGGCTAATGACATTACATAATTGTTGCCTCATTAATACGCCATTTAATGACTTAAGATTTTATTTTATAAGGAAAATCCATTTCTTACATGCCAAAGTTCTAAAGATAGATTTAATTTATTACAGCACGAAGGGCCCAATGATCTTTTGGGGTCTATTTCATGGGTGTCCTGCCACGGTACTGATGTTACACAGTACAGATCTTGGTTACTATCATACTTACATAGATCACAATACAGACAGCAAGTATCGGTACAGAAATAGGGAATTGATATAAAACGTAAAACAAAAAATACATGTTAATAAAATACCTCTATGTAAAGATTTATATGGCAATTATCCAAATATGCACCACGTAATTGTGCATTTTTGCACGCTGGCAAGTTGCCTTGATATTTAAAATTACACAGTTGACACCTGCAAGGGACCAATTTTTTAAAATGGTTTCTTGATGAATTCAGTGTAGTTAATACAGGTCGTGAAAGGTTTGCCATACTACGGTATTTTTGGGTTTCTACTATTTTCGAAGATAATTCACATGCAGTGTGCGTTTGCATCTCGGGTGTTTGTGTGGGTGTGTGTTTGATTTTATACTTGGCATGTGTTTGACCAAATTGTCACCAAAGCAGAGCTTTGCACATTTTTTTTACTCTTCAAACATTTAGAATTTAGAACTACCTTCCAATGTTATGCCATGTGCTGTAATTTTGTAATAATTCACAAGATTATGAATATACCATATCGATGAGTTTATGTAACAGAAATGTTATTTTAATGCATCTATCCACCATGGTTTGTATCTATATATTCAAACTGAGGCCATGAATGTACATACACGGTGTTGTGAATTACCCTACTTTGATACAAACATCTCAAATCTCAGGATAACACCAACCGAATCTGTGACGTGTCAGTTTGCACGAACCCTTAAGCTGTGTTCACTTTCATGGTGTTGCCACGTGATAAACAGGTATTTCTATTTATTTATATGAGCTGACCTGACACAATATGCCGTTTATTGTAACAAAAAATAAAACCACCCCCAAATAAACTGCTACTTGTCTTTGAATGAATGGTTGTGTTGGATTTCTGCATTTTTCTTCGGTGAATGAGGCATGTCTGTGTTGTCTTGATCGCAAATCGTCCCACTCTTCCCCTCTCATGAACGCAATAATCTCTGCAACGTGCAACACAGATTTAATCAAACCATGAGCACTAATGTCGCATATATAGGCTGTCGACATGCCAAGCCTACGGCTCCTGGGGTTAGATGAAGCAAAGTGGAAGGGGCTATGTTTCGGATACTGTTCAGCCACAACAGATTAGAAAACGTGGCTAGGTGTTTTTAATGATAATTCATTTTGTGCAAGATGCCAATGACTACCAACAAACACCAGGTCTATGAAGAATAAGAATAGGTTTTACCCTTTCTGGCAATAAAGCAGGTGTTAAGATGTTCAAACACAAAATATAAATCTTTTGCAAGGAATCAAGTCTGCATTAAACACATTCCTGCGGAGGGAGCTGGTAGGAACGTTGGGTTGCTCGGTCAATGGCCAGGGTCAACGGCGGCGTGTATTCCGCAAATATGCCCGACTGTGAGGGCGGGCACAAGCCGGCGTGAGTAGGTTAAACGTTGAGTTTTATAAGGGCACCAGGGGGTGACCAGCCCCTTCCTCCCCACCCAGCCCCACCCCTCCCACCCTCCACCCAGCCCCACCCTCCCCACCAGCCCCTCCCACCCTCCCCACCCAGCCCCTCCCTCCCCTTCCCACCCAGCCCCTCCCCTCCCACTCCCCACCCAGCCCCACCCTCCCCACCCAGCCCCTCCCCACCCAGCCCCTCCCCACCTTCCCCACCCAGCCCCACCCTCCCCACCCAGCCCCTCCCCACCCTCCCCTCTCCACTCAGCCCAATCCCTCCCATTTTTGGATGCACGACGGACGGACGGACACAATAATCCCCTGTGGGCTGGTGAAACCAGGAGGTTCCTACCAGTACCACACGTACTTGGCTCGGATAATATCTGGAATTGTAAATGAAACTGATTGGTCTACACCAGAGACCGCAAGCTTCTTTATGACCGAGTGTCACCAGTGTCAGACCAGGGAACAACGACAAAAGGCAAACAGCACAAAGACAATGCACGTAACAGAACGTGAAGTTATTTATTTTATAAAAAGTATTTTTCATACTTTGATACTGGCAAAAAAGGTTCCATGATATAGCTGCAAATACCAGATGTATTGTGACTCAGCTGCAATCACTCGTAAGAGGCAATTGGGATTTAATTTGATCTGAAAATGTGACGTCACATCAAAAAGCGCAACTTTAAATAAATATAGATAACACGTTCTATTTAATAAAATAGACGTTTTAATAAATGTTTTCTCCTACAACAACAGACTGCAGCGCCACATTAAATACGCACTACAATGACAATAGTTTAAAGCGATTTGAAGCATGTTTTTTTTGGGGGGGGGGCAGAGCTTTGTGACGTCATATTTGAGGGGGGGTTTTTACTTTTTGTGACGCCGTGTGACCAGTGGGGGGGGGGGTCAAAATTCGTCCAAAATCGCGTGACGTCATTTATGGGCGGCCCCTGTGGAGTGATGAGCTTCGGCGCGGTACAAAAAAGTATTGTTGGCATTCATAAAAACTGGTGTGTAATGATCCATCAATTACAATTATTGTGAAAATAATACATGTGCAGAGTTCAAATCAAGAATGTACAGAGTTCTCGTGCCGGGCCGGGGGGGGGGGGGTCACGCAAAGGTCAACGAACCACGCCCTGGAAGATCATTAATTAGAGACGGTCAGTGGGCAAGGAAGACGTGACAAAGGGAATAGGGGGTTAAAGGGGAAACCCCAAAAGATACGTATTGGCAAGGAAAGAGAGGGGAGGAGGGGTGGGTGTTTTATAAAGGGGTGAGGGTAGAGAAAGGCTCGGGGCAGGATTAAAGGCTGGTCGTCAGCAGTGTCCGTGCGCCACAAGCGCGTGTCTTGATCGGCACAATAAAGTCCCCTTGGCAGGATGACTCGCGCGCGTGTGGACTCCCTTCAACACGCGTTGAAACATGTAAACTTAACTCGTGATAATCGTACTTCTGGGAGCAAAGTAAACAAAAACTCAGCACGTACGTGATTAACACTGCCCTAAAAGGAACAATATATATAATCGTGTGCTTGTGCACGACTGCCAGTGCAATATCACCAAATGTATATCTTTTTTGCGAGAGTGAATTGTTATACGTCTTCTAAGAGGTGGATCAGAAAGCTGCTGCTGCTGCTGTACTGCCTCCTGCAGGAGTCACATTGACTTACAGGTGTTCATCACACCTTGTCTCTAAGTGGTAGTCTCTTAAATTCCAAGTTCTCGGAAAGTATGTTGGGGCATTTCGTTAATACCAATTAAATTCCATGTACGGTACTTGATTTATCCAGGGTATTCGTTTGTTGAAATCATCTCCGTTTTGAAGCACATCTGAGGAATTTGAAAATCATGATTGCGGTACAGTATTACACTTTGGATATTTATATTATAATAATTATTTGCAGCCTTTGTCAAGCTACTGCTATTACGAAGTGCTTGGCAAGAGAACCCCCATGACCTGTACAATGTTGGGAGGCCCTCATCCAGCACTGGATTAACATAAGGACTGAGCGTGTATAATAATGTCATTTATTCAGGAAGGTTAAATTGACTTTCAGGTATTTTTTTACGAGGGTCCTATATTGATATGTTTGGCCACTTTCATTAATTTGTTTGTGGGAAAAAAAATATTGACAGCAAATATTAAGAGATAATCCATAGATGGGTTCAACCCACTTTCTGTACTTCCATCTCCTGGGCAACTTTGAGCCCTTGCGGGTTTTGAAGTTGTAATTACACGTCTACGATATGTGAACCTGCCGCCAGAGTGCTGGATTACAGATATGATGTCACCAGGACTGGCTCAAATTCAAAACAAACACAACGAACAAACATATTAGGGTTGAGTGTTGAGAATTTACCTTGGATAATTGTTCACTATTTCGTTTTCCAAATAATTTTAACCCAAGTTTCTACATTTGCTCATTTTTTACTGCTCTCTTCTCCCCCAATTTTGTCTCAACTGGGCCATCAGTGTCATGTCATGAGACAAATAAAAATGTACACCTCTTTCACAACAGTGCAACCCCTTGTGTTAGAGACTGACCCACAGAAGCAGATCTCATAGATCTGCCTCTGAAATCCCTTCGAGTAACCTCTGCTGGGAACAGTAGGGAGTAGCACTTTCCTACCCATCCTGCCACATTCATCGCATTACAATACTATTCATCACATGACAGTCAAACCAATGTATATTTAATTATCAGAATTGGAATAGCCAAATTAACTGCAGAATAAAATGTGATACAATGGCATGTTTAATTTCTGTGCAGTCAATTGGTGAGCGGGCTGAAACCATCGACTCCCTATACCAGAGAACCCGGCTTAATCACCGGGTAGCTGCCTGGATTCACACCACGGATCTCAGTGGAAACAGCGCTGAGCCTGCGGCCACGTCAACATTTTCTGAATTTCACACTGCGGGGATGGCTTAATGCTGACCACAATGGGGAGTGACAACTTATTTACAGAGCCTAAGATGCAGATCTCTAATCTGAATGTGTAACTGCCAAGACAATTGCTGGGGATGTTCAGACAGGTCCAAGAATAGGACTGCATCCTTTATGTGGTGATTGCAATCCCTGGTGTTTGTTGAAAGAGTTTCATAGAAACTTAAACACGTAAAAAAACTATTAGACTATCATGGGACCTCCTTTGCCAATACCAAAATATGAGAATAGGTTTTCCCCTTTTTTTTATGGCAACAAACAGGTGTTAAGATGCTACGACACAAACTGAAACCTTTTAACTAGGAATAATGTCTGATAATTACATATACAGACATGATTCCTTGTCAAAAGAGTTCAGTTTGGTGTTGTAACATCTTAACACCTGTTTGTTGCCAGAACAAAAATGGGAAAACCTATTCTAGTAGACTGTATATGTCTGTACAGTATTGCGGAAATTGATCAGCAGGCCCCGCCTTGCTGAAACAAAAGCAGCCCCACAATGAAAAGTAAAAACCTTGAAAATCACCCACTCATTCTTGAACTAAGTAATGAGGATATATATATTTTTAATTGAACTCAATCAAAATTGGACCTTTTGTTAGTATCAAAGCATTAAAAAATAAGAATAGGTTTTTACCATTTCAGGTAATAAAACAGGTGTTAAAATGTTCAAACACCAAACAGAAAACGTTTGCAAGGAATCAATTCTGCATTTACCACACGTACTTGTGGTGAACATGAAAAGCATGCTCCGATAATACTGTATATGACATTGTATTTGAATCCGATTGATTTAAACCAGACAGCCTTTTTAGGGCCAATGTCAGACCAGAGAACGCCAAAAGGCAAACGGCGCGTAGACAATGCCACTACCAGAGCAATTATTGCTCGGGGCGAGCAGCTACAACATGGGGCATTTATTATCAGAGCATGTTTGTTTGCATATCCGCCAGACTTGGAGGCAGGGTTGGTGGATAATATATGCCAATGAATGATGTACAATCCTACTCCACCTAAGCTATTCCATGCCCATTGACTCCCAGTCATGGGCAATGGAAAGTCTTTAACATTTCATAAGTAATATTATTTTTGCCACTTTATAAATAAAAGTATCATTGTCATCCATTTAATTAAGTCACTGTCAGTCGTGGTGTCAGTATCCTTATTCATCATGTTTGCTTATGAAACACATAAACAGAATATTTAGTTATACTGGAAGAATCCGATGAGCTACAAAACTCTTTTTTCACAGATGTCCATTCGGGGCGGGTTACAACAACAACAACACTGTTTGTGCTACGGCAGGCTATCTGTTTACACCTTGACCACAATTGACACAATGCACTTCAATCACTTAGGCAAGCCTGGGCAGGACAGGTTTGGGCAGGGTCAGGCCATCCCCACGCCCGTGACCCCGAGCCACGTCAACAATAGCCACGCCCACTTTCACACAGGCCCCGCCCCTCCCCTGTGAACGCCCCGCCTCTTTTAGCACTAGCCACGCCCATATTCCACTTGGCCCCGCCTCTATTCCGCCTGGCCCACATCGACAATAACCACGCCCACTTTCACACAGGCCCCGCCCTCCCCTGTGAACGGCCCGCCTCTTTTAGCACTAGCCACGCCCATATTCCACTTGGCCCCGCCTCTATTCCGCCTGGCCCACATCGACAATAACCACGCCCACTTTCACACAGGCCCCGCCCTCCCCTGTGAACGGCCCGCCTCTTTTAACACTAGCCACGCCCGTATTTCACTTGGCCACGCCCATATTTCACATGACCACGCCCATATTTCACTTGGCCACGTCCATATTTCACTTGGCCACGCCCATATTTCACGTGGCCCCGCCTTTATTCTGTCTGGCCCCGCCCTTATTGGAACAGGCCCCGCCCCCTCCCCGCTTTGGCCCCGCCCTCGTGGGACGAACCCTTTTTTATTTTCCACTTTGGCCCTTTGATTTTCACTCCTGCGCCACTCCGCATCAGCTGTTGCCACCGCAGTAGACACCGTGACACGCAGACGACAACAACAACAACAATAGCCACAACAGCTGTAACAATAACAACGTTGGTAAGAATACAGCTGCAGGGTGAGTGAGTACTGTCATGTTGGTCTTAGCAGCGCAGCTGAACTGCGTTGTATGTACGTGTTGAGTGCAAGGCAAAATGACATGACAGAGAGTATACCCGGGGGGGTGGGTGGTGATGATGACAGTACAGTTGAAGCAAAGTGAATTATTAACCACGTGAGAACGTAGCTGCTGCTGCTGGTGGTGATGGTGGTTTTGTGTAAGTCTTCACGTCGCCTCTGCCTATTTTAATTAATGTCCGGTGGTTTAATGCGTTTTTTTAAATTTGCTTAAACATGAGTACTCGCTGTACCGTCTCATAATTGATTGTTTGGCTTCGGCCGCATGAGGTTCATTGCGTGGCCTCACCCCAACAAAAATCAGCTGAACATTGACAACCAAAAAGAAAAGCCACGTTCACAACTGCTGCGTTGGTGTTGTTGTTGCCTTGGCATTGAACGCCGATTCACGACAGACAGGTACAGTACACCGGTCACACACGTGGACATCTCTGTAGCGACTGCTGCACGGTTTGTCGTCTTTATCAACCGGCTGTTTCCGTGCACACGATACTAAGTTGTGACATTGCGGGGTTGTTGTCACAAATCGACATTCGCCACTTAAGTTGCGGTGAGGTCACCACGGCGTTCGTGCCAGGCTGGGTGCACTTGGGATGGGGGTCACGGGACAGACTCGGGGGTGATGGCTTGAACCGAGACGTCTGCAAGATGCGTTTTATCCGCCCGGCGCTCCGATCGTTGTTGTGAGCGTCGCTTTATCTGCCCTCCGTTGTTGTGTTGGAGGGCGACCGCCTGCAACTGCCCCAGTAGCAGCAGCAGCGTCCTTCACGAGCCTTCTTCACGAATCTTCATCCAGAGTCTCTGTGTGTGGTGGTGGTGGGGCACATCTGGGTGCATCTACCTGTCATCTCAGTCAGCCAACGCATGGCACCAGCTGGGGCTGTCCCGTGACCTCTTCCTGTCAGCGAGACTTCGACAACTTCGCACGATAGCCTCAAAGTGCACCTAGCCTGGCACAGGCGCCGGGGTGACGACATCGTTACTTGTTGGCGAATGTCGCGGTGTTAGTGTTGGTTGCCAAGGACCGGTACCAGCGGTGTCAATATCGGCCTCTATGGAGGAGGCTCGTGAAGGACACTGCTGCTGGGCAAGTTGGAGGCTGTCGCCTTCCAAAAACAACGGAGGGCAGAGGAACGATGCTCACAACAACGAGCGGAGCGCCGGGTGGATAAAGCACAGCAAGTTGGCACAGTAGGGGGGCACAGGTGGTGCATCTACCGGTCATTTCAGTCAGCCAACGCATGGCACCTGCTGGGTCTGTCCCGTGACCTCTTCCTGTCGACGAGCCTTCGACACTTCACGTGGCGGCCTCAAAGTGCACCTAGCCTGGCACAGGTGCCGTGGTGACGTCACCGACAGTATATTTGCTACTACACGTGTGTGAGTGTCATGAACCGCGTGGAACTCATGGGCCTTGTCCGGAGCCAATTCTCTAAGCCGAGTCAGAATCGGAATCTTTATTTATAGTGGAGGAATCCGATGACTATAAAGCTCTTTTTTCGCAGATGTCCAGTAGGGGCGGGTCAGAACGGTACAACAACAAACAGTACAAAACACGATAGGAGTGCAAAGTATAGGCAGAAAAAAGGGGAAAACCTATTCTCAAGGTATACAAATCACAAAAAATATATACAATTAAAACTAGACAGTTTTTTTTATCTTACCAGGTAAAGCCCACTGAGATAACTTATTGTTTCAGAAGCGACCTTCCCACAAATGATAGCTCAACAAAGTGGCTTAGGGGCCGTCCATAAATGACGTCACGCGATTTTGGACGATTTTGACCCCCCTCCCATCGTCACACGGCGTCACAAAAAGTCAGCCACCCCCCCTCAAATATGACGTCACAAAGCTCTGCCCCCCCCCCCCAAATTAAAACATGCTTCAAATCGCTTTAAACTATTGTCATTGTAGTGCGTATTTACACGCTGCACTCTGATGTTGTAGGAGAAAACATTTATTGCAAAGTCTATTTAATTAAGTAGAACGTGTTGTCTATATTTATTTAAAGTTGCGAATTTTGATGTGACGTCACATTTCTCAAACCCTACCCCCCCCCCCCTTGTCACACATCGTCACAAATGTCTGGCCCCCCGCCCCCCCTAGGTGCGTGACGTCATTTATGGACGGCCCCTTACACGTGGAATTTTATAGCAAAATAATTATAAACAATCTATTTTAAGAACGGAGAGCAGTGGAGAGACCTCGATCGATTCTGGGACTTGGGGTATCCTGGTCGGGACGGCGACAATTCGCCGAAACGAATTTGAAGGCGGATTGTTTGTTGCATGATCATGGGAAGACGCCGGGAGAGAAAGGATTGGCGGAGCATGTGAACGAGCATGGGGGTGAGGTGAGGGGAGCGGTGGCGCAGCGGTTAGCGCCCTGCGCTCCGAACCCGGCCATCTGGGTTCGATTCCCACTCACGGCCACCACCAGTGACAATTATTTGAACCGGTCCTGGGCCTCCCCAAGTTCGACCCAGCCTCAAATGAGTACCTGGTCTGGTGTGTAATCATCGCCACTGGGGAGACGAAGGCAACCGGGCGTGGTGCTGGCCACACACCCCCCCTCGTGTGCCACAGTTCCGGCCTTCATAGGTGCTGCTCGCAAACGACACTTGCCCCCAATCGTCTGTTAAGGCTATACGGGGGATCTTTGTTTGGTGAGGTGAGAAAGGCAAAGGAGAGAGCGAGGTGGGCAAACCAAGACACGGGGTCTTGGAGGGAGCAAGGCTGGTTGGGAGGAATAGAGCTCTCTGTTGATGAAGAATGCCTGGGCTGGGTCACAGTGCACATGTGTGCACCGGTGTGCGAGTGTTAAATGTGTCCACACTCTTTCACACGGGTGGACTTTACACAGCCAATCAAACAGAAATGGTGTCCGAGGACATATCTTTAACACCAAGGATGGGCAATTCTAGGCATTGAGTCAAAGTCCACTGGTCCCTTTCACCTGTGAATTGTATGTACAGAGTTGCGTGAGTGTTATTGATTGACCATGGAAATGTCGCCACTAGAGACAAAAGTGTTTAGATGTGCCATGCTTTGCTATTGACATATCCACTGCTGGTTGAAGGCTTCTCCATGCTGACGTGCATCAACAATGTGTAAACAATTGCACTCGAATACAACAGGGACGTTTGTACACAAACTTCAACACGTGGCTGTGCGGAAATGCATTGCTGTGTATAGTTCACCAACGCACAGGCTTCCAAGTTCTCAATAATACACTGAAAGCACAATTAGTAATGAACAATTTAAACTATTGAAACATTTCACTGGGGATAATTTGTTCTTACACTCACCCCAGTTTCGGTGTTCGACCTCTGTCAACAGAAGCCGAAAGCTATTCAAAGCCATGGCACCAAAGCGCAAAGCAGCATCGGCAAAGGGCAAACGGCAGAAGAAAGTAAAAGCTGAGGTTGAACCCGAGGTCCCCCCCGCTGTGGACAAGGTCACTGAGACTCGCAAAGCTCTCAAGACTGAACCTGGCAGCAAAGCAAAGGCCAAGATTGACTCCGCTTGCAATCTGGCTAACAAAACGGTAAGGTCCTGTTATATACCGTGTTGCGAGGGTGGTGATGGTAGTTGTTGCTAAATGTTGGTGTCGCACTGCCCGCGGTTAGCACTACGCTGCGCTATGAACCTGGCAGCCCGGGTTCGATTCCCGCTCACGGCCAACAACAGTGACGATTATCTGAACCAGTCGTGGGCCTTCGCTAGCTAGACTCAGCCTCATACGAGTACCTGGTGTGGTGTGTAAACTTCACCACTGGGGAGACAAAGGCGGCCAGGCATGGTGCTGGCCACCTACCCCCTCGTGTGCCGACCTTGCCTTCATAGGTGCTCGCTAACATCACTTGCCCCAACAGTCTGTTGAGGCTATATGGGGGAATCTTTGTCTGTGCCTTGCAAGATATGCCCCTGAGTGTTGCTGGGTGTCCTCGGCAGGGCCTCGAGGTGCACGAAGACTATGACTGCATGCTCAACCAGACCAACATCGGCCACAACAACAACAAGTTCTACATCATCCAGCTCATCGCAGGCGATGGAAAATTCTACACGTGGACACGATGGGGCCGTGTGGTCAGCATGATACCTTCCTCTACTCACACCACTCAATCCACTGCCAATGTGCAGTACTATGCGATGTCTCACTGCATTGCCAAAGGCAAAGTGTCTGCCTGCTGAAATGAGTGTGGAGTGGTGCTCATCTCCACTGGTGGCCCAAATCCAGCAGTGGGTGATTCCACATTCGTATGAGGAGTCAATCGCTCCATATGACAATTCCACCGTGTGTTTTTGAACATGCGTAGAATATTGTAGGTTCTGCAAATTTCAAAGAGTGATGGTTTTCAGTGTTTTGTCAATCCGCTCCCTCGACGAAGGCCTCAATGTGCAGTCGTGGTCATGACGGTTGTTTGATCATAAGTCGCCGTCCAGCTGAGTGGATTGGTGAAGGAGGCATTTGGAGCTGGTCCTGATATCATTTGCCACTGTTTGCTGTCGCTAGGCATCATACGGCACTGAGTTTATAGTGTAGCGTGCTAACCACTGCATCACCAACTTTCCTCTATATGTACACACTTAAATGCAGCACTTATAAGCATCGGATGAACACAGTAAATATATTTTCTTTGTGCTCAAATACATGTCCATGTATACGTGGAGGTTTTATTTTTCTCTCCCCCCCCCCCCTCCTTCATTCTTGCTTTCATCTCTTTCTTTTCATGTATCCTCTTCCTGCATCCCATCGTCCCCTTGTCCGTCCACGTGACTGCAGGGCGAGGGCGGACAAAACGCCATGAAGACCTTCGGCAACGAGGCCGAGGCCATCAAAGACTTCGAGAAGAAGTTCAAGGACAAGACCAAGAACAACTGGCAGCAACGTGGCGAGTTCACGGCGCACCCTGGCAAGTATACGCTCATCGAGATGCAGTACGAAGACGATGAGGAGGAGGGAGAAAAGCCCGTGGTCTCGGTGAGTCCTTCCCCACCACGTTTCAGAGGCAGAGGTGGTTGCAAATAGCCACACAACTTGAATGAATAAATAAATCGATCGATAAACTAAATATAATTATTTACTTTGTCTTTTAAGGAAGGTAAATGTGCTTGGGCAAGACACGTCGCTAGAAGGGATGATGATTGCGAAATCAGAGCACCATGAGAGTTGGAAATTGCTTGCGGAGGCCTTCTTTCAGCAGTGGATTGATCATGGCAGCAGTGGATTAATCATGGTTGATGATAGTGATCTAGGAAAGCCTCAGGAGCTCTCAAGATGATTGTATTTTTTTGGAAGGCGCTGCCTTGAGATTTCCGCCCATTTCTTCGTCATCATGTGTGTAAACCGGAGTAACTCAATAAAACCAATGCGTTTGGCAGGATAAAACTCAATCGTTTCACACGGATCGCTTGATGAATCCACTTGTTGTACTGTCATATCCTGGTCCGAGTCACCTCAAGTGCAAATGTGCATTTCACAATTATCTATGTTATCCACCAACCCTGCATCCAAAACTCTGGATTACAGGAGTCCACCTTCTTACCTGGCCACTGAACATTTCGCCCCTGTAGGAGAGGGCATCATCATCATTATTAACAAGGCTGTGTTGTCACGTTTAGGTGGATATTGTGGATGGCAGCCTCACGAAGAAGGTGATAAAGCCCTGCTCCCTACCGAAGCAGACACAGGACCTCATGTCGCTCATCTTCAGCAACGACATGTTCAAGGATGCCATGAAGGAGATGAATCTGGGTAAAGAGGCATTGGTTGGATGGGTCAGGGGAGTGATAATGTCTGGAGCACTGAGCCAATACAGCTGGCGTCCTGGGTTACAGTCTGGGTGGCCACCAGTTATGGAACTGATGATTATGTATATTGCACATTCCTATTGTTGGGATAAATATATCCATAACACAACACAACTACCCAAACTTCCAGTCAGAAATAAAATCAGTGTCTCCATGCTTATCACTTGGCCACGGTTAACATCATTGGCAAGAATTCCACATTCCTATCTCTATAGAACAGCCGCTGGTGACTTCCCACAAAATGGAAAATCTCATTATTAAAGCTCGGATTTATTATCGCCAAAGTCAAACCTGTGCCAGTGATTTGAACCTGTGACCGTCCAATTGTGAGTTGGCCATTCTAACCATGGCATCACCCTGACCGATGCCTGTATTACAGTAGAATGGTTTATTAAGAATACAGATTTTATAATCTGTTACAATTAGAGTTTTCGATGCAAGATTGGATATTTTTTGTTCTCGTTTTCACCACCTCGTTTGTAATTTCCATATACATTTTTTACAAGCTTTTACTCCCCATCAGCATAATGCTACATTCCTATAATTCCCACACACACACAAGTCAATACACCAACATTTCCCTATCATTTTCTCCTGTCTCCCCTGCTACAGACGTGAAAAAGATGCCCCTGGGGAAGCTGAGCAAGGCTCAGATCGGCCGTGGGTTTGACGCCCTGGAGGCCATCGAGGAGGCCTTGCGTACGGCTGCGGGTCAACGTAACCTAGAGAGCCTCAGCTCCACCTTCTTCACCATCATCCCGCACAACTTTGGGCGCATGCGGCCGCCCGTGATCAATTCGCAAGAGATAATCCGTAACAAGAAGGACATGCTGCTGGTAAAAAAAAGAGAGAGGCCAAGGGGACAGTCGTGCGAGGCGGTTTGGGGGCGTTGAAAATAATCATGTATGTTTGTTTATGATGGATAAGGCTCGCCGAGTTGCAGGACTCATTTCCAGGAGGATCCTGCGTTGAGATATTTGCGAGTGAGAGGAAACAAGAGTGGTCAGAGAAAATATATGCATATGATGGGATGAAATTTGCAAAGATCCACACAGATGGGATTCACCAACTAATGCCTCCAAAGTGCTCCATTATAGGTATTCTCCTACACGGGGATGGCTGGAAACAGCACAGATATACAAATACACGACTTTTATTGTACATTAAATCGATCTAAGTTCACTTTCCATTGGGCAAGGGTCCTTGTCTGTAAACATTGGGCAACTTGCCAATATTGGTTCAAGCAAGCAGGACTGCTGATAAGACATTGAAAGTGAATTACAGATCCAGAGCTTGCTACAAAACAGATGCTGCTGATGATATGCGCTGCCAGAAGGCTTTGTGGTGACTAGGTTGTGTAAAAATAAATGTTTTTATGCGGAGAGACAAATATTGGAGGGAACCATTATTTATTTTATGATGTTCACTTCATTATCAGCTCATGAGAATGCAAAGTCTTACGATTCAGATTAGTTTAAAAGCTATAAATCACTAACATTTAACTGAACCCTGACCTCTGCGTCAGTCTCTGCACTCAAATTAGCAATGATTCGTGCTCGTCTGCATTTTACAAGTCTCATCGTTCCCGTTTTATTCTCCAAGCATCATTTTTACTTCCATGGTCACCACGTCTCATTGCTCTGTGCTCTACCTTCTCCTGCTCTCATCCTTGGATTTCTGTCATCCCTGTGTGATGCTGTCCTTGCATTTCCTGTTTCTGCCTCGTCTGTATCTGGTTCTTATGTCTAATCCCTGTGCCTGTGTCTCATCTTATGTATCATCATCATCAGCTTTGTCTTTTGCTCATAATTATCTCATCCTTGTGTTTTGTTGTGCGGTTGTCACCAGCATTTCCCATGTCTCATCCCTTTATCTTATTGTTGACGTGTCTCATCATCTCCCATGCATCGGCCCTGCGTCTCTCCCGTCCCCGTGTCTTCCCCGGCAGGTGCTGGCAGACATCGTCCTGGCGCAGTCGCTCCAGGCTGACAAGGATCGCGCGGCAGCAGCGGCAGGCGGCGAGGGAGATGTGGGCACCGTCGTGGAGGTCCCACACCCCCTCAACGCCGACTACGACCTGCTCAAGTGCGAACTGGAGCTGCTGGGGGAGGACTCGCACGAGCTCGCAGTGAGTGCTCACGCGCGCGCGCACACTCGCAACGCACCCCCACCCTCACCGCTGGCTCCACGACGAGCTCGAGGCTGCCCTGAACGCACACGCTCGCTCACAGTGTGCACTCGCACGTTGGCTCACGTGCATTTATGCTCTCATGCACAAGCTTGCAACGAGCGCCCGCACGCTCGCTCACACTCACGAGATTTCAGCGAGTGCTTGCTCGCGCATACTCACACGAACGGGCACGAAGCGTGCGTGGTACACGTGAGCGCTTGCGTCGTGGAAGCGGGCGTCAGTCGAGTCGCTTTGTGTTCATTAACGGAAGATGCAACCCACAAAATAAGAACCTGTTATCTTGCTGGCTCGGTATTGTAGCCAAGCTGTGTGTCATGGGCTCTCAAGACAGTGGGCTTGAATCATGGCGGTCACCATGGTAGTGCTCTCATGGTGTCATAACTAGATCGCTGTCGTGGTGCACCTAAAAATGATTTTACTGTAGAATTTTTTCTCGTTAAACGATGCTTCAAAGTCACGTTGGATAGACGTTATGAATGGGATACAACAAGATAAGGGCTGCGTCTCCTTTTACGCTTATGCTGTTCAATGTGCACGTGGGGAGCGGTAGTGTAGCGGTTACCGCGCTGCACTACGAACCCAGCGACCCGAGTTCAATTCCTGCTCACGGCCAACACCAGTGGCGATTTATGCTCAGTAAAACCGGTCCTGGGGCCCCCCTAGGTCGACTCAGACTCAAAAGTGTACCTGGTGCGATGTGTAAACAACGCCACCAGGGAGAAAAAGGCAGTCGGGCGTGGTGCTGGCCATCCACCCCCTCGTGTGTCATGCAGGCCTTCAAAAGGTGCTACTCGCTAACAGCACTTGCCCCAACAGTCTGTTAATGCTACACGGGGGATCTTTGTCTTTGGACCCGCCAGCCTAACAGGTTCTTTCTATGTGCCACTGCAGGTGATTAAGCAGTACGTGTCAGCCACAGCGCCCTCCTACATGAAAGTCAACTGCGTGTGGAAGGTCAACAGAGAGGGAGAGGTACTCGCACATTAACCCCCGAGCCAATTGACAGATCTTAATAAATATTTTTTTATTTCAGTCAGCTTTGTTTCATGGTCTTCCACTGATACTGAACCATTGTCCCCTCCTGTCTGTATATCTCTCTTTCTCTTTGTCTCTTCTACTTTCTCCTTCTCTCTCTCTCTGTGTTTCTCCCTATGGTTCTTTGTTAAATTGTCCCTCTGTCTTCTCTCTATCTGAATCCTTCCCTCTGTATCATTGCTTCTATATCTCTCCATCTTTCTCCCTCTCTGTATCCCTTCATCCTTCTGTTTTGACGTATCTGTATTACTTTCTCCGTCTAATCTCCATCTCGTTCTCTCTTCCTATCTCTGTCACTCCCATCCGCGCCCCCTCCCTCCATCTCCCTCTGTCGGTCCCTGTCATCGACAGTGCGAGCGATTCAAGGCTCACGAAGAGCTGTCGAACCGCCGTCTGCTCTGGCATGGCACCAACATTGCGGTGGTGGCAGCCATCCTGAAGAGCGGCCTGCGCATTATGCCGCACTCGGGCGGGCGGGTGGGATGCGGAATCTACTTCGCGTCGCAGAACGAGAAGTCGGCACAATACAGTGCGTACTGCTGCTGCTCGGGTGCCTCCTGTTGTCGCCGATTGATTTTCTTTTTCAATCTACTGGTCAGAAATTCATCGGGATATCTCTCAGACGTGATTTCGGGTTGCGCAGCATTTTGTTTGGTTGCGGAAGAATTAGTTCAATTCTCGAAGACGCTGCCAGCGTGTGGAGAGCAAAACGTCAGACATCATCCTGAACATCGCGTGGTCCAACCCGAAAACACTTTTGAGAGCATACTCGTAATTTGTTAGGATATTTTTTTTTATCTCACAAATAATGGACTCTTCTTTTGCAGGATATAAGTGTGGGTTGGTAGGTGGGTGTGGGGGATGTACGACTGGGTTGGTTATAGATAGATCGTTTATTGTCATTGTCACCAGTACAACGAAATTTATCATTCACTACTGATATTAACCATGGCCAGGAATCGAACTGGGATCCGTAGTACAGTGGCCTAATCACTGCTCTTCTGCTCCACCCATACAGATGAAAAGTAATTCTCTTTTCAAGCAATGTCTTGATATTTACGACACATTTATGAATCCTTCAAATCAAATCTTTGCGACGTGGGGGGCTCATAATGGCAATGGCAGAGCGTGAAATAGTTCCTGATGATGAGTTTACGTGAAACACTTTCACCGGGATTACTTTCATGCTGAACAACACGCGGTACGACCAGAAAACACTTCAAGGATTATGAAATGCCACATTCTTTTTTTCAGGGGATTCTACTACTATGAATAGTAATGACTTTTAATGTATGTACTGTATGTATGTTGAAGTTATTTCGCAATGTACGTAGCCAACCCTGTGAATAGGAGGTGTGGGGAAAGGACAACAAACTAAACACAAAAAGCAGTTCTAAAGGAATGAGTTTTCATCGGAGTAAGGTAGCATTTAACTTGATGTTGTTGGTGTTTATTTTCTGCTTGGCAGTGGGCTATGCCTGTGATGGCCGGGGAGTGATGTTCCTGAATGAGGTGGTGCTGGGGAATGAGTTCACCATCACGAAGGATGACAGCAGCTTGAAGCAGGCACCCGCAGGCTACAACAGCGTGGTGGCACGCGGTCATGTCGAGCCAGGTACGGATCGCCAGCACCGTCGTCGTCATCATAACCCCTGTCCACTCATGCAAAAGAGGCGTTCTACTGTGGTAACACAAGATTTTAAGCAAAGAAATAATAAAAGTAACAGCCTTGCTCAGGTATGTGCTTTTAAAACTGCTATATGGGGAGCAGGTTGTCTAGAAGAACATAGTTATACCTCATGAAGAGTTAAAGGATGAACGTTTGACCATCAAAATTCATGGGGAAGCCTCTCTTTCATTCTCCATTAAGTCATCGAGAAGGATAATTTTGTTTCTATGTTGCTATGGTAGAAGGCTGAAACCGCAGTTTTCACAGGGTTAGGTTTTGGAAAATATTCTTCCATATTTAGTTAATCAGCGGTGAGCCCTGCCTTCCAGTTTCAATGGGCGATGTGGATATCTGATGCACAAGTGGCGATTAAAGGACAATCCGCACTGCAACTGTGGCAAACTTCAAACAACGGAACACATCGTGAACAGTCCCCCCTTTAATTCACTTCCCGGTAGGACATCAAAATGTTTCACCACATCATAACTGATGTTCATGACTGGATATCTGAACTCTATCTACATTTTGAATGTTGCTATTTTCATGTGACAGAAAAGGATTCTATTTCTGTCTCTTGGCCTCATTCGCAACGTCCTTCCAGAACTTCCTTCTTCGAGCTTCCACCTCTGAAGTAGAGAAGCATTGCAGGATTTTCGACCCGAGATTTTTGCACTTTTGTTACCACCCATGTGGCCCAGTGGTTAGCGCACTGCACTATAAACCCTTCGATCTGAGTTTGATACCCGGTCATGGCGAACAACAGCAGCGATTGATGTTTGAATCGCACTGACCAGCGTGGTGAATTATGGCCAAACAACCCCATGATATACAACAGCACGGGGATGTCTCCATCCAGCAGCGGTGGATTCACACAGGGCTGTAAAATTGTTATTTGTAACATTAATTTATTGTTGTCATCGTTTCCATGGCAGACCCCAAGAAAGACGTGACCCTGGAACTAGATGGAAAGCAGGTGACTGTGCCCCAGGGTCGCCCGGTGCAGGTCGCAAAGTTCAAGCAGAGCAACTTCAGCCACAGCGAGTACCTGGTGTACAACGAGAACCAGTGCCGTATCCGCTACCTGCTGCTCGTCAGCAATAAGTGACCGCCGGCACCACGTGCCAGAGCAGAGTGCTCGGCTCCGCGGGAGAGGTGGTGGTAAACGACGTTAATGATGGTTCAACACAGGTGGGAGAAACACATACACGGGGGCAGACGTGGGAGGAGGTATGTGTGTGTATGTATACAGTGTGATAAATACACACACTATACATATATACTGTAGAGTTGATATATTTATGCAGGGTGTCAATTATTGCTATTTAATTTAAATTTCGAGCTGGGACTATGTCGTTAAATCCACAAACTTAGTAGCATGGAAAATGTTTACCACTTGAGACACACTTGGGTACCGAGATTTGAGAATAAAAAAGGTGCTCTCTGACATCTTGGATTTTATTGTTTCGAATGATTATGTTATGTTGAAGATCACTTGAGCTTTTTGGTTGTTGTTATTATTGCACTTATTTACCCAGCAAATCCTGAGTCTCATCACTTTCGGGAGGGTCCGGCCAAGTTTTCTCAGTCGGGGGTGACGATTACTTTATATATTTCAATTGAGTATTTTGCAATTAATGTTTCAAACATGGCAAATTTGGACCACGATGCTGGCACACAATCGCCTACTCTTGTTAATGACGCCTCGGGAACTTTAACGTCCACTGAAGCAGATGGCGTGTATATGTACGGTTAATACACCCGCTGTATTAATCAGGGTAGCCACTGGATTCAAACCGTGAACTTCTGCAACAAGAGACGAACTCGCTACCCCTAAGCTTTGTCGCCGGTTTAAAAAACGATGTAATTATGACTCACAGGACTCTTGCAAAGGAATGAATCTCAGTGCATTTCCCATGGTTGTTAAAAGGTTTCACTCGTGTGTGTACTACACGATGTATACAAAACACTGTATATTAACACCCTCTGTCTACAACTGTACATGCATACATTCTTGATATACACCCGTGTATGCACGCTCTTGATCTCTCTATTAAGAAGTAAATTTACTTCTTATCTTCAATTGAATCCAATGTGCATGGTAAATTGATATAAATTTACAAAACAGTTAATAATGTCGTTTGAATAAGAGATAATGAATGTTTACACGTTATCACCTGGCATAGGCGAATGTAACCTGTATGGGCTTTATGTAATGAATCACACGTATATTGTGAATGGAGTTAATGATGGCCATGGATTGGACCCATAGACTCACTTTACTGCACAATAGGTGATGCCCACGAGTTGAGTAATCAATTCAGGGCACAGGGCACCTATTAAGATTCAGATGGACACTGTACAGGGATTGAGCAGTGAGGTGCTGTGTCACGTGAGGTCGATTGGTGTGCATCCGGTGATAATGACAGATGCACGAATGCTCCTCGGAAGAACACTTTGAGATAAAGAGTCGCCGGTCCACAACCCTCTGGTGTCCTCGGTGGTGGAGTCACTCAATCCTCAAGAGGAGGGCAGAACACGATGCAGAGTATTCCCCGGTGCAGCGTTGAGTCGATGGTGCATTGCTGAGTCTATGGTGGAGTGTTGAGTCTATCGTCTTTATTAACCTGTCTATCCCCTCGTTACGATCACGGGAAGAGGGATAGGGCGAGCCGGTTACACTAAGTATGTTGAACGCACTAAAATGTTATACAGCACTGAAAATTGAAGCTCAAAGCATAGCTTGAAAATGTGAATAGTTTATCTTTTTTTAATAAATGTTTTTTGCCTTCCCCCCACAATTGTATCTGCATTGTGTTATCGGCGTCGTATTACGAGACAATTCATTCGATGTATAATCGAAAGCAGTGCAACTCCACAGAAGTGGAAATCACTGAGCTACTTTTCATCGCAATCACTTTCAAGATATTTTCAAGTGGCCCTCTGGCGGACACGTTGGAGGGCAGCACTCCAGTCGACTGTCAATCTTGATTTGAAGCTTTCGTGACTGCAGGAATCCAAACTCTTTGGTACATTCGGTAAAGTCACGTAGGTAGAAAAAAAACTAAAATCACGACGTTTCGATGGCAATACAACCTGAGGACGACCGCTTATGTTGTGATCGAAACGTGAGAATTTTTTTTATACCTTAGTGACTTTACCGAAAGATCTAAAGCGTATAGTCGACTTGTGTGTTGCACGATCGGCACACCGATATTTTTCATTGTCAGAGCTCGAATTTAGGCTAATACAACAGCAGACACCAATGATAATATAATCATCCAGAAGCCACCCAATCTTAGCAGATCTCTATTAACATTCCTTCCCTTTATTAATGCTACCCCTATCCCCCTCCCTTTGATGCTGCTATGCTGCTAATGCCCATGCATTATGCAGGATTAGCATTTCACAAATAGCACTAATCGCATTCCTGTATTTCCCATAAATATGCTAAATTCCTCTTGATATGCAGATTATTTTGTCAATGCGCATTCCCCCCCCCCTTCCAACCCAGCTTAAATAGACGCTCCAAGCGTGGTGTTTTTCTTTTAGACGCTGTCGCCTCGACAGACCTGTCTTCACCTGAGGACGGCTACTTGTGTTGTGGCCGAAACGTCGTGAGAATTATTTTATTATGTTTTATTTTTATTTTTTATTACTTCCCTTCTACGTGACTTTACCGAAAGAACCAAGAAGATGAATGCCTGCAGTCACGAAAGCTTATCAGATCTCGTAAACTGAGCAGGCTTGAACCTGAATAGTGTTGTGATTGGTTACCACCATACATAAACAATGTGTCATATAGGCTGCGGGGATTTTTGATGGGCAGTAGATGGCAGTGCAGCAAAAAATTCCACGTGGTAAGCCACTTCATCGGGCTACCATTTGTGCCCAGGTTGCTTCTGAAAAAGAACTAAATAGGTTAGTGGGCCTTACCTAGTAAAATTTTAATAGTTTTTTTTAAATATATACTATGATTATATATTCCGACGTCTATACTGCCCGCCTTCAATCTCCACTGACCATCGTGGTGAAGTATGATTCAAACAATTCGCACAGCATGGGGATGTGGGTTCGGCCCTCATCCAGCAGTAGATGGGCAAGAAGGGCTGTAGGTGTACACGGTGGTAGGCGGGGCACACCAGCACACACGAGGGTTGGAGTGTGTGCTTTGTTTTAACGAGGTGAGAACTCGTGAAGACCAATAGGGGCGTCATCTGCAAGACTGATTTGGGTCACCAAAAATTACGAAGGCATAAAAAGGAAAAGGAAAGCAAAAACCAAAAAAACTCGCATGAGGAATCGATTACTGTGTATTGCAAACATAGATTAATGTTCAATCTTGATTTTAAACTTTCGTGACTGCAGGAATCCATACTCTTTGGTTCTTTCGGTAAAATCACGTGGGTAGAAAAAAGAAATAGATCACGACGCTTCGATCGCAACACAAGCAATCGTCATCAGGTGTGAAACGAATTTCAATATTTAGTTTTTGTTTAACATTAATCTATACTCTTTGGTTCTTCGGTAAAGTCACGTGGGTAGAAAAAATAATAATAAACACAGCAGTCGTAGAAAAAAATAAACAGAGCAGTCCTACTGCTGTGTTTATTATTCTTCTTTTTTACCCACGTGACTAGCGAAGAACCAAAGAGTATAGATTAATGTTAAACAAAAACTAAATATTTAAATACGTTAAATTTCGATTTAAAGCTTTCGTGACTGCAGGGATTCATCTTCTTGGTTCTTTCGGTAAAGTCACGTGACTTTACCGAAAGAACCAAGAAGATTTAAATACGTTTTTAAGTGAAGTATTTACCTTTCATATACGTTGCACTCCTGTCGTGTTTTGTATTGTTTGTTGTAACCTTCTGACCCCTACTGGAGATCTGTATGGGGGGGGGGGGAAGAGCTTTTACCTCATCGGATTTCTCCAGCCTCAACAAATACTCAAGATTCCAAAACGTGCACGTGTTCCCCATTGTGAGTCATAAATAGAATTAGCAGAGCGCATAAGCAGCGCTTGCAAACGCCGGGTGCCGCTTATCCGCACTGGGAATTCTGGCGGCGGGGCGCGTGCGCTCGTGACGCCTGTAAAGCGTCACCGGTTGGGGGCGTGGCCACTGTCGTGAAGTCGCTCGCGAGTTCGGCCGAGTCCGTGGGTCGAGCTTGTGGAGACCGCGTCGCTAACCAGGTGAGTGAACCACCGCTACCCCGTCAGAGGAGAGGAAACTTGGTTGTTTGTACGGCATCCGTTGTTCCGTCCCGTCACCCACACATCCGAGTGTCTTTTCTCAGGCTTGGGGTGTCGACGAGAGAGGAAAAATCGAAAGTAGGACGCGTAGGCCGAAGCCTACGGTCTGGCCTAGCGGTTTCGCCGGGTTTGGCGAGACGTCCCCTGTAGGACGTGCGGTCTCTTGCCGGTTCTCGCCTCTCGGTGTGTTTACTTAAAAGAGTTCATGTTTGAGTGATTTGTGGCGATTACAAAGTTTTGCGAAGACAACTATGGCTGGTATCACAAAGTGGTAGTGTTTGATATACCGTGTAGAGGTTGTAGAGGAAGGGATGGGTTGAGTTAATCCGTACTGAGAACATGTATTGACTGCTCTATATGTAAGTAAACACGAAAGTTAAGCAGAAAGTTGTACGAAATTATCGACCCTGCGAGATGGTACGCCGAGTCCGTTTTCAGTTTTCAGTTTCATTTATTAGGTATAGCCCTGTGAGCCATTCGGCTCTTGAATCGGGTACAACCGCAACAAACAAAAAACAAAAACATGAACAAGAAAACATCTTAAAGTGAATATGCGCAAACAGAAAAATCCAGGAAAAACTGCAAAGTCTTTGAGAAAAAAGCACCGTACACCAACGCTGTGCAAAATTCCCAGTGGGATGCAAGTCAAACAACAACAACAACAACCACAAGACAACTTAGATTAAAGCCATCATTCTAACGAGTCGATCCTATTCCACGTATGCAGTATGTACTGTAGGTTGGACTTCTTTCGCGCCGTACGTAACCAACCGTGCTAATCAAACAGCCTGTGACAGACTCCGTGTTAAAGGGATCATGGTAGCCACACAAGATATGCCTCCACAGAGCGTAGCGTCGTCGTCCGGTAGAGTGTGATCCAGCTCCTCGCTTTAGCATAGCCACAGATTTTCCTGTGCGCTTGCACGATAGTTAACACGAGTCCTGTTCAAGTTCAAGTTCATTTATAGGTATAGCCCTATGAGCCATTCGGCTCTTGAATCGGGTGCAACCGCAACAAACAAAAAACAAAAACATGAACAAAAAAACATCTTAAAGTGAATATGTGACTGAGTGCAAACAGAAAATCCAAAAAAAGACAGCAATATATTGCGGAAAAAAACACCGTACACCAACGCTGTGTGCAAAAATCCCAGTGGGATGCAAACCTGTGGATGTGAAAGGACCGGTACATTACTGTGATTTTAAAGGACACTTAAAAAAAGCGATGCTTTGATTTGTGAACACGGAAACGATAGAGCCAGATCGACAACATTCTTTGACCTGCCGTTTTAAGCAACTACAACAAAAACCTACTGTGAACTGAAATGCCACACCCGTGTCGTTTTGCAAATTAAACAAAACGTGTTTGAATTCAAGTTGGAGTACAAGTCATTTTAAGCGTATTTACTGATACAGCTCTAGAGATACACATAAACATATTGCCTAGTGCAGTAGAGGGATTTATACAATACAAATACAATGAGTGGAAATGTTACCAATGTGATCACTTTTGTCAAACAACTGCTGAATGAGGGCCCTCCCCTGACGCAACATTGAGAGGCAGTGTTTGCTTGTAATTGATCTGAGTTCCATTAGTTTATTAAAGTTTCAATCATGCTGGCAATGGTATACAGTACTGCTAATATGTGTGTACAATACCCCACAGATTGTGTTTAGTGCTATATTATGTAAGTCTAATAACAAAGGGAATTTGTATTTTTTTATTTTTCCAGAGGCCATATTATTTTATTAATGAACACCATATTTTATGAAATGTTGTATAGTATATATTGTTTGGTGTACGATATTACCATGGTGCGTTGAATCTCAACCTGCTTGTGTTGCTATCTAAACGTCGTATTCTATTATTTAATGTATTTTCTTTCTACGTGGCTTTACCGAAATAACCAAAGAGTAATCCGAGTACTTTTTGGTTCTTTCGATAAAGTCACACAAGCAACCGTAATCGGGTACAAATTAATGAGAAGACAAACACAGTAAACTTGGAAATATAGTCATCTAAGTATAGCCTGTAAGTCTGTCGTGTATTTCCACAAATGTGTCACATTTTGTAATATTTAAACTCTTGGGGTTGGCAGATGTTGTAATGCAAGGCCATGGTTGTTATCGAATACTATCACGGGTTATGGAAATTTCTACACATTTGTCTACAAAAGTCGGTACATTTTGTCTAATATCTACGTGATAACGGAGGTAGGCAAGGCTATCAATGACTTTTTTTGTTTTGAGAGATAGTCGGAAGGGTCTCTTAGTACCCAAGTGACTGCAGTATAAACATGGACGTTTCACTTCATCAAATGTGTGCAGTGTTGTGTATTACATTGTGGAGTTTTTCTATCTTTGACATTTGGCGTGTTAACGTAATGCCGCAAGTCAGTCTTTGCCTTTGAGAGTTACAATGCAACTCGCTGCCATGAATCTGGAATGAGGAACTTCTAAATGTACAACTGATTCTGTCGTGTGATGTGTGTGCACTGCATACTAATGGTATGTGTCGTCTTAATAATGTAATTGTCATAGCAAATGTCTGTATGCCTTTTCTTTCAAAATAATATACTTTGTATTCTCAAACTGTGTATACAATCCACGGTAAAGGATTACCGAAGACCACAAAACAGCCTGAGATCACGTACACATGCAGGGAAATGAAAATATCCTTATGTCTTGTAAGAAATATGTTAGTTTGTTTCATTCAACAATTATTTATTGGCAAATACTTTGAATAATAAGTGGGGTGGCTGAATAATGTTTAAAAAAACTAATTATCGTGGTGTTTTTTTGTGTGCTGGCTGAGAACATCATGCGAATTGCACATGACAACTTCTGTTATTTGCGCTTCGCTGACCGGGATGCACTCCAACGTTACTAGCGGCGCTAACTCATTGCTCTGACACAAGAAAAGAGATTTGTATCATGAGTCATCTAGCCACCTCCTTAAAATGTTATTTGATTGGTTACTTTGCATACGTGACTTTACTCCATCGAGACTGGCCAGGTGGCAGTATGCTCGGAGAAATTGACTCACAATTATTGGAAGGTCGAGATCACATCACGGTCATGGGGTTGTGGAAATCCAGCCTAACATCCCTCTGTAGTCAATTTAATGAGTACCACTTTCTGAGAAATCAACAGTGGTTGCCCTGTTCAGAGGCTGGCTGTCATAGGGACAACAAATTTCCACCATGGGCTCAAGGCGAACAAAAGAGATTCCCACTGCCCATATTTGTCATTTGAGCAGTAGATCTCTTATCTGCGTTGATTTGGACGGAGTGGGGGGGGGCTATTCGTGCATGTTCGTTTGATCAACATGACCAAGTGTGGATAAAAGGATGTATTTGCTACCACTTCTCGATTACTTTTATGCATGTGTTGGCACTTCTAAAAGGACCGATCTATGTAAATGACGAGATACACTCTCAGGTTAACTGTGTTCAAGTCAAACTCACAAATAAGTCTAGATAATACCCATGATATCAAATCACATTCATCCTGTCAGGTCTCGGAAGCTAAGCAGCTTTGAGCCTGTGTTGTTCTTGGATGGGCGGCCACGGTGCACAGACAATCCAGAATCAGTCGGCGTTGTGGGCAGTAGAGATAAGTGCAGCAAAATCCATTGTTCTGTTCTCCCACCCACCACATTCACCAACCTGTACTGAACCAGCGTGGTGAGGTATGGTCGAATGACCCCCGCGGCCTGCACGGCGTGAAGGTTATATTGGGACGCGGATAAGAGGAAGGGTCGATATAATAGGGGTGGATAAAAGGACTTTCCCCCCCTCTATGACGTCTATCATCACTGCAGCAGAATGTTAATTTACCAATACTCCTACTGTTTATACGATAGAATGTAACCAACATTACAAATTACTTAATAAAGAATGCTGAATTCAGTGTGCTGGTTACGTAATTGTGTTGGTGTATTCTGCATGATCACGTGCTTATGTGATGTCTTTTCTTGTACAGGCCATAATTACGAGTTGATATGTTTGGACTTGCCCAATTAGAGTAAATTAGGCTCAGCTGTGTCTCTTGCCTGTGTTCTTTAAATGAGTCACAGTTGCACATTATATTTCCACAAGTGTACCACGTGTGTGATTGCGGTTAAAGCTGGAGCGTTCGTTGTGGTTTGTACATGTGTTGATTTATATATATTCTCCTTTTGAAGAAGTAAAAATGCAGAACAATAATTATGCAATGACCGTAATAGGCAATGTTGCAATTGTTTTCTGTCTAAATTTCGGACCAAGGTATGAATCGGATGACGCATTTATTCTCAAACACAATCTGAATACATTTTAAAAGGGATAATTTTGACGAGTAGATAAAATAACACATTTGTCGTTTTCTTTTTCATTTGCAAGCTTGTAATCCTCATGTATTCCATATCTTGTATTTCCTTACGTAGAATTTATGACCAGAATCTATCCCTTGTGATGAGCAAGGGAAACTTGGCAAGCTGTCACCATTGGTTTTTGGCCTTTTAAATGAACACAGTGAATATATTATATTAAAAACAGCATAATGCATCCTTGTGTCCATGGCCTCCAGCCAACATTAACGTTTCGTAGCGTGATAATTTGAATGATTTATAGTGTGTGGCTTTACGGTTGCAGTGTTTTTTAAATGTGAATGCGCACACTTGGTCGTTACACTGTCGTACTTGTAAAACTTAACCCATTGCTCGTGTCGCGTGTCCCCGCTGTCCCCTCTAAAAGGCAACACCGCCTCTTTATCTCCGAACAGCCCCGGGCCCTCGCCGCAGCTTCCTGCATTCTCAGCGCTCGTGCGTGCCCGGCCCTCGCGCACCTGCTGCGTGGCGAAATTCTGCACGCGCGCGCCACCGTCGCCGCTTTCGTTGGGCGAAGCGGAGGAGCGGAACGACTGAACGCGGTTGCCGTGGTGGTGGTGGTTGTGGTGAGGAGAGAGGAGGGAGGAAATCCCTGGGATGAGCCGCGGCGCGCGGCAGTGAGGTGTGGTGGGGGGGGCCGCCCGGCAGACGGGGCGCGCGCAGCATGAACGAGTCGCCTTCGTACGGCACGACGACCCTGCCCGAGAACACGCCGTTGTTCGGCGAGGCCTCGCGCAGGGTGAGTAGCCGTGCCCCCCACCGCCACCTTCCTTCTCCATTGCCGACGGCACCCGCTCGCTTTGGAACCTCGCAGCAATTCGGTCGGCCGGTCGGTGTGTATCTGCGCGGACGAGAGAGGGCTGCGAGTGTCGCCTGTGTGCCCTTGTTTGTAAAAGATGGCGAGAGCAAGCGTTTGGTTGAGTGAGTGAATGGGCGGATTAGGTCGGAGGGCTGAGCTTGCAACGCTCTGAGATTCTGGGTTTTGATCCCGACTGCCACCCGCCTGTGGTTATATTTGGTTCACAAATGTCGTGAGTTGACGGTCTGAATGATTGGTCCAAAAAGAAAGATGATATTAAATTAGTTTTCTTGCTTATTGTGGCTAAATTACAACTGACAATGTGATGAATATTACTCTGTATATATAGCAGGGTGGGTGGGAAAGTGCTTCCCTCTACTGTGCGGAGCAGGTCACTTGAAGGGATTTCGGAAGTAGTTCTATCACATCCGTTGCTGTGGGCTGTTCTGTATCGCGTGGTGTGGTAGCACTGCTCAACGAGAGCTCCGGATGGATTCTCTGTCTCGAGTCGTGAGAACCACGGGTGGTAGTGCTCCTCTTCTTCTATTGGTGATCTTAAGCCGTTGTTGAAAATTACACATTTGTACGCCAGGATTCAGTTCTTCTTAGGACAACCACCGTTCATTTCCTACGATGTGGTGCTTATTTTACTGACTGCAATTAGACATTTTGCTTAGTTGGCCCCTGGTAGGTCATTCAACGTGTGGCCTTCCATTAGACCCGAGATCAGTTATAATTACCATTTTATCCGCTTTGTTAGCTAACATCACAATTACGGTTTTATTGCAATTCATTACGAATGACACAATTACAATTGTATTTTACCCCAGGTCTGCTTCTCTTTGTGAATCAAGTGATCTGACATGGTACTACCCAGCTGAAAAACTGGGGTAACCTGTTGGTCGTGCATATTAAATGGCAATGTAAGGGGCTGTGTTGGCAGTGGTCTACAACACATTGCCTCTAGCTAAACCGCATATAATAGATATGTGCTGTCTTGGCAGGGAATAAATCACAAAGGGCTATAAATAACATAAATTCTTCTCGGTTTCTTGGTGTTATGAGGAACCCCTTGTCCACCCAGCAGCACGCTGCAGATGAGTCTCAAAGAGTGGAAGCCGGTGCAAGATTTGCCGAATTAAAAAAAAAGTTGCTGCTGTAGAACTTTGTCGTGTAAGGTTTATTTGTACAATACATCATTAAACTCCGTTTATGGTAAGGGCCCTTCTCTTGGTTTGGAAAAAGTATTATTCCATAAGTGGCGGTGTGGCTCGGGATGAACGTCTGCCTTGTTATTGGCACAGAGTTGACATTGTGGAAATCTTGGGTTTATATCGAGGCGTCATCAGCCTCTAAGGACATTTATTGTTTCCGCACCTCTGATTAGCATGGTTGACTATGTACGGTACAAAAGAAGTTCACGTATGTACATAGTCGTTTCTCATCATGTGACACCGATATCTCACTTGGAAGATAAACATAAGAAAATGGCACAACCCAATATGGTTGTTTACTGTCTATTATGGTTACAAGGCAGTGTTTACAGCGGTAAGGTATTTTTTCGCCTGTGTTACGTAGGGGTGGTTGGAACCTGATGACATTAGTTTGATTCCCAGCCACGGCTACCATCAGACGAGATTTACATCTGAACCCATCCTGTGCCCTCCTGCACATTTACCAACTCGTACAGACCTGAGTGATGAAGTATGGTGAAACACCCGCAATGACCAACACAGCATGTAGGAGGCCAGTAGTGATCCATGGAGGGCTGTAAAATGTAAATTGTATTTAAAAATCTGTTATATAGTGGCAGTTATTATTTGCTTGCAAGGTCATGTGTTGGAAGTTTGCCAATGACGCACACTGTCCTGCTCTTGTGAAAGATGCCACGAACTCCTGATTGTCCACTCATCGTTTTGTAACGTGCTACATGTTTTTTCATTTACAATAGTTCACTCGCAACTCATCAAAGTGTGGTTTATGGGATATTTGAAGGGGCCTGCTTAGTGCTGCTGTGAGGCAAGACTCTCAATGGCAAGCTCTGTTCGTCGACACTGATCTAAGCTGCAGCAGGGTAAATGAAGCGATTAGCGTTTTCAGGGTAATTGGGGACATTTCTCAATCTCTCTTCTTAGCTGACGTCAGCCGAAAAGCACGTAGTTAATCCACGTGGTTTAAATCTCACCCAGTGAAGCAGCTTGTCGCAATGAGGCTGCCCCTCACCTCAGAGTGTGCACATTGAGCGGTATAACCCAAAGTTAAACCATAAACTAAACAATTTTTATTTTACCAGATGAGGCCCATTGAGCTATATAGCTCGTTTTCAGTAAGCGCCCCGATCACAAATGATAGTTCAACGAAGTGGCTTATCATGTGGACATTTATAGCAGCCAATTACTCTAAACGCATGTTTCTAAATGTGGAGGGGAAAACCAGAAGACCCGGAGAAAAATCTATGCGACTACAGGGAGAGAAACATGCAAACTCCAAATATTCATGCGTCCGGGTCGGGATCAAACCTACGACCTTCCGTATACTAGGTGAGCAAGTTAACATCTCGCTAAGCCAGAGAGTGGAACACTGCAATGCCCTTCATTTTCCCAGGGAAATCATGCTTAGTCACAAGATGAATGTGTTTGGAGGCTCCTGCATATAGATGTTGAGCCATTTTATCTCGGGAGTGTTTTACATGTTGTGGTTTTATTATTCTTATTCGCTGTATCATTACACAAATACAATATATTTACGCATACTTAATAGATGCCGTAATAGTTGTTTGTAGTGTAGACTCGCACGTTCACTGTGGGTTAAGCTCGGCACCACATGCTTGCTGACATTGCATTTACAATCATTAGTACGTACATTTACGTACGAAATATATGCTTGCACACCAGGAATCTCTGTTGTAAAATAGCCAGACATCTGGCGAAACGAGATCATCCGTGTGACAATTAAAAACAATTCAAAGGTACTGCTGAATTCAACGTTTTGACCGTGCATTATTTTCATTTGTTAAAACCGTAGTAAAATGAGTTGAAAATAGTCATTGCAGACAGAAGCTTTTTCTTTTTGGGTAAACATTGGAGAGCTAAATCGGCATTAATGTGTTTGCTAGGCGTGATTTTTTGTAAGTTTTAACTATTATAACAGCGTTAAAATGACTTTAATGAATGGGTTACCAATTCAAATATGAGATGAAGTGGTTTGTTGTTGTCTTTCTAGGATCGAATAATCAACCTGGTCCTTGGCGTTTTCACATCTCTGCTTGTTCTTGTAAGTTCACTTTTATCCACCATTGTCTCACTCGCCACATTATATTTAAGCACACTCTTGATTGTACATGCTATTCAATATCCTGCTGCTCTTTTCAAATAGAACGCTGGAACGCGTATTTCATAATCGTGTTCGTACAAGTTCGCTCATATTATTTTGTTTTAAGGTTTATTATTAACTAGTTCACAAAGCCTGTCTGGAAAAGTTTTCAATAAATATAATAAATAACCTGATATGATTTTTTTGACAATTTTTATCTACGATCAGATGCTAACAACTACAAAAAAAGTATTTTTTCACAAAATAAACTAACTTTGACGACTTAATTCAACTTGTATTTAGAGACGTACCCATCAGAAACTGCTCAATTTAAATATTCCGTTATTTTTTTTATTAGAAAGAACATAAATTAATAAACTTAATACTCTGAGGGGAAGTTCCTATCATTTACCGTTTTTTTTATTATTCAGTTAAGAACTGCTAATTATTTGCTGATTAATGAACTATCAAAATAAAAAACCCGCAATTTTACATTTTAAACTGCTTCTGAATGACATGCACAGACATGCTTATGTGCCACTTAAGATCTGGATTTGGGGTCTTAAAATGAAAAATCTCAGATTATCAGATTTTTCTGTACAAAATGTCAGTTTTCGACCTTGTCGGGAAGTACCATAGAGGTTTGAGACATACATACAGATTAAGGTCTTATTTATATAGATTAAAATAATAAGTTATTGTTTAAGTGTTCTATAAGCTTTGTGAATTAGGTTTGCATGCTATAGATTTGCATTTGCTTGCATTTTTTTGTTTACACAGCACTGCCTCTTTCTAAATGTTGTCCCACTTAAGCGAGTTGAAATTACTACACCATTTATATATATAAAGAATGCTTGTTCATTTCATTACATGAGTGCTTTCATCTCAATACTTTTCACCGACAGAACATCAATTGTCATAAAACAGCATTATAACTAAAAACCTCATGACGCCAATCCATCACAAGGTGATTATTTTGTAGAGCCTTGATTTTCCTGATTTAAAATAGATTTAGTCACGATACTCTTCTACATTGGTGGTTTCGAACAAGGGGGTTAGATATTCCACATTCTTATGGCATGGGCCAATACGTCCCCTACACAAGCATTGTTGACATCTGACAAATTGGTGCACGGTTCTATAAAGCCTAAGAGGGAAGGTGAGCTCATGCGAATTCCTTGCATGTGAACCAAGTGGGGTGTCACATGTACCAAATTCAGATTATATATTCGTAGAAAAATAATTTGCACACATAATTGATGCAGGTTTTGCGAGCGTAGGCCTCGGTTATAGTCAATTAATTGAGTCATCGTTACCTGGCCAGTGAGCACGATATCCCTTAGCGGTGTCACCTGTGATTCCACGTGTGAATATGTAATTTTCACTGAATGTAGGTTTTCGCGCACAACGAGTAATCGACTGTAGGTGAGTGTGAAGGACTCACTCTTTGGTTCTTTCGGTAAAGTCACGTATAAAGATATTATTTAATTTATTATTTTATCTTTATACGTGACTTTACCGAAAGAACCAAAGAGTAATTCCTGCAGTCACGAAAGCTCCATATTAAGAGTGTGAAGGACTCATCGCATAGCCACCAGAAGAGGCCCGGTGTGTCTGGTTCTGAAAGTTTCACACCGACCTCGTTTTCCAGCGATAGGTATGATGCTAAATTAAGAGTGCCTCATGTGACACGTGGCAGTGTGAATTTGGCCTTGTCTTGGGGCTGAGGTCATATTGAAAGCGATGAACCCAGGATTCAGCAACCAGCGTGTCAAGCACTAGGGCCACCCAGCCACTTCTGATTGGTTTGCCTTTCCCGTATCTTGCCCTGCTGTCGTGTTTCTGTATTGTTGTTGTAACGTTCTTACCCGCCCCGACTGGATATCTTTGAAAAAGAGCTTTATAGCTCATCGGATTCCTCCAGTAAAAAGAAATTTTCTGACTTTTGCGTGGTTGTACATTCCATTTAAATGAACCGTGGTTTGGCCTTGCCGTTTTGCAGACGACGCTGGTGGCTGCGTTCGTCCTTCCCAAGGGTGGCAGCTCGCACATCCGAGGAGCCAATGTCTACTTCGCTGTGTGCATCCTGCTCAATTGCATACCGATGATCGTGCTCGTGAGTCCTTGCGTCTCCCCGCGTTGTTCTGCTCCTGACCAAAGGCATGCAACTTAAGTGCACATTTCTTTCAATTTGAGAGCATGCTTTGTTAAACTTTAAAAGTAAGTGAATGCGTGCGAGATTAAGAATACTTTATTTGAAAACGTCAGATTTGTGAACATCTATAGAAAATGTCAATGGGAACTGTTCACACATACTGCACTGGATGCGGGCGGTTAATTTGTGAATTCACTTTGAGTTTTGACTGTTTAACTCGCAAACTGTTTTCTGTTTGCTTTTGCGACAACACGTGGCGTGCTCTACAGATAATCTGGTACCGGTTGGGTGACCTGGAGCCCAAGTTCCGCACTCTGATCTACTACATGTCCTTCACCATGGTGCTGCTCTGCATCTGTGCCATTCTCTTCTTCAACAAGGTTGGGGATTGACGGGGGAGTGGGGGGGGCCTTGGGAGAGGTGAGGTGACGTCTCAATTAAACACAAGGTTTACCCGGATGTAGTTGGGTAACGGTCAACCCTAACGTGTACCCTTAAGTGACTCGCACACAATCGTACAATTGTATACAAACGGACCACCTCAAATATTTGCGCATTGTGATCGCCTGGCTGTGCACTTTGAATTGTATTTTTTCCAACTGAATACCGACAATGATCCCCCTGCCCCCAGAGCTATTGATTTCCTATTTTTTTCTATTCAACAGAGGATCGTGTGAAACATTACAGTAAATGTGTGTTTACACTGAAAAGTTGATTCAACGGCTTTATAAGACCTTTAATTTCTGGCCAGTTTCTTGATAGTCCGATCGGAAAACAGTGTAACTGTTTTCCTAAAATATGGCCGAAATTCAAACTCTCCTTGCTCATCCTCTGTCAGCGGTCATGAACCATTGGCAGAAATTTCACATTTCCATGGTTTAAACCAGTGCTTTGTTAGTCAGCATGGTATTCTTTTTAGTTTAGTGGATGACAACCTGTTGCTAACGTAGAAAACAATCACGAAATTATCATTGCGTCCAGTGTAAATACGGTGAGCATTGAATGGCTTCATAAAGTCCACAGACTGCGACGTCACTAAAGTTCCGTCGGTTATCGTCGACTGAAAAATACTAATGTGCCAACTTAGACGACGCTGGTCAAAACGCACTGCACGAACGTATGGTGTCCCATGTTAATGGTCGGAACTCATCAAGACGACAGCACGCAAGAGTCCTTTTGTTGCATGAGGGATAAGCCAGTGTTATCTTGCCGTTTAATTTCTCATGTGCAATTGTCATCTGTTATGTCACCATATCTCTTCTTATTTGTGGCATTCAATAAAATAAACGCTCTTTAGTTTTCTACATGATGACACGAGCAATGCATCATAGACGGTCTGCTGTGCCAAGTATTAGGCATGTAACTATGCACCAATTTAAATCTGATTGTTATGCTCATAGTACAAATGCTCACGACCCACTTGTACGTGTGTGAATAGATTATTTATAACTAATACAAAATGTATGTTGATCTTATTTTTGGCGCGAATGAAATTGTACACAAATGAGTCGAGCAAGATGTCTGCCGACTACTTTCTTGCTTTCAAATTTGTGTCCTTGGAAGCCTTAACGTGAACAATCATCATATAGTGAAACAGGGTAGTGAGTGGGCACTGGGCTTCTCACAGATGCACTTGTTCGCCTGTCCTCTGCCGTGGGTTCCAGCCATGTGCTTGCGCACACATGCTAGTCAACACCAAAGCACGGGCCCATCTATGCATTGGCTGGGCCACAATAGCGGTAAATATCTCCATTGCCCTTTTGGTCAAACACCCCACAGATCCACCTGCAGTCTGCCTTAACAGTAATTGTGTCTTGTGTGTGAATCCGAGTTATTTTTCTGTACGTGTTTCCGTCAATCTGAATGCTCATGGCTGTGCCAAATTGTACGCACCAGAATAAAGTGGCAACTCGTTTGGGCTCGGCACGTTAGCGGGTGTGATGCGTTCACGAGGTCATGACTCGTACCGATTCATTTTGCAATCTTCTATGGCAAAAATATGCGAACAAACCGGCCATCTGGCCTTTGTCATTTTGACACTGAACAAGACGCGTAATGAAAAATATTGGCTCTTTATTCCTCGAATGCGTTATGGGTTTTTTTTTGAACTGACATGAGTTATGAAGTTGTCATGATCGAGAGTGTGTTTGTGTCTGATGCTGACAACTGGGCCTGAAATGAGGGAATTTTGTTTCTTGCTGCTGCAAGACTTGCTAAAAAAAATGACATGTGTTTATTTATCTCTGTGTGTGATCATACGCATCCAGGCATATGGTGATTATACAGCAGCCGTCGCTCGAATTAATCTATTTGTTCAGATTCTCGATAAGGAAAAACCGTATTCGTGACCATTTTACTGCACACAACACAGTTTTGCTGCTGCTGGATTCTATCAGACTTGGTAATTTGTTGAGTTTGGTCAGTCTGTTCTGGTCTGCGTGTTGGAGAACTGTTCAGCTTATATTGTAATGCAACGAGCATGATTCAGAATATTGCAGGAGTTTATAATGTTGTGATGTATAGTGTACAGCCCGAAGAGATTTAATATAAAATCATATTTTTATTACAGTGACAATGACAAGGAAGCGGTAACCGGTACAATGATGCGTGCAACAATCAGCATGTAAAATCTATTTTTTTTATTGATACCGTCAAATACACGACAAGCCAACATGCATGTGTTCACTGTATTACACAGCACCTCCAGAAGAATATCTGAATTGTTGTTCACTTTATATCGTGTTTCTTGCAAAATACATGGAAATCCTAAAACAGTTGTGTTAGTTTGTGTGATCGCACTTGGTACTGAAATAACACTTGATGAAACACAAACTTGGTAATGCCATCAAATATGTTTTCTGTTTGTCAATGTGCTTCACGATAAAAATAATTATGCTTAACGATAACCTCACTCGCTTGCTCTTTCATTCCTGCGACATGCTGCCTCCACACCGACTCAACAGTCTTTTGAGAATTTTGACCTATGGTCAAGATGTTAAACATTATTGACAAACCAGCTCATGTCCTCTTACGAGTGGATCTAGAATCTAAAAATCTGGCTGCCTTTTTTATACCATTCATGTGTTTTGGCAGTTAACTTTGATGTTCACACTTCACAAATTTCTCATTTTATACAGATACCACAATTTGTAAGTAGGGCATTTCACTATGGTTATGTCAAGAAGATAATGTCATGATAATCCCTAATAAATATGTAATTGGGTGCGTTTGTAATGTTGCTTTACCTACTGCACTGGAAAATTATAATGGGCACACTTTTAGTCGAGGTGGAATGATGAGTTGATTCATCCATTAATATTGTTTCCTAATCTTATGATGCACACATTGATGTTTATTTTTTATTTTGACCTTTTTGTATGCAATGGTGTCGCGTGATGCTGTAGCCATTGGACACGTTACCATTCGCATTTCTTGAATTCAGTTTTGGCAATGAATTGAAGCTTTCGGGGGAATTGATCATTACATCCCTAACTTTGAGCTCTAAATCAGTGTGTGATGAAACTGTTCTGTATTACCCCGGTACAGATATTGTCAACTATTTGTTCATGAACCCTCTAAACGAGCCTCAGATGCTGTTAAGGAGTTTGCCAAAAGCTTACGGAGCCCTCGGTCCAAAATAGTTTGAGAATCTCTATTCTGGCAGGTGTTGTGATTTTTTTCCACTCCGTTAATGGCAAACCAATTTTTGACACGGCCTGTATTTTGTCCTAAAAACAGCCTCAATAATTAACTGAATAAGAGAGTAAGTGACTATTTACAGAATGTATTTTCTGCTGCCAAGCGTATACCTTGTGAATGAACGTATAAACATAGCCCCTACTTAATGAACAAATAAATCCTGAAAGTATGGTCTCGTAATGACAACCTGGGATTTGTACACCTAGCCAAAGATTCATTTGGCAATCTGCGAGAATGTGCTTGGCAGCGTTGCTTATACTCACCTTTGATATTTTTTTTTATAAAGTGCACGAATATTTGTTTAAAGGTGTGAATATTTTTGGAGCAGGTGACACGGTGTACTTAGTGGTGGGGCAGTGTGTAGGATTTTTGGTTTTGTTTCAGTCCATGTAATAAAATAGATTGACGTTATGGTATTAACAGTATCGTAGTATGGTTATGTTTTGTTTATACATGCTTTTAATACTAAATTGATGCCATATTTCACAAGTGTACAGCATTTCTTCTACAAACCCAAAGTTTATGGGCAGTATTGAGGACACCTTTGCCTTTGACCGGCCAGTCCTGTGGGTGATGTTAAGCAATGATGGATTGAACGACCTTCCTTTCTAACAGGCTTATCAGCCAGGCTGTGTCTGCGCATCTAGCTGTCCTGTTTCAGGAAACAGATATAGATTAAGCCTCTGTGCACAGAACATATTTACCCCTCTGCACTGCATAGCACCGCTCTCCTTCGATACACAAGCCCCTTCCGCATAGTTTCACAATCGGTCAAGGTGATCATCAATTCCATTGCTTTGTGAGACATTTGTCTTAGCAACCAGTTGCAACGTTGCAAGGCCGTTACTTTGAATACAAAGTGTAACATTCAACGTTAAGTTTGAATTTGCAAGAGTTTGTTCGATGCGAAATGGAATCGCGATGTTTAACTCTTCGGTTAATGCGTGCCACTTAGTTATGGAACCCAAACACCGTACGGCACTTTATAGTAAAAAACACACTAATACAAAATTTACATAATGTGTGTTTAGAAAGGGTTTTATTGGGAGGGGATTTGCACTTGGTGAATATGATGATATTTTTCTTGGATTCTAGATCCATTGGGGCTGTATATAGAAGCCACACAAGAGAGAAGTCTAATCGAGGTTATTTATGTGACCCCTTTTCGTGTTCTGCTCGTAAACTGGTACGAGGCACTCTCCCTCTCTCTCTGCCCCGTGTTCATTGCTCTTCTGCTTCTCATCTGTCTCTACATCCATCCTTGTTGAACATCGCCTATCATCGCCGTTCTTTGTTTTTCCCCTCTTGGTCTCTTCCTAAAGAGTATTCCCTCAAGCCCCTCCTTCAACAATCCATTCCATCTCACCACTATCTTCACAGTCTCATTTCCTTCCTGTTTATATTTGAATGGGTTCACGTTTTTCTTCCACCTGAAGTAGCATCTTATTATGAAGTAGCGGCTGTTTGTTTTCTGTCTAGCTTATTTTCATAACCGTCTCCAAATCCGCATTTCAAAACCCTCCAATCTATTTACGCTTTACTTTCGTATTTTACATGCCTCGCACAAACACGTGACCACACTCCCAACATCGCTTTTCGTTATCTTTGACTTAAATTTGCTATCAAAGCCTTGTATTCGACTTTTTTTTCTTTTCTCAAGGCTTTATCAGCAATTCCAAATTCATGCAATTTTCAAGCACGGAAAGTTGCTCACCTTCATTAGTGGACAAACCAGTGGTGAAAAGTCCCCACTTTCTTATGACGGCGCTGGCTCGTACAAATGTTTCCACCGTAAAGGTTGTATATCAGTTTTCTTGCCACTCTACAAACATAATACCATTAAACAGAAGAATATGCACCCTTGTTTACAAGCACAAGCGCCTTTTCCCATATGTGCACTCTTTCAATTGTTTGCTATGAGAATGGGAAAGTTTGCTTAAGATAATTGACGTTCACTTTCACACCACGACTACCGTTTGGGTTTATAGGAATTCAATGTGATCCTGTGCCTAATGAGGTGAGAGCTGATTGTGGTTTGCTGTCGATTAAATTGAGAGACCTGGGGTAATTAGTTCTATGCCGTGATCCTGAGGGTCGCTGCGTAGTTTTCAGGTGAAGATGCAGTTGTGCAATTACTTCATGTCACCGCTGGTGGAAAAGGGCCTCTGCGCAAAGGAGGTCTCGAAGATAATTGGTCTCCTGCCATGCTGACTAGACCTCTGGGTAGAGGTGGGGGTACCCAGACTTTACCACACCACGCACGGCCTGCCGATCGGCTAACTGGTGTACCCATTTAAACAACGTTTGTAATACGCAACGAAAGATGTATAAACCTCGTGTTTCTACTGGGAGTTGGCTCACGACCAATTCTAAAGATTCAAAGGTGCGTTGTTTTTGCTGCATGTCGCCCGAGTTTAAATTCGATTCGTAATAATGGCAGTGCTGCTGTAATTTCCAAATCAGACTCATATTTACAATTCTGTGACTTAACTGCAGTGTTTTTGAATCTTAAGACGTAATTCGTTTTAAGTACTGTGGATTTTCAGTAGTTCAATGTTTTTTACTCTCCTTGTTGTTGGTTGTGTTGAAGGGTTTAATTGCATAGCTGCGTGGTCAACTGATTTTCTACTAATAAAACACTGTTGATGCATTCTTTTAAAACTTTGGTTTTCTTGAAAAAAATAAAACCAGAAATGAAAGACTAGTGTACATGTGTTGAATTGTCTCCTAATTACGAATACCACATTAACTTAATAACTTTTGTTAAGTCCGCTGGAATGCAGGTACTCAATGGATTGCTCCATGGCAAGGTTCGGAGATGTGATGGCTTGGGGAGGCCTCCATCCAGCAATGGATTGAATATGGATGATGATGATAATTATAATTGGTTGTTCTCATATACAGTAGATATGAAACATAATTTGGTATTTTTCAGTTACTTATGTTCGGGTTTACACTTTTCAAATAGAATATAGAACCAAGTTAATAAGCCGTAACCAATATTAACATTTGCTTGTCTAACATTGTCTTGCCTGATGTTCCACACTTTTTTGTTAATTGAATTTGAATAAACCATTAAAGTATTCAGATGCTTTAGGAAAAAAGTACATACACGTGTAAATGAACTATTTAATGAGAGAATACCTTCTGTGGAGCTTAACCACACATACAGGTTTGTTACGATCTGAAGATTCAACGCCTGCATTGCCGTGCAAAACAGTCACAGCCATGCTCGTGATGGAATGTATTTTATTAAGAGCGTCTTGAGAAATACATAAATTGTGATTTCAAGAAACGCCTTGCTAGAAATTCTATAACGCCACAGCAGTCACTAATCGGATTATAATTGTGTTAGTAGCTCGGTTGACTCAATGAAATATGCACCTTGCAAGAGTGGTGCTGACCACTCGAGTCCCAATAATTAAACACTTTCTCACAACACCAGTAATACTGGATTTTTCTGCGATAGTTCTTAATACTTGTAAATGCAGTGTAATCTAGCAAGGTTAAGGCAATGATATCAAGTAGAGTATTTCATTCAAATATATATTCATATATTGAGAGTACTGAAAACTGTGCTTAAGTTTCAAAAGCAGCTCTGATTCGAGATTACATCTAGAAATACAGAAAAGGTAAAATGTAAACAGCTACAGTAACCTCTGTATACATTATTTAATCAAGGAAGCGGACCAGGCATTGGAACAGCATCCGAACACAGCGATCCCAGGTGTCATTGTGCAACATTCCACGGACAACGTGATTACTTATTGTTCAAGTCATGATTGGAATTTCCCTCAATTGAGCTCAGTTTAGCAACTGTCCATCCAATTTTCTCAATTGATTGACACTAATTATCATAGTAATTATAATCTTTAAAACAATCGTACAGTGTTAGTTAAAATGCATATGTAAAGGCAGCACAATTAAGAAACTTTCTTTGGAAGACATTGCCTTTACTTAATTCAGGTGTGAGCCCATCGAGATTCATGTATTTAATAGGAAAGTCTATATCATGGGACCTTTTTTTCCTAGTACCAAAGACAATGCATATATTATCAGAACATGTTCGCCACAAGTACGTGTGGTTAATGCAAACTTGATTCCTTGCAAAAGGTTTCTATTTTATTTTATACCTACGTGACTTTACCGAAAGAACCAAAGAGTATGGATTCCTGCAGTCACGAAAAACTTCAAATCAAGATTTTCTATTTGGTGTTTGAACATCTTAACACCTGTTTTATTGCCAGAAAGGGTAAAACCGGTTTTTATTTTTCATACTTTAGTAAAGTCCTGGGCCAAGTAAAATTAACATTTAAAAATGTCGGAATGGGGTATTTTTTCACCGCCACTTCGAAATGCGATCCACTGAGCGTCCCTGTGCAATTTGGACGAACGTTGAGTTTGGATTGACACAATGCAGGTGGGCTTCGTCTGGAAGACTCGGTGGGCACCTGCGTTCCCCGCAGGCCAGGCGAGCCACGCTCTAGGTGCAGTAGAAACCTCCGTCCTGCTTGCGCGAATATCCGCGGTTGGTGGCGGCTGAGTGGTGACTCTCTGTGCACACGCAGAGGCGAAGATCACACCACCACTGTTCAGTCGTACGGGAAGATGCCCGTGGCTAAACTGGCTACTCGGGTTAAGTGAGTTGGTCTCTCAATGAGAGGTAATAAAACGTGTTTTTATTGACGTCGAACAGACACTTTTATTTGTAGATGCATAAAGAAGGTGTGCCTCTGGTGTGGATATCTGTGAAAAAAGTCCTTCATATCTCATCGGATTCCTCCAGTCTAAATACATATTCTGATGAGTATAGAATAGTTATGAATATAACTTCTTTGCCTCATCACATGAGACCAATATTGCAATTGGAATGTAAATGTACAAGTGCAGCCCTGCAATTTCCGATGCCACTGCTGACAGAAAGGCCTCCACTATATGAAGTAGAGGGTAGTTTGGCCTCCCATTCCAACCGGCAATCTCTGAATGACACATCCAGTGTGCTCACCATTACACCATGGCAGCATTCCCGAAACGTATTTGTGGAAAAATGGCAAAACAAATGGAAAGAATTGTGTCCCAGGATGCATTGCTCACGGATGGCCCCAGCGATCGCATGGATCGTTTCCTTGTTGGGGACGGTGAATCTGCGCAGGGGCAGGCTGCTCGGATTGCCGCTGTCGGGGTTCTCTTCGACGCGGGTCTTCAGGGCCCACCTGCAGCCCCTCAACGTGGAACACGCAAAGGGTTTGTTGCGAAAAGGCAAATGTGGAGGAGGTGGCCCGGAGACTTAGGAGGGCGAATGCGGTGTCAAAGCACTGAGCAGGCACCCTGGATTTGAATCTGAGCAGACCTGTGATGAATAAAATAGTTGTTCAAGTGAAACGAGTTGATGGTCTAATGAATTCAGTCACGAATTAGTGCATGACAAAAAATACCCACGTTAAATAGAGTTAATATAGTTAAATAAAGTCTCACTCAATTCATAATATTAAATCAATTAAGACATACAAATTGGTTTGCCCTCCAACGGGCAATCTTTGCAAGACATGATAAAGGTGTGCCACAGATTACGTAACTGGATAAAATCGCAAAGAAACATTACCCCCGACTGGCAGGCGATATCCATCGATGAAACACAGCGCCTACATGATAAACCGGTGCAAATACCAAATGTACGAATTTACAATTGTCGCATGGACAAGAGAAATAGCGTCATGATGTCATATTCTGGGAACTGCTTTCTTACTCGCACTGCTCACTGAAAGCTGATTAAAAATGTACTATATCATGACAACATGACACCGATGGTACTGCACAAATTGTAATCACGACAACAATTAAGATCACATGAAAAAAGACAGATGCTCCTCGTGATTTATGGGTATGTTATTAATTAAATTGGCTGTTGAAGACAATTGATGACTATGCATGCACACGCACGTGTAGTTTAATGATTTCACAAGGCGCGTGTAAGAATGCAATTGATGGCTGGGACAAGTTCTGTTGATTAGGTTCCACTTTAAGGTTTCAAATTGGCACTACCTTAACAAGACTCTTCTATGGAGCTCTCTGAGGCTTTTCAGTGAAATTATATACCAGACTCTTTTAAAAGGGTTCTCTAGATGAGTCATCACATGTTCTATGGTTTTAACATCTAAAATTTTCTACACTAACTTTTAAAAAGTCAAAATGGTATCCAAATCAACAGAGAATTGTTTTTATCTCCTGTTTATAGCCTTGAACCAACCGTGGAAATTTCACATTTCTATGGCAGGACTACATCCTTTATCTTGTGTTCCTCAACCCTTTCAAGGATAACCTCCAGTTTGGCTTTTCTAGTCTGCCACATCTTAAACTTGAATGTGCATTTATGTTATATTAAAAGCACATCAGCGTGGGTGCTCATACCTATCCACACTGTTCACAGTTTCCCTCTGTACCAAGGTCTCATTTTTTCCTAGCAGGAATCCAGAGTGGTGATCGTACAAGGACTGGAGGACGAAATCCAGACTGTCTCTTGGAACCTTGAGTTTGAGCACAACACAGCCAGTTAGTAACGCGACACAGCATCAAAACGCACACCACACAGGCCCAGAAGCACAACGCGCACATGCAGACACAATGTACAATGAAAGTTACATCATTGCAAAAAATACACTCTATCTATGAGTGTAAGCAAACACATGGGCAAGTATTTGTGTGTATTTAAACGTTTGTTTGCAAGTGTGCACAAGTTTTCACGTGTCCTTTCATACGTGTGTTGGGAAAGTGCTGTTATCGAGCACATCATACATGTTTATAAAGCTTAAGGAGGGACCTCTGGATGTGACAAGCACCAAATCGTGGGAAACTAGCAGCGGCTACGCGATAGAAATTCAGGTTTATACCAGCCTATGCGTCAAACAGAAACCCTGCGTGGTGAATTATACCATGAGAATTTGGAGTCCACACCACTGCCACATCCTTTCTCATGGACGCTGGCGATCATGGCTTTCCATTTACCTCTGTCCACGATATATTACTAAAGAACTTGCATTAGATGCTCCCTGTTGCATCCAATCGTTCAAATTGCTGATCCGTACTATAATGGAGCAAAATTGTGAGTTTGTTACTCCAGATTCGTTTTTTTTACGAGACAATTTTTTTTGAGCGCAGAACATTTGTGAAACATTAACAGTCAATCAAGTAGTGCTTTATTGTATATTTAAGCGTCAGTTAACACACAAAAAATGTGAAAGTTAAATTTTGGAAAGGTTACATCCGGTTTACGACATCCCGATTAGCGACATGCCTTTACGACGTCTATTTAAGGCCACCGTGGATCGATTTATGGCACAGAATCTACATTGAGGGCCCATCTTTCCACACGATTCCGACTTCGTTTGCACGGCGATGATTCGACCGTGCAAACGGAGCAGAAAGTCGGCGAGGATTAATTTTTCTCATAAGGTCAACTCACTCGGGCAGAGGAAGGAAGAACACGAGGTGAGAAAATAAAATGTATAACGATTGCTTTGTGTCGATTTCAGTAGTGTAAACGTCGTGCAGTACTGCACTGTTCGCTTACCACTCTTGGCCTCTGAATTTATAGCGCGAGGGGACTGTTTTGTAACAAGTTACAGCATTCAGACTGGTTATAATACGTTGGCTTTTTAAAAAAAAGAACTATTTCTTACTGTTATTGTCTATTCTTGTCTTACTTGGAGTAGATTAGATTTAACTATTGAGGTTTTAGCCTCCTAGGTTCGAATCGAGATCCGAAGGCCACCCCCCCCCCCCCAGTCATCCGCAGGCCCGAGGGGGATGATTGCCTCTCGGTCTCGTCGACTCAATGTGCCGTATTCCCCGGCTATTTGCACCTCCTCGTTATCCTAAGTCAAAATATTAGGAACGTTAAATCTCGTTTGGTGGTGCAGCAATCGCGTACGTGAGCAGCATCACCCCCATGGCCGTGTAAGCAGAGAAAAAACAAAACCACTTTGCCTTTTGACTGAGGACTCCCCACTGCCGTCAATGGGGCATCTTTGCTGCGTGTGTGGAGTAGTTATCTTTGACGTTACGACGTGCCCGTCAACTCCTTATCAGTGCCCTACCTTATTACGGACCAAATTGGGACCTTATTGGTCACCCCGTGCCCTTGTAAACCTCAACGTTCATCATACAAAGTCCCATCATCACAAAGGGAGAAACACAAATCGACACAAACAAATGTTGCCCCTATTGAAACCAAGGGTGGCACAGTCGGGTTATTTAGGTTTAATTGTATTTTTTATATTAAACCCGATCATCTGAGATTGGTAGAAATCCGGTTTAATTGGTTCTAATTGTAGAACCGCACTTCTCAACGACGGGCTTCATCCATTCCAAGCTAAGGAACTCACTGGCGCCCACGATTGTGGAGAAGCTCGTGTTCATCAAGACCAACCTGCCCGCATTCTATGACTACCCCGTGCCCGACGATAGCAGCACCGACGAGGAAGCAGCCTAAGCCTTGGATCAGAGTTTCGTATTCATTAAACCAGGTTTTAATTCCCTGAAATCGGGTTTAATTGTATTAAAGAAAAAAGCCCGATGCCTGCCGCTGGAAAAATCGGGTTTTTTCCACCCATGATTGAAACGGCTATACGCCGTATGGACATGAACACTCAATTTCCCTGTACAAGTACGGGTTTGCTTCGATGCACGGTGGCATTGTGCGTGTCCCCGTGGCCACCGTGGGGGGTGGAGAGGGCACCTGATGGTGCTGGCCTGCGTTGCGGCGGTGGGTGCTGGCCAGAGTGTTGGAGCCGTGCAGCCTCTGCCAAGGCTCTTGTGACTGCCCCATGTACGCCGGCTCGCCGTACCTCTGCGTCTGGGCAAACAGTGGCGGCACAGTGGGTGGCAAATGTTGTCCCGTGCCACACGGTGGGGCCAAGATGACCACATTGAACAAAGACGACGGCGCTTTCAGAGATGCGCTTCTGCGGTCGTCTGGAACGCTCCTTCCAAGGCCACTGGGGCTGCGCGCTTTTAAATTGTCGTCTTGATTGAAAAAAAAACACATTTCTATACAACTGCTTTTTAGTGTTTAATGTGGTGTCCTTCACCCGCATCTCCGAGTAGCACGGCTGGCTACGTACGGGCGCGAAATAATTTAAACTTACGTACCAGATTTATCTGGTCCTTCTAATCAATGTTTGCCTCGGCCCTAGGGATACGTTTCCCATTGCAATTTCCAATGTCTCAGGCCTAATTTCGGGCTTTTTTAGCTGAACTATTGTGAAAAGGTGTGTTTTTCAAATCATTGAACCATTGTTGGAGTAATTTAAAACGTGAAGCTATTAGTAATGGTAGCGGTGAAATAAGCTAAAAGAGTTGAGATTAATGATGGTGATGATACCCGATGCTTAGGACAGTTCTACGTCTGATGATGATGATATAGTGATTATGGTGGGTTTGATGCGAGCTGCTGATGTCAAATGATGATCATGATATTGATGATGAAGGTAATAGTGGTTAATAATGATGGCAATTACGTTCACACCGGTCTATATATTATGATGATGGTGTTGATTAGTGACGCCTGCTGTATATTTGGAGTTTGCGTGTCTCTCTCCCCGTGGTCGCGTGGGTTTTTCTCCGGGTCCTCCGGTATTTCCCTCCACATTTAGAATCATGCGTTTAGATAATTTGACTGCTATAAGTTTCCACACGATAAGCCACTTCGTCGAGCAAGCAGCATCGGTGGCCAGGTCGCATTCTGAAAAGAGCTACATAGCCCAGCTGGCCTTATCCTGGTAATATACAATAAACAAGTGAGAGAAGTAATCAATGACTTTTTTCGATTAAAGCTTTCGTGACTGCAGGGAATCATCATCTTGGTTTTTTTCGGTAAAGTCACGTAGAAGGGAAATAATAAAATAATACAAATTAAACATAATAAAATACAATTCTCACGACGTTTCGGCCACAACGCAAGCAGCCATCCTCAGGTGAAGAACAGGTCTGTCGGAAAGACAGCGTCTGAATGAACACCACCAAGCTTGGCAGCGTATATTTAAGCTGGGTTAGGGGAGGAAGGGCGCCTTGACAAATGAATTTGCATATCAACAGCGGAATTTAGCATATTTATGGGAAATGCAGATATGGGATTAGTCACTCCTTGTGGAATGCGTAGGAGGTGGGGGGGGTCTCAAAGTCATATTATGCCCGTGCATTATGTAGGATTAGCAGCAACAAAGGGAGGAGGTAGGGTTAGCAGTAATAAAGGGAAGGAATTTTAATAGTAAGGAGCTGTAATGAGGCTACTGGCGGCGATGATGCTGATGATGCTGGCTGATGCCAACACTGTATTAACACCACGCGTAAGGTCACGGCCACCTCCAGGGTCAGGCAGAGGGGGGGGAGCTGAGAGGTGTAGCGGTCACTCACGGTGTGTCGCAGGCGTGTCCCCGTGAAGCTCTCGTCATTCTCCAGGGTCGGCATGGGGTAGGGCTTTCTCGTGGAGGTCCAAGAGGCGTCAACCATCTCGCTGGTTTTTGGTGGTGGTGGGGGCTGTCAGCGTGAGCTCCTCTGGTGCCGGCCAACGAGGCGAGCGATGGGGCTCTCTGGTGAGGCACTCGTGCCGAGAGGTCTCGAGAGGTTGTTGAAGCGGTGGGATGATGAGATGAGAGGGGGGTGCGGGTGCCGTGCCGTGCGGGACTTCTGCGAGAGAGAATTTGGAGCGCACGCAGCGGCCTTGCCTGCCTCGCCCAACGCGGGGTTTGTTTGTGGCCACGTGGCAACGTAGTCGTGGCAACAGCAACCATGGCAACAACAACCATGGCAACAGCAACAACAACAACCATGGCAACTATCGATCAGCTGGCTGGGGCATTTAAACGTGGAGGTGGGGAGCGTGGCCCATTGAACCGAAATCAACCGCGGCGCCGGTGCCAGGCCAGGTGCACCTTGAGGCTATCGATCCGAGAGGAGACGGAGCCGGCTCGGGTTCCTGTAAACGATTTTGGGAATTCCATCCAGAAGTGTTTTTTTTTGTTGTTCGATTGTTATCATCACAATCAAAGAAGCTAATAGCTCAGTGGGCTTTACCTGGTAAGATTTAAAAAATCTAGTTGCATTTTATTTGTGTGTTTTTTAAGTTATTTATTTACTACTTTACTTTGCACTCCGATCGTGTTTTTGTAACGTTCTGACCCGCCCCTAGTGGACAACTGTGCAAAAAGAGCTTTATCGTTCATCGGATTCCTCCACTATAAATAAAGATCGTGAATAATGATTTTTTTTACGACGATGCGGGAGCGCCCCCCCCATGAGGGGGAGGGGGAGCTGCGGCTCAGCGCGTCGCTCTGCCGTGCGGGCATCAGTACCCCCCAGTGGGGGGCGATGAGGTCCATGATGAACGATGGAGAGGGCTAGGGAATGATGAACGATAGGGGGGCTAGGGAATGATGAACGATGGGGGGGCTAGGGAATGATGAACGATGGGGGGGCTAGGGAATGATGAACGATGGGGGGTGGGGACTAAGGAATGAACGATGGGGGGGGGGGGGGCTAAGGAATGATGAACGATGGGGGGGGGGGGCTAAGGAATGATGAACGATGTGGGGGGGGGGACGACTAAGGAATGAACGATGGGGGGGACGACGACTAAGGAATGATGAACGATGGGGGGGGGGGCTAAGGAATGAACGATGGGGGGGGGGCTAAGGAATGATGAACGATGGGGGGGGGGGGGACTAAGGAATGATGAACGATGGGGGGGGGGAACTAAGGAATGAACGATGGGGGGGGGACTAAGGAATGATGAACGATGGGGGGGGGGGGGTAAGGGGGGGCCTTTGTGCTGAGTTTGCGGGAGAGTGGCGCTAAGCAGAGGCTGCTGCTGCTCCCCCGCTCATCCACAACCAGCGACGGAAGTGATTCGGGAATTCTATCCAAACTTGCATTCCGATGTTTTTTTTTATATAATTACTGCAAACATATACTCGCTGAAACCCAAAACGTCTCCAGATAATGGCCAGAAGTGACATTTTGGAGTGAGGCTCAATCCATGTGTGAATGGGTCTGGTCTCCCACAATCTATTAGGTGCCTCGTTCATTTTGAAACGTGGTGCTGACATTGTTTTGTCCATACCTTGGGAACTGCTGCAAGTGTTTCGGGAATGTATTTGCAATGCTCACAACACATGCAATATAAGTGATGCAAAAAAATGCAAACGCCGCTTGGGGGTGGATCACTTTCTTTAATGAAACAATTTTTAAGTATATTTTTGCTGTGAATCTTGACATAGACGAGGTTTATAATGTTTAACTTTTGTCCACTGTTCAAAAGTCTGGAACTACGGGATATTATAGGAAATAACATGTTTTCCTATTGCAATTTGCACATTGTGAAAAAATAAGGCACGGTTTTTGCCTTGGTAAAAAATGCATTAGCGAATACAAATGACTAGACATGGCTTTTAAAACTGAATGTACATCTGCACAAATGCATTCACACTCACGGAATGAGTGTATAATTTAAACATTACTATTTATGATTTTCTAATGTATGTAATGTACATGTTATATGCTGCCAATTCTCATTGTGCCAAAATGCATATACAGTAACACACCATTCCACTTAATTAAAACAAATCATTGTAAACAGCATTAATTGCGTTTTCTGATTGGATAAAACAAGCGCACGTGTAAATTAACTAGTTTGAGATTTCACAAACAATACATATGGACATAAATCTAAATCACACAACGCGACACATTATCCGTGCACTACAATGGCAAGGGCTGGGACGTGGTGATGAATCAGTAATTTGCTCCATTGTAGTGTCCACGTAGGGGTTTTGAAATGTTTCACCTGGCAGCACTGGTCACATTCCCATAATAATAATAATTCAGGCCTCCCATACCGAAAAATCATAAATAACAGAGCAGCTCTCTAATCTGCCACGGGAGTGCTTCATCAGTTCCTCAAAATATGCCTCCTGCCCATTCATGTATAATGATTTTATTTTATTTACATGCCTAACTTGGCAAGTCGAGGTAATATGAATGCTACAATACCTAAGTTTTATTTAACTGGTTATTAGGAATTGCAATGCGTGCACATACATGAAGTAGATTGTAAGGCACCACGGAAAGCTATTTTCAGCCAATATAAGGAAAGTCATTGTACTTCATTGAAGACCGAGCACATACATTTCTAGTTTCTGCGCATTATGAAATAATTCTGCATATGTACACAGGAATGCTACAGCAGTGCATGGACAAATGGCTATACATTTTTATTTTAAAATATACACGTGATCATTCATTGTAGTTGAAATATGATTAAGATTACTTGGGCTCTGAGCGTTTGCTATTTAATAAGGTAAAGTTACTAGGTTTATATTTACACGGCAAAGCAAATTCGGGGAATATAAATAAATGCTTGTACTAAAAAATAAGAAAGCTCAATACAAAATAAATTTCTCTACGTAAAGTGTCACTACATTAATCAGAGGGGTGCATTGCTTCGTCCCTCTTAGCAAGCAGTGCATGCTATATATTCTACCATGTACTTGCTTTAATACACTTGCCCTCAGAAACTCGATGATTGTAGAATTGCAAAAAACCCTCCCAGGTTAATGTGCACAATGTAAATACTCGCCTTGATAGTGCAGCGGCTTGTCATCCCTGATTGTATTTTAGGAATTTAATGATTAACCTTCCACCCACGCGTCATTATTTGGGATCCTGATTCAATCATGAAATAAATTAGTCTAATTTCAATAGCTTCATATCGTTTGTCTTCAATCTAGTTCGCCCACAAACATAAATCTAACATTTACATATAATCTGTGTGATTCATAAATTAACAATTCTTACCCGCATGATAGGATTTAAGTATCGCGAGCGTTATTTATTTGTAATTCACTAAGTGCTTTATCCAGGGCTTATATTCAACCAGGTCTGCCCAGGTGGGTGACCCGAAAAATATTTTTGCATCCGACTCACCACATCCAGTATACCGATCTCTTTGGCTGTGGCTACTCATCACATGCCACATCCTGGTCTGACCCTGAACATTTTCAGTTCGAAATTAAGCCACAGTTTCGTCTACTGTATATGCAGTATCTTGTAACCAACAATGTGGTAAGCACACTTGATTAAAAAAAAACCTTTTCAACTATGATTTTTTTTTACCAGTGGCATGCATAAGCCACAGAAATATAGGAATTCTATTTTTTTTCCACACTAAAATTCCACAACTGTAGACATACAGAATTATCTAATGATCTACCATGAGGTGCGTTGCGTGATTTATACAGCTCGGCCCATTTACCAGATCACATGTCGAGTAATTGACAAAAGTTGCGGCTCTCACATAATTTTACATATATGCATTTCCATTAAGTATTCCCACCATGCTGAAGCAACTGCAAGCTAATCTGTCTCAAGTTTTTTTCCCCCAATTATTCTTTGGGTCGATGAATTCCAATTCCCCACCCTGACTTTCCCACAGGAGGTTGTTCAACCAATCTCTGACCCTGTTCTTCTGACCAATTGTGTGGTAGTTTTGTCGTTGTATTTTCTACAGACCAAGTATAGGTGCAGCCCTGCAATTATTTGCTTACGCCACTGGTTTTTGTATGCATGTTACAAGGGAAAGCTACTGGTCATTTTGCAATTAATATACACCCAGTTGTACGCAAACATTTACAGATATGGTCTGTTTCTAAAGCATTTAAGCAAGCTGTTGCAAACGTGCAGTATTTCTTTAAAAACACAATATTGCATTAAAACGTATGTGACCTCAAGGGTCATCAACAATTGGCTGAAGGCCTCCCCAGTACTATTTGAGAAGCAAATAGCAGTCATACCCTTTTTTCCACTGACACCTCCAAGCCAAGCCAGGGTGGGCCCTCACAGTATGTTTAATTTTCCACTGTCGATTTGCCGTGCTGAGCCTGAACCAAAACCGTGCTACGCTATCCCCAATGGCAAGGTTATTGGAAGATTGACTTCAGATAACGCAGTGGAAGCTGCGTAGAGGTATAACTATGTGGATCATAACTGGTTCATTGCGAGTAACTTCAGTAGTCACGGCTTAGCCCCTGGTTGAGCTATCATTTGTGGCCAGGTTATTTCTATAAAAAAAATATCTCAGTGGGCTTTACCTGGTAGAGACAAAAATAATGGCATCTTATTTGTATATGTTTAAGTGATTTGTTTACCATTCCCATACTTTGCACTCCTGTCGTGTTTTTGTTTTGTTATAAAGTTATTACCGCCCCGACTGGACATTGCAAAGAGAAAGCTTTATAGCTTATCGGATTCCTCCAGTATGAATACATATTCCAGATTCTGTTTGGGAAATAACCTGGTGCCTCTGAGCTGTGCCAGGCTGGCTTGGCACAGCCCTGGCATGGCTCGTTTGTCCAGTAGAAGAGGTATAAGAGAATATTCAACGCGAGTAATTTTTGTCACAGTCATAACATGCATATGCTAGGGAGAGAGCCTATGTACGCTTTTAAAAACATTGAAATATGGATAAATATATTTTTCTGAGAATAAGCATGCAAATGTCGTCTTCTGAACGGGACAACGTGAACAGGATGACAGGTAGAATGTGTACGCTGTTGAAAACGTTGATGATAGTAAAGTCACGTGACTTTACCGAAAGAACCAAAGAGTAATTCCTGCAGTCACGAAAGCTTCTAATCAACGTTGATGATAGTCTTGAATGAAAAGTTAGACGTGTGTGGAGGTTTTTTGCAGTTGTGCTACGATGCCAAAACTTGGACATGGTATCGAACAATGCGCAGCACGACCCGAACTGATAGGAGTGATCCGTAGGTGATGCATCAGTCCCCACTACTGTGATAAGTGCTGTCAGTCACTCGTCAATTACAGTTAACTGTAGGCATTTTCAGAGGCGACGTTGGGTATATTCAGTACTTGTTCAAAGGTCCACTTGAAATGTCACCATCCGAAGCCTGTTTACATTAAAAGTAGAAAAAAATGCATTAAAACATACATTTACGGTAAACACTCTTTCCCTGTAGCGTTGGATATTCCGCCATAGATAGTGGACTCGCGCATATACTGTACTGCTAGGCCTTCTAACAGACCATGCTTAACTTGATTGCCATGGTGGAGCATGCCATTTTTCCTATGGGGGTGTTATCAAGGAGAGCCTCGTTGTTTTTTGCGTTGCACATTTCTGCAATCGCTTGCTCGCACCACAGCTGATGGCAAGGCCACCACGAGAGTGAACTTGAGACAGCCCCTCTAATGGCTATAATGATTACACTCCACGGGCAGAAAGCGCCTAGGTGCCCACTGCACATTTGCTCATTTGTTTACACCTTCCTCTGTCTTGTGCCAATATATATTCATGGTTCTTTCGGTAAAGTCACGTAGAAGGGAAACAGTAAAATAATAAAAATATAAAACAATAAAATTCTCACGACGTTTCGACTGCAACACAAGCAATCTTCATCACCTGATGATCACCTGATGATTGTTTGTGTTGCAGTCGAAACATCGTGAGAATTTTATTGTTTTATATTTTTTATTTTTTTTATTATTTTATTGTTTCCCTTCTACGTGACTTTACCGAAAGAACCAAGAATATGAATCCCTACAGTCACGAAAGCTTTAGATCAAAATGTTGTGCCAATATGCTCAAGAAGTGCACGTCTTTCCGGCACCAATGTCTTTTGTCATCAAGCCATTCTCTGTTAGGTCTTCCTCTCGTTCTGGTTCCTTCCATTTTTCCGAACAACAACAACAACACACAAAATTTTCAGTGTTGTTGTCCATCCTACATGTGTGTCCAAATAGTGCCAGTTTCCTTCTCATCACTGTCCAATGGGTATATCGGCCTATTATTCAACGTTGGCCACAAGTGTTTTGAAGTGGTAAGAGTACCCACACTTTACCCCACCACACCTGCCATTCGACTGTTGTTTATCCATTGATACTGCTAAGCGCAAGCCCAGCGGTGGTGATCATTACATGATGGAATTTTAGCACTTAGGGTGAAGCAGAATATATTCCAGCCAGATGACTCGGTGACAAGACTGGGAGATTCATTAAGACCATCATCCCTTCTGTGGTCCATAAAATGAGTACCCTGTTGTGGGGAAGTCAACAGTTGTCCCAAGAAGAGACTGGGCCCCCACCAGAGAAATGTGGAATTTCCACCACTAGCTCAGGACGGCACCACTTCCAATGCTCATTTGAGTAAGAAATCATGGCCTCTGCTCAGACAAATAAACATTAATAAATTGTATTGCGCTTACATTTTTATTTTCAAATACCAAAGTCAATCGAATAGTAGCTATCACTTAATGTGAAGCTTATGATGCCATAATCAATGTCGTTCTCGTGTCCAGGAATGTGTGCTTTTAAGTTGACGTAGACCATGCCGATATTGAATCAATGTCTCACCTGGCTCCAGTAGTCGGGCACTGTGTACGGTTGGCTGGGAGTGTGCGCGTTAGCTGTACTTCCAACCGCGGGAGCCTTGGGTCTGCAAACACGCACGCGGATCGAGCGTACTCGTGAGCAAGGTTGTTGCCGTCTCAAAAGGAATGGCGAAACGCTCGGACTGTGAGTCTACACGTCTGAGTGTGTGTGTACGGGGTTGGACCGCATGCCTGGGAGGGCGGCTGGGAGGGTCGTCCCAAGATGGTCCCGTGGTCGAGGGGTGGCTGTCCCAGTCCGCGGGCGCTGCTGGTGCATTCTGGCCACGCACACTCAGTGTCAACTTACAAACGTAACACTCATGTGATCTCACTCCGACACTTGAGGCACACTCGTGAACAGCAGAGAGACTCTCGCTTTTTTGGCAGCAGAGACCATTAACAATAGTTGGAAAGCAGTTGAAAAAAAAGTGGAGACTCACCCAAGGTTTTTGCGGTGCGTGGGTAGACCCCGCAGGTGGTTCTGGGTTAAGCTGCTGAGCATTGTTTTGAGATCTGTAGCATAAACATTTACCAGGGTCATTTCATGTCATCACACAGACACAGCTAGCTGTGTGGCCAGTGTACTTGTGCCAAGACAGCAGGTTGCTAAGAATAAGCAGGCTCGAATCGTTACTACAAATACTAATTATTACACGGTGGAGCCTCTATCTCCTTGTAAGTGGCCAGTGATGGAGACCAATGGCAGCCAAGGGAGGGAGCACGTGCGTTCACAATCCTGATTTGGAGAAGTCGACTTGGACCATCATCCCTCCCTCCGCGGGCCGATAAAGTGACCACCATTTTGTGGGTCATCAACAGTGGTAAATCCTGTAAAAACAGACTGGGCGCCAACATGGGAAAGTGGAATTTCCAGCACCCCAGTTGGTCATTTTCAGCAGGGGGAAACATTTTTGTTGTCACTGATGATGAGTGTACGATTCATCATCGTCGTCGTTATCTGTCCCTTCCGTCAGCTCATTGACGATAATGGGGCCAAACGAACGTCCACCATGGCCCTCTTTCTTTAGCCATTAATTCTCTTTCATTCAATCTTAACAATTCTCTTCTACTTCTTGTGCCATCCTTGTCCAGCCACCTGCTTTTCTGTCTTCCCCTTCTCTGTTCCTCCATTTGTGTGCGCGCAGTTCACGAGCACGTGAGCACAAACGGGTGGCTGAGTGATGTGTATATTTGCCCTGCGATAGCAACTGCAAGCGGACGAAAGGAGGGCAAACGAGTACCTTTTTTTGTTGCTGTAATTTCTCCTGTAAAGGTAGATGGCTATTCCTCCAACGATAAGCAGCGTCACGGACAGCGGCCACAGCCTGCTGCGCTCTGGAAACAAATGGCAAAAAAATAACATGCGCATCACTCGGCAACCACAAGCCACGTGTTGCCTTGCGGCAGTTTGGTGCAGAGGAGATGAAACCGTGCTCCCAGCTTAGAACAGGCAACAAAGCGCCTTCTTTGAGTGTTCGCTCTTGCGTGTTCGCTCTTGCATGTCATTAAATGAAGTATCCTTTCACATCACTCGCAGAGCAGCACAACCCTCCATGTTAGAGAACTGCCCACGGAAGTGGATATCATAGAGCTACCTCTAAGATCCCGTGAAGTGAGCTCTGGGCCATACAGTAGAGGAGGCAATACTTTCCCACCTGCACTGAATACGAGTAACTTTAATCCCGTAACAATCAAACCAACATTTTAATTCTCAGCGCTTGAAAATAGCGAGATATGGTGCAGAATCAACTTGAACGTGAAGGTTTTTTTGGGAAGTCAAAGGCGACCGGCCTGAGACTGTCAGTTTGTTACAGATGAGAACTCGGTTTAATCGCGGGCAGCTGAAAACCTGGGTTTGAACCAGAGGTCGCAATCGGGTACGTGATACCCGTACCCTACCCGATACCCGGCTACCCGTACCCGACCGGGTACGGGTACCCGTTTGCGACCCTGGTGCGGTCGGGTATGGATACGGATAGGCTGTGAGTCACTGGTGAGTAACCGTTTGTCACTCATTTCGGGTAGGGTACGGGTAGGGAACGGGTACCCGTACCTGGTCGGGTACGGGTACCCATTTGCGACCCTGGTGCGGCCGGGTACGGGTAAGGAATCAAAACCCGTTTGCGACCTCTGGTGTGAACCCAGCCTCTTAGCAGTGCTGGTTCGGTGCTCGGAGCTCAAAAGAATCGTAAAAAACGCGCCGTCAACTTTACACATGTGCCCACTTACTTTGGGGTGGTGACATGTCCTTTGTGGTAGGACATTTGCCGCGTGTTTCATAGAGTCAGGGTTGGAATGCAGCGGCCACCCTGATTATTACTGCGGTGTGTAATAACCGTCATAACGTGCGCCGTCTGATTCACAGCAGACGTTAAAGATCCCCTGACATATATGTTGAACTTTTTTTCGAACCGTACGTAGTCAACTGTGCTAACTGGAGGTGCGGGGGAAGGACAACAAACTAAACAAAGCAGTTCTAAAGAAAAAAATGTCAATCTAGAGAAATTCGTTTTCAAGAGTAGACATCATTCACAAGAGTAGGCCATCGAATGCCTGCGCGTCGGGGTCCAGGTTTGCCGACTTTAAAAAAACGACCCCACAATTTGCTGTAATGAGATTATTCACATCAATCATCAACCTGCCCTCGCCTCCTCTCCCCACTGGGGGTCATCCTAAAAAAAAAAGTCGTGAGGCTCTCCTGGATTAAACGTGCGCGTGAAGTAAAAAAAAACCCAACGTACTCTTGCAGGTGGGGCCGCTGTCGACGGAGCCTCCACATCCTGTGGAGGAGCAGTCTGGCGGAGCCCATCCCTCCGCGCAGTGGCAGTGCTTGCGGTTGTTGTGTTGCTGCGACGTATATGGGCACCAACGAACAAAACGAAGGGTTAGGTCTTGATTATCCGCGGCTTGCGGATTAACCACGCCTGCGAAAGAATAAAGCGAGTACCTCGACTCGCATGCTAGCTTCAATCTCTCATGCCCACTGCGATGGGGGCACTGCTACGGTTTACACGACCGCTGTGAAATTCATAATCGGAATCCGAATATTTATACTGGAGGAATCCAATGAGCTATAAAGCTCTTTCATAGATGTCCAATAGTCAGATGTCCAATTACTCCCTTTGGCACCTAAAATTCGATTTAAACGAATTTTTTTGAAAGGTTTTGCTTATAATAATAACGGTCAGATAGCACCTCACTACTGATGTTTGCTGTGCACAGGAACCAAAGTCATGTCACCAACTGTGGCCAGGAACCAAACTGAACTCCGGTCACCAATTTCAAGCCGAGTTTGTGTTGCCACTAGCCCCATGCCCAATAGGTTAAAATTGGCTAAAATGCCCCACAGTGGCACTTTTGACCCATTGGGAGCTGACTGTATGTATCGAGTAATAACAACATATATTCTTACCCCATGGCCATTACATTCGCTGGTGTAGTCAATAGAATAGTTTAATACTCTTGCGTCTTGACATTGTTGATTGAAGCACACCTGAAACAAAGGTTAAATGGTCAAAAGGTTAAACGCTATTACAGCTTTATCCACGGACAACAGCTCATTTGTAGAATGTTACACATCTCTAGCATGAGTGCGGAAATTACGTTGAATTGTTTGGTTTCTTGTCCCCCCCCATCCCCACCTCCCATTAGCACGATTGGCTACGTACATACGATGGGTGATGTGGCCAAGACAAGTATGTGCAATGGGACTGATCCAAAGGTACAGCTATCTTATGAACTACTCATCCAAAAAAAGACCCCACCAATCACAAGCTTTCTAAATGCATGCGACACAGACTTACCTAACTGTTCTACCAATCCAACATACATTTGAAAGTTTTTGCAAATACCTGGTTTATAAAAAGACCAGAGTAAATGATGCACACTGCTGATATGATCCAAGCTAATGTGACGAAAAGTTAATGAGTTTTGGACCAATCACAATTGCCAGCAAATGATCACAATGTCCATACGGGCACACAATGTAAATTTAATTACTGGCTCCAGTTCTGTTTAATCTACTCCAGATCAGCTTTCCAAAATGATCAAAAATGTATTAGCCAGGCTGTCCATTGATGTAAGCAATAACTGGTGTATATATATAATCATTCTGGGGTTTGTCTATCATAAGCAAATCTCATAAAAAATTTCACCATACGGGCTTTCCACATCCATTTCCTTCATTATTCGAAAAAGCTCTTCCCAATGCTTTGTTTAGCTTGTTGTCCTTCCCGGCATCTCCAATTATCACGGTTAGCTATGTACAGTGTGCGTGCGAAATAAGTTCTACATACATTTGCTGGCCGTGAACTCTAAACGACCTCTGTCATTCCTCAACCGACCCCAGGGCTTCTGCTGCAGACACTGCTCACAACCTGCCTCCCCGCTCGGTGGGCTTCCTGCCGCGTTCGTCCCCCCGCACGCTTCACTCACCATGCCGTCGGCACACTTGGTGCCGGACTGCACGAGAGCCGGGTCGGGAACGTCGCTGCCCAGGTTGTAATCCACCGCCCGGCACTGGCCGTAGAAGGCGAAGTTTGGCAGCGTGTGGCCGATGAGCGGCTGATTGCTCTTGCTCTCACAGATCAGCTTCCCGCACTTGACGTCCCTGGCATGGCACAGGGAGCGGCAATGTCCAGTTTGGGGCCACAAGAGGCAGAGATGTGTAGTGTTTTCAAACAGTGAATGTACGTTGCTATATCGTAATTACTGTTGCAAGAGTAAACTAAAATGGTATAGCCATATCACAAGCTCATCAGGCCTGGCCAAAAACCGCCTTACAGGGGTCCCCTGATGAGAAAAGGCAACGTTGGAAGACCAAATACTTACTAGCTCCATAACATCTGAGAACAGACCGACCTATGCACGATAATCTCTTAATTGCTGCCCAGGAGCCCACGCGATGGAAGGAAGATAACGTCAGTGGCGTGTAGGTGTTGCCCCAACGAAACGGACGAAAAACAACAATAATAATAATAAGAGAGTAGGTGAGATGCACACTTGCGGGAGCAGGACTTGTACTTGCCGCTGGGGACCGTTCCACAGTTGCCAAACTCGTTTCCTTTTGTGTTGACGGTCAAGAAGCATTCGTCAGAAGCAGGATTTGATTCTGAGAAATTCAATCAAAATCACATCACCATTTTGTTTCTATTGCGACTTTCAAAACAAACATCTCACAATGATTTAGGAAAACTGGACTAGGGGGTCAAAGCCAAGACAACTGGCCAGTACACAAAGTAGTATAAAACAACATTCACAGTTTGGCCTGTGGTTGGCTTGGGGTGCGGGAGTGGATCCGAGGGCTGTGGGCTACCCACCGGGGCCCCAGATGGCCTCGCACTGCGACGTGTACGTCTGGCAGACGCCGTTGTAGCAGTAGGCGGCGGCGTTCTGGCAGGGGTGGCCGTTCTGCAGGAACGAGTCATCCGGGCAGGAGGCGGCCGAGCCGGAACAGAACTCGGGCAGGTCGCACACGCCCTGGGCCGCTCGGCAAACCTCGCCCTGGCCCACAAACTGCCAGCGGCGCAGCCAACACAACAAACATGTGCCTTCGTCATATCTCCATTCAGTCACAGCGATCGTCTCATCTGCGGCCTCCACATTACCCTCACATTTTATCTCCAAATGATGCACAACATCTCTGCCATATATCACCCCACCAAATCAACCCTCATCGAACGCCATTCCCCTCCATGTGTTTACCCTTCAAGCAACCGACACCCTCTGTCAAAACCTTAACATATGCTCAAATGGGAGGCCGCTCCCCTTCTTTGTTGTAGTTCCCTCTCTAGAGTTTCTCCTGGCTCTCCACACTCTCGATACCGTTTCCCAATCTAGGTACAGGCTGAAGGCCTTCGTTTCCTCCTGCCTATTATAACCAACTGCCACTTCTCTATGAAGTTTCCATTGCTGCCTTGCTCTACCATACGGTGCAACAGAAATTCTACATACATACTGCCATCTCCTTTCCTTCTCTGCGCAGTGCAGACAATTCCATTATTGCACTGTGTTGCTATGCTCCGGGCATTCACCAACCCGTGCACTGATCAGCATGGCTAAGTATGGTCAAACATCCCCGATGACCTGCACGGCATGATGAGCTCCGACCCCGCAGTTGACCGACTTATATGCAAGAGTAAAAGCCCACTTGACGATTATAGGTATGATTAAACCACGTCTTGTCTAACACGTACGACCGGGAAATCGTGAAGCTGTTCACTGGAACGACCTCTGACCTGGCAGTCCTTGCAGCAGGAGCCGTAGGCACAGCGCGCTCCGGATCGCAGCCGGCAGGTGCGGGCGTCGCAGCACTTGTTGTCGCACTCCTGCAAAACGAAGGTCACCCATATAGCCTTCAACGAACTGTGGGGACAAGTGCTGTTGTAGTGAACTACAGGATGCTTCATAAAAATGTTAACACTTCTGGGAATTTGCAACAACACCACATGAAATGTGCCTCTGGGCTCTGGAGACCACCTGGAGAAGATTCCAGGCACGTGTCGACAATGATGGCAAACCAGTGCAGACTGACTTTTTGAAGCTATTAACATCACATTTGTTATCATGTTACAGTGTATTATACGTTCTTTTTCCATTGAAAACGATAGTCCCATGTAAGTGTTAAGAAATATTTGAAGCACCCTGTAGTATTAAGGTAAGAATGGCACACGAAGAGGTGACGTGGTCAACACCACCCCTGGTCGCCTTTGTCTCTTCAGTGCTGATGTTTATACGCTGCACCAAGTACACATTTATCGCCGAGTCGACCTAGTGGAGGCACAGGACTGGTTCAGCTATTCATTGGTTGTGAGCGGGAATCGAACGCAGTCACCGAGTTGTTAGCACTGACCACTACACCATTATTGCTCCACGACAAAGAACCTCGTATAGCCAGAATTGACTGGTGGAACAAGTGCTATTTGTGAGCACCTACAAAGACGTGTTAAAAATGACAAAGAATAAAATAATGTCAGCGAAGACAGGTAGCACTCGCCTGAAACCAATGAACGACCACATTAACAAATTAATTAATGTCCAGATACACGAATAAATCACCATATAACAACAAATGTACAAACAAATGAGTGACTCGTGGAATGAATGACTGGATCCAGGCGGGCGGCCGCCTCACCTCGGGGGAGCCGCAGTCGCACTCCTCGCCGGCGTCCAGCATCTTGTCCCCGCAGACGGGAGGGCGCAAGGCCTCGTCCGCCTTGGGCACGTTCAGCAAGCAGGTGGCCCCGTTCACCAGCCCCTCCAGGTCGTCCGCGCTGCAGCCACTGAACACCGTCGCCGGTGGCGACCTGGGCGATGGCGCACCGCAAAGACCCCCCCCCCGTGTTGCCTTTAGCAGACTGTTGGGGCAAGTGCTTTTAGCGAGGAGCACCTATGAAGACCGGAACGGCACACGATGGGGCGGTGTGGCAAACAACCACGCCCGACCGCCTTTGTCTCTCCAGTGGCGATGGTTACACACCTCACCAGGTACTCATTCGAGGCTGAATCAACCTAGGAGAGGCCCAGGACCGGTTAAGATAATTGTCACTGATGTTGGCCGTGAGCAGAAATGGAATTCTAGCCCGCCGGGTTCATAGCGCAGCGTGCCAACTACTACACTACCACTCCCCACACATCCAGCTAAAGTCGTGGAAAGATATTATCTCCCTCGCTGGGTACGCAGGAGGTCGGAGATGCGACTGCGCGTGTGTGAAAACTGCGCGCGTTATGAACCCTACAGTGTTTTTGGATGCAATGTGCATTAATGATGCTCAATAAATGATTTTAAAGCTCATCATTATTGTCAGGTGTTAGTTACCCCATGACCGCCCCCATGATGCAGCCGTGCTCGGCGGCGCAGCTGCAGGTGCGATTGTCGTCGTGGCTCATGCCCAAGTTGTGTCCCAGCTCGTGGGACAGCACGGACGCCGTCATCAGCACACTGCTCCCCACCAGCTGTGATTTACACAAGCACACGCAAAACACAAAGTTCCTCCGAATAGCTTTAACAGAATGCTGGGGCAAGTGCTGCTAGCGAGCACCTAATGAAGGCTGGCATGGCACACGAGGAGGTGGGGTGGCCAGCACCACGTCCGATCGCCTTTGTCTCCCCAGTGGCGATGTTGACACACCACACCAGGTACTCATTTGAGGCTGAGTCGATCTAGTGGAGGCCCAGGACCGGTTCAGATAATCGTCACTGGTGTTGGCCGTGAGCAAAAATCGAACTCGGGTCGCCGTGTTCGTAGCGCGGCACGCAAACCGCTGCACTGCAGTACACACGCACAATACAATAATGGATTTCGCTGCACTGTCCTCTGCTGGCCACCACTGAGTCCCACAGCTTACAACATTTGCTATTGGTCCAACGGTTCCAAGCACATGCCAACGTTGGGTCATTGCCTTGCTTCACGCCACTTACCGTGTTGATTCCACCAGATGTTGCTCGTAGGCAGACCGTTCCCACGTACGCCATGCCCAGGATGCTCTGAAACTGCCGTGCGCTGCAGGCACAAAAGAACGATCGGTTTAACCGCTCGCGAAAGACGTTTACGGGTCACCGACTCAGACACACGTAGCAGGCATGCAACGACATCTATCGACCAATCGGTAATTGAGTCTTACGCTCATCTTACACACACCACATTGTGCGTGTGCGAATCGGTTATTTATAATTCGTGCAAAATAAACGCCGGTGTTATGTTTGTACGCCAACACTATACGAATGAGATGGGAAAAAAGCATTGCATCAGAAACAATACCATCGAGGCAATCTGAACGAGACAAAAAAGCATCTCTTCCCGAATCGAATCACAAAGCTAAACAATGGTAACTCATCCAATCGATGGGAGGATTTATCAGTGAACAGCTGTCAACCACAATGTTTTGGCAATGGGTGGGCAGGGGGGGGAGGATGTGTCCCTGTTGTGACCTTGTCACAAAAACTCGGGGGGAGGGGGGCCGACACACATTTTAAACATGTTTTAATAATTTTCTGGTTTTGTCATGCATTGTTCTCGCTCTCACCCCGTCTAAAACGAAGAAAGGCTCTGACGCCCATGGCTCATTGCGACTGGTTTTAAAACACTCCGCTGACATCTTTTGACTTGACAATGGAGGGATTGTTTGGGTGAGATCGCGTAGATATAGATGTGTCGTTAAACCCGCCACCACCCGACAGCCAATTAGTAAGGTGTGTTGCGTGAATAAAACGTGCCAGTTCGTTACTCGTACAGCACACCGGTGTGGCAGGTTTAACGACACTTTATATGTCCGCGATCAAATCCAAAAAAATAATATTGGTCGTGAAATTCTGTGTGTTAAACTTATCTTTTCACTTGACGTATGTACGCTATGTGGAACTTCTTGCGCACCGCACGTAGCCAACCACGCGAATCGGAGGAGCATTTAGAAGATAGGGCCGAGCCGAGCCTTCGACAAGGTGAGGGGCAGCTTTGCCTCCTCCAGGTCTCCCTGATCCTACGGCGGCGGTGGTGCCGCCGCAGCGAGGCTCACGTGATGAGCTGGGCGTTGTCGTGCCGCTTCATCGAGTCCAGGTTGCTCTCCCGCCACTTGAGGAACTTTCCGAGCACGGTCCCCGCCGAGTCACCCTCCGCCATCACCGCCGCCTCCTCTTGGGCCGAGAGGACGTGCACCCCCACGGGCACCACCCGAATGTCCAGCACGCGGTAATACTGCCACGCGCACACGCACGCCGCCACATGGAGTCCCCCCGTGAAGCCTTCACAGTGTTTAGTGTTAATATTGTTGTCCTTCCCCCACACCTCCGATTAGCACGGTTGGCTACGTATGGTGCAAAATAAGTTCAACATGTGTACATACAACAGACTGTCGGGTCAAGTGTTGTTAGCTAGCACCTATTAAGACCAGCACGGCACGCGAGCGGGTGCATGACCATTACCAAGGCCGGCCCCCTTTGTCTCCCCGGTGCTGATACAATGGGGCACCCACTGCACACGATACCAGATACTAATTTTTAAGGCTGATTTTGGCCTACGGGAGCTTCAGAAATTTGTCACCAATGTCGGCTTTAAAATCGGGTTGTCGGGTTCGTAGGGCAGTGTGCTAACCACGACACCGCCGCTCCCCACATACACATACATGCTCATCATCGCACTGCATACACGAGGTCGTAACCAGCGTTCATGTATTCACAGTTTAGGTCTAAATCTATAATTTTCTATTTTAATGAGTAACCAATATACCTAGACACAGATTTCAGTGACGAAATTCACACTGGTCGTCCAGAGACAATACCATCTTTCGCCATCATTTATTTTCTGCCAAATTTCTCAGATGATGCGGAGTTGGCAACCGTACCTCAACGTCTGTTCTTACAGTTTTTAACCACGTGGCTTTTGGGCTTCCCATTGGTTGCCAACTTCTGGCTGCCATTGTAACGCCCAGCTTGGTAAACTGCTCGATCCATCGAAACCTCGTTTTCCTGACGACGTGTTATTCCATCTGGCCCTCGATACAAAGGGGACAGCCTTGCGCTCTCAAGAGTCTATCGAGCTGCAGGGGCGAGTTGGAAAGAAGCGGTGACCAGTCACTCATGACTCACCGAGTCCACCAGGTTGGCCAGCTCGGCCATGTCGTGAACTGCCAACGTCTTGTTGGATTGATATTGTCCAGTGTACTACGGTCACGCATGCACACAACATCAGAACAGGGCATCATCAATATCATAATCGTCGTCAGCAGCCAAGATCTATCCAATGCTGGATGAAGTCTCCCCCTGTTGTCATATTGTTTTGAAGCGGGCCCCAGCCAATGGTCATGTAGGCAATACAAACATAGCTACGATGATCATTTTTATAAATTAGTTAATGGCTGGCAGACAAAACTAATGATGGGAGTGGCAGCTAAAGGGGAGAGAGCATGCCCCAATGGATATCCACCGCGGCGAGGAAGCGATGTCTTCTCGTCGTGGGCAGGAGCTCAATGGGACCGTGCGGGGTGGGCTTGGAGAATCCTTCATCCAACAGTGAAGTGATCATGGCTAATGATAATGAAATAAATCATCAATTTACACGCGTGCGAATCAAAATGTGTTTGTTTCAAGCACCCCGAAGTCATCACCTCCTCAAGGTGGGGCAAGCTACGTGTCTTTGAGGCCGGGTATCCGATGTCCATTACATTTTAAAATGGCTGCTCATTTCGCCATTGATTCATAGAGGTGCCAGTTTCCACTTACCAGGGTGTTGTCCAGGACGAAGAGAAGCTCCACGTAGCGTGTGCTGGGCAGCACGTTCCGCTTCCTCTGCAGGGGAACGACCGCACACCGTTCTGTTGTTAAAACTCACCGATGACCCCCTTCTGCCCGTGGTTTTCGGGTCGGTTACACTCCCCCATTTAAATCTTCATTTTCTCCCCGACATCATGTCCTCACTCGGTTGGGGCAGCGGATCCCGTCTTTCCCCCCACCCCCATATCGGACTGCGATAGCCCGTCATCCGAGCCGAGCGATGTGCTGTATCGGGCTCTTGCCGATGACGACGTTTTGTATATAACTGCACTGCAATTTTAACCAAAACCTACTTGAGTCGTACCCACGATAAAAATGCAAATATCCCACATATAGCCAGACGGACTGTTTGGAGAAAGTGCTGTTAAGCGAGCACCGAGGAAAAAGGCTGGCACGGTAGCTTTCGTCTCCCCAGTACGCCAGGTGGCTCATTTAAGGTTAAGCCGACCTAGGAGGGGGCCCAGGACCAGTTCAGATATACACCACTGATGTTAGCCGTGGTAGGCAATCAAAGTACGGCCACCGGGTGTGTAGCACAGTGCTCTAAAACCACGATACTACCGCTCTCCACAATACACACACTCATGCAATTCCTAGTTGTCCGTGACTTCACGTGGACCAAGTGAAGTCACGGGCGGAGCGGAGTGGATCTGGCAGCGTGACCGACCCGGAAGTGGAACTGCTGCTGCTGGCCCCCGAGTGGCTCCAGCGCTGGGTCGTGGTGCAGCGTGGGCTCCTCCGAATGGACGACGCCGCAAGCGGAGGAGGAGGAGTTCGAGGCGGGGAAGGCGTCGCTCAGACGGAAGACGCGGTGGAGGCTCCCCACCCTCTCCCCCGCCACGCCTGCCCCCCCCCACGGCTCCACCCCGTAACTCACGTCCCCCATGCTGAAGTGGCCCCTGCACGCAGAGGGACCGGTTGGCCATAGGTGACCAGAAGCGCAATTAGGCACACAGTGGCAGCCACTAGAGGCTGCTATACTCAGGATTTTTATTTAGACTGGAGGAATCCGATGAGCTATGAAGCACTCTTTGACAGATGTCAAGTATGGGCGGGTCACATGCCTCGTATAACAGGAACCTTCATTACTCTAAAGTTGTTGAGCGGTGTTCGCTCTTAAAAAAAAAATTCTCTACACACAACTGACCGGCACCTGGATTGCTGGTCGCAACAGTGGCGCATTCACGCGACCAAACGCCGTGCCGTGCAGTGGCTCACCCACCTGAGCCCACGGCAGGTGCTCAGAGCCACGGCGGAGCCCCTGTGCCCCTCGACGTGGCCCTGGTAGAAGCAGTGCTCCTGCAACAGCCAGAGGACAGTGGCATCGGCAAGAAAAAAGGCCGAAGCAGATTGACAGGAGGGGTTTGGGCGGACGGGGTGGGGGGAGCACAAATTCATAGATTCGTAAAGTAATGTGGGGAGCGTGGGTGGCTCTTCCCTTCGCAGTGGACAAAGTGTAACCGGTAATGATGGTGATTATAGTTACATCTCACAATACCTGCTCAATACCTCTGCCCAGTTTTGAGTCTGTCTAAAGGATAAACACTACTGAGGTCGCCAAAAAAAGTGGTACGCAATTTTATCGACCCTGGAGGGATGATGGGCTCGGTCAACCCCCAACCGAGAATTGAGCCACCTGGCCGGTTAACGAGGCATAACGTTACGCCTCATTGTCGTGTAGTTTGATTATTCAATGATGTCAGATGTGGCTCTATATAATTGTTACCAAAGTTACCTCTAATTACAGTATGATTGTAGTAAGTAGCAATTGTTACTGTAATAAAGACATTTATACTGAATCGGACAAAATAAAGCAACTCAATGAAGACCATAAGCGTAGTGGCAGAAACATCCAAAGCCATCTTGTCGGTTCCCTTGTTAAATAATGTTCGACTACTTATTAAAATTAATTGCAAAACACTTACGCTCCTGTTTCCGTGGACATTGTTGGAGTTGACGAGGCGTGAAAATTCGGCATCTCCCGAAAACAATAAACTGCACAAGCACACACAAAACGCACATCATTAATCGAGATGTAAATGAACTGTTATGCTCATGACAAATCAATTAAAAAGTCCAGGAGACGGCTGTATAGAAGTGGATTATTCAGTCCGTCTGTGGCAAAATGCATGGTTATCCCCTCTTTTGCATGAGTTTTCTCCCACTAAATGAAACGGACAAAACATCCCAATGCAAAACACCCTGCTGAAAAATCTTAAAAACCAAGAGACTTTCCTCATAAAATAAAGGGGATTAATTATGAAATACTTTGCATGTGATTGGTACATGTACACACCAAAGGTTCATGGAAACAATACAGACAGTATACATTCTACACACACCGCAATGACAAAAAAACTTGGCTCAATTAAATAGTAATGTTTAATTGTGGCAATTCATGGAGTCTTAAACAAACAATAGTATACAACCTATTATCAATCCACTCATGGATGAGGTCCCTCTCCCTTTGCCTTTCGGTTATGGGGTTTGTTTGACCATACCTCGCCACACTGGTCATATGGGGGTGGCTTAATGGGGTACCTAGGCCTGGCACAGATATGGCCACAGCGAAGTGATGAATCAAACTCATGATAGCTGGGCTATTAGCACAATACGCGAACCACTGTGCTTCTCCGCACCATCCCTCAAATCTCAGATTGAGTGAATTGGCACAAGCATCATAATGGGCAATGCATCTTTCTAAAATATGGTAAATACAAACTAGGGCTTTAGAGAGCAATGCAGTCTCATCTTTCTCATATGAACTCTGATATGGCCAGGCAGCTATGTACAATATCTCATCTGTTGCTGCTAGAGTTGAGGATGAGCAAATGTGCCAATATCCACTTGTGTGCAAGGCTTATCGTTGGTTTTGCTGACACTTGTGCAAAGACAAAGTGATGCAAAACAATGCTCTATCAGGAGTGTTTTTGCATTAGCTGGTGGAAAAACACCAACATTTCAATCAGCATGTGCCACTACACACTAAGTGCTGCGGGGGAGAGTGCTGTGGCTCGCTAACGACTACGGTCACGTGCAGAGTTCTCACACACACATGCAAAAACAAAGCGTGTAAAACTCTGTTGGGGCAAGTGCTGTTAGCGAACACCTGTCAAGGCCAAAACGGCACATGGGGGTGGGTGGCCAGCACCACGCCCGGCCGCCTTTGTCTCCCCAGTATTGAGGTTTACACACCACACCAGGTACTCATTTGAGGCTGAGTCGATCTAGGGGAGGCCCATGACTGGTGTTTTTGGCCCGCTCATGGCCACCAACACCAGTGACGATTATAATCGTCACTGGTGTTGGTGGCCGTGAGCGGGATTCGAACTCACCCCCTCGTTTTGCCGTGCCGGCCTTCATAGGTGCTCGCTTAACAGCACTCGCCCCAACAGTCTTAAGCTAATATGGAGGATCTTTGTCTTTACGTATGTGTAGTGACATAGAATCGGACACTTAGCAGCATAGCGCTGGCTGCTGGCAGGGAAGGGGATCTGCAGCTACAGCAGCCCTGGCTGACAGCAGGCCACGTGATAGACCAGAGAGAGGGATGTAGGGGAAAGGTCACGGAAGGGGCACAGTGAGAACCCGCTAGAAGGTTCCAGAAATAAGAGAGACAGTATAAGAGGGGCCCCGGGAGGGGAGCTCGTGGCTGTCGTTTGGAGTGGGATCCCCGTCGCACTGCTGCTGGAGTCTTCACCGCCATCACCTTCTTCACCGTCTTGGCGTAGCCAGTCAGGCAGTCTACCGGCTGTCCTGACTGGGAGCCGTAGTTACCAAGTGTGAACTGTTAAGGCCGTTTAATAAACAGAGTGCCTCCTACTCTTCGTGTCTCTGAGTCAGTCACTACATATGTAAGATGTCCATGACGTTTTTGTAGGTCACTGTTACAGAGTAATGTGCCCTTGTTATTCCTTACCCCATTGATAAATAGTTACATCCCTGCTTGACACAATACTCTGCATGCCAAGCGTGCATCGGCAGTGCTGAGCAAGTTAAACAGCCAGATCATTCAGCATTTTCCACATTAACCAAACAGTTTGGTCAATAAAAACGACATCAAACCTGTTGCGTCGAAGAGACAAGATGTACTGAGTCCCCTCCACCTCAATTATGTATCGAACCCTTTCTGGGTGCCGTCCCTAAGGAGGGAAGAAGAAATAGAATAATTGTAAACGACGTCATCCTCACGGCATATTTTGCTCTGCAGCAGCCTGCCACAAAGATCATATACAGTGCCCACAGTTCCAGCAATCAATCCATAAACGACAACTTCATATTTGTGGATAATTTCAGAATGTACCTGTAATAGTGGCACATCAAAACGATATCAGATAATCATTAATAACAAGGATCAATATTACTTAAATAAAATGCAAAAAGGCATGCATATCTCAAGGCATGGGTGTGTTTCTCACAGCTGTGCCCACTTTGAAGATACAACCCAAAAAAGAAATAGCCGCTATCTTGCAGGCATGTACGCAGGATGTTTGTCCTGGGCTGTCCAACATGAATTTTAGATTTGAAGCTTTCGTGACTGCAATGATTCATATTCTTAGGTTTTTTCAGTAAAGTCACGTAGGTAAAAAATTAAAATTAATAAAAGTAAAATAAAAATAAAATAAAATCACGACGTTTCGATAGCTGTATCAAGTGATACAGCTATCGTGCCGGAAGCTTGTGTTGCCTCCGAAACGTCGTGATTTTTATTTTATTTTACTTTTATTAATTTTTATTTTTTACTTACGTGACTTTACCGAAAAAACCTAAAAATACAACATAAATTTATTTTAGGTGATTGCCAGGTACACTCTATAGAAACATTACAGTCGTGATATTAAAAAGGACTGCACTCATGCTACAGTGATGTCATTGGAATGCTCTGGAAATTGACTTAACTTTAATAATATTTGGTCTCGGTATAAAGTTTGGACAAGCCTGACCACACAGCCTGCTGAATCGATGCACAGTCTGTCTAAAAGATAAGAGGACTTGTGGTTTGTGAAATGAATCATCCTTTAAGAGCCTCCAGCCCACTCTCATGGCCTACATGAATGGCTAGGAAAAAGTAAAGTGTGTGTGCCCACACTTTATCTCACAACATCTTATCAAAGATGTCTGTGGTTTTTAATAGCCTCGACTGGGAAGTAACGCAAGTCCCCTCTGCGAGCCTCTTTCTCAACTCCAGTCTCAGAGCCCCAACCCACCCCCCCAACACTTTACCTTTGTGCGAATACGGTACTGTACTAATCATTTAAATTATTCATTTGCAAATAAAGCCACTGCATACTGCACGCACCTGATATTTGTAACGCCGTATGGGGGGGGGGGGGGGGATCACGATAACTGGAGTTGAGAAACACTGATAAAGAATCACAATGCAGTACTTTGGGGAACTGCTGATGGGTTTTTGCATAATGCACAAAGGCCGAGGACTTCTTATCCATGTTTTTGTGTGAAGTATGAAACATGGTCTTTTTGGACCTGCACTAATTTTTCTTCTCACGCTATTTTTCAATTCCTGATTTGATGACTCGATTAGAATGCAAGCAACAGCGCGCGTTCTCTTGGAAACTCCCATTAGAGTAAGGAAACGGACCACGCTGGGTTTTTTTCCACAACTGGAGCCACAGTGGATTCTTACCTTACCACATTTATCACTTTTATCACTTTTCTCGGAGGAAATGAAATCTGTCTACACACGGTAGACACACGCAAATAAGCACTCTGCCTTTATTTGAATCGCAGTTCTCTACGTCACGTGAGCCGTACGTACTAACAATCATTCGACTGTGCAGTGTGTAGCGACAAAATGTGCAACTGTATATCTGGATTAGAACGGTAAATGTGGAACGTCATGGGCACTGGACTTTTAGAAGCCCTAAACCAAGGGTGTGGAACCTTTTCCTTACCGAGGGCCGAATTTTACTTTCAGATACCGCTGGCAGGCCACACTTTAACAAACACCACAATCACTTGTTTCCAGAAATTACTGAGTGCACTACAATTAGAATACAGTGTGTTGTCAGCTTAAACAATGTCCCCCTCTCGTGCCCGATTAGTGCAGCAAAGCTGCTTGCAGTGATGGTTAAATATTGATCGCGGGCCATTGAAAGGTGGTTGGCCGCATGCGGCTTTGAGCCGTAGCTTTCCCACCCCTGTGCTAGGCCCTAGCGATTGCAGGAGAAGGTCAAACTCACCCGCGCGGTGGCATCCGTGACCTCCCGCTTGTCCCGTCCAATGAGCCGGTATGGAACCGTGACGTCCCATCTCTGTGGTTCCCCAGTCACCAAGCCCTGGGAGTTCATCCGCTCACCAACTTCAGCACCTGCTCACATCAAAGTCAATGCTTACAGATGTTTCTACCAGCACAGTCGAACTCAGTTACGGACTCCAAAAGCGAACTTTCCCAACTTCGAGGTTTAGGATCGTTATGCGATGTTTCAAAGGCCAATATAATATGTGGATAGTTCTATAATTTACATCATGAGGGCTTCTTTGCCAGTACCAAAATATAATAATAGTTTTTTCTCCTTTTTTTCTGGCAACAAAACTGAAACCTTTTAACAAGGAATCATGTTTACATTGACTACAATACCTGCGGTCAGAATGCAAACAAAAAACACACTCTGATAATGTATGCATTGTCCTTGAAATTGATTGGTCCACACTAGAGACAGCTTTTCTTAGAGCCTAGTCTCAAACGGTTATATTTTGGTACTGGTAAAGGAGGCCTCATTACTCTGATAGTGCGTTGTCTTTAAGTTGTGCGCCTTTTGGCGTCATCTGCATTCTGACCGCAGGTATTGTAGTTAAAAGGTTTCAGTTTTGTTGCCAGAAAAAAGTGGGGGGGAACCTATTATTATAGTTATATAATGTATCGAGGAAGCCATACTCCATCTCGCTCCTGCGCACGAGCTAATCTCACCATCCCCTCTAGGCATTACCTCCTTTGGCTGCCATTCAGTCACCAGGCTTGTCTATTGGCCATCAACATTTTCAGAAATGTGTCCAAACCCAATTAGTTGTCTTCACATTCAATATGACGTACGTATGTTGAACTTCTTTCGCACTGTACGAAGCCAACCGTACTAATCGAAGGTGCAGGAAATTATGACATCCATAATTTGCAATTTATCTCTGATCCATGTGTTCTTCTTGCCGTCTCTCAGTGTAATTCCCAGCATGCATCTCTTTGTTTGACTACTTTTCATCTTTTGTTCCATTGTATTTACCAATAACTATGTTTCTAATCTATATCCCAGTGCGGGTAATATTCACCAATTTCAAAACGTTCATCCTCGTGCACAATGGTGTGATACTCCTTTTAATCATCACACTTGACAGAGAACTCTGCTCAGTTTCGTAAACATCTTTTACGCCACTTTTATTTCGCCCGTACTTCTCTTGAGCCTCACTTTTCTGCCTTCCCCGTGAAGTCTTTCCATCTTACTCCTCTAGTTCCTTGCCATTACTTTATGTATATAACGACTCTGACACCAGAAAACAAGTACAGTACTACATTTGACAAATCTTGGTAACGTTTGATGTAGCTTGATGCACTGGGATATATCTACCATCACGCAGCGCTGTCAGATGCGCTTCTGCGGCCGTCTGGAACGCTCTTCCTTCAGATATTGGGAAGCCAGTGGAGCTTTAAAATCTAGTTTGAAAACTCATTTCGTTAAGAACTGCATTTTTTAGTCTCGTTTGTTGTTCATCCCCCGCACCCACGATTAGCACGGGTGGCTAGGTACGGTGCGAAAGAAGTCGACCATGCGCACATACCACGTGTCACACATTAAATACCAACGAGAAACGTTGGGCACTTTGAAATAAAAATGGGTACGAAAGTTTGGAAAGTGCACAAAGAAACGAGAGGGTTGGACGGATTGCACGCTAGAAATGTCACACCGAGTTTAGTTAAAACTGCGGGCAACTAAAACGAGACGCGGCGTGGAGAGGACAAATCGAGTGTAGAGGCACTTCAGATCTGCTGCTCAGACGGGACACGTCGCTTGTAGCAGGGATGATGATGTGACGATGGACGTCTGTGTGGAAATCAAAGAGCTTCATGGCTCATCGGATTCCTCCAGGTCTAAAGGTAAAGATTGATTCCGGACATGAGCCGTTTCGTTGCGCCGTCATTTGTGATGATGGCGAGGTCGCTTCTGAATAAGAGCGCCGTAGCTCAGTGGCACTACGCCTTACCCGGTCATATTTAAAACAAAATGTTAGTTCTGTGTAGTCATACCCACGTCAGCGGCCACAGCAGGGAAATACACCGCGGAGGAAGCCTTTGCCTAGCGGTAGGTACGAGTTTTATCCAGCAGCGAATATGTGATTCATCTAGCAGCGGATATAAGATTGCCACCACGAGTTGGTCAATGGCACGAAACAGCTAAAGGCAAAGATCCCCCGTGCAGCCTACAACAGACTGCTGGGGCAAGTGCTGCTAGCTAGCAGCAGCGCCTATGAAGGCCGGCACTGTGGCACACGAGGGGGTGGGTGGCCAGCACCACGCCCGACCGCCTTTGTCTCCCCAGTGGCGATGTTTTTACGCACCGGGTACTCATTTGAGGCCGAGTCGACCTAGGGGAGGAGGCCCAGGGACCGGTTCAGAGAATCGTCACCGGCGTTGGCAGCCGTGAGCCGAAGTCAAACCCGCAACGCGACCGCTCCCCACCGAGACAATGGCACAACACCGTACAATAACAACATCAACAACAACATCATCAACAACACCACCATCACCAACAGCTCTCGACGCAACGCCGAGAGGAACGCCGCGGGGCGTGCGGTCACCTCCGAGCTCATTGGCATCCCCACTCGCCAACGATTCCACGCTCACTGCGCTCACGACGCCACCACCACCACTACCGCTACCTGCCACGGGCTGGCAGCAGCAGCAGGCGAGACACAGCAGCAGCAGCAGCAGCAGGAAGGAGACGAACAGCGGCGTCGTGTGAGCGACTGCCGATCGCGAAACGCCGCGCGGCTCCCGCCTCGGCATGGCGAGGTGGGTCCAGCAGCAGCAGCAGCAGCCGCCGCCGGGGTCTGGAGTTCAACCGGGGTCAGTGTCGGGTGGGAGGGGCCCTCCCTCCCGGAACCACTCTGATGCCTCTCTCTCTTCCTCCCTCCCTCTCTCTTCCTCCCTCTCCCTCTCTCTCCAGATGGAAAGCTTCCTCCCTCCTCCACTCCCTCCCTCCCCCACTCCCCACCTCCACCACCACTGGTTTGTTGAACGCTTCCAGGGTTTGTAGTGAGCCACGCAAGGCACCAGAGGGAGCGATTCTGGCTCTGGCCGTGTGCTGGCAGCGATGGGGTTGGCTGTGGAGTCTGGAGTAGTGATCATCATCGTCACGATCTGTGGAGGGCAGAGAGCCCCCCGCGCGGGTGTCCACTCCACACCTCGTCACCCATAACCGCACTCCTCTCCCCCTGGTCTTGACATGCCTCAAGTAGCGCAACATCTCTCTGGCACCAAGCCCCCTCTGTCATCGCCGGCAAGCCCCCTCATCAGTTGGCCCGACCTGAAACTACAGACCAATTCACATCTGATTGGTGACCCCGTGCCCCTAAACAATCTCAACGTTCATCCTATAACATCCCATCGTCACAAGGGAGAAACACAATCAAATAGACACAAAAAATGTGCCCGTATTGAAACGACTGTACGCCGTATGGACCTGAAAACTCAGTTTCCCGTTTAGAGGACGCTTATGTGCTTATATAGGATACAATTATATGGTGGTGGTGACGCTGCTGCTGCTGCGTTGGGCAGTGGTGCACAAGCACAAATACAGTAACAACAAATCTCAACACATGTATCAATAACATTGTGGCCTTCAAAGAAATAAACATAACAGCCAACGATTCAGGCCAAAACATTACCTTTTAAGGCCACAGTGTTATTGACGAATGTTTTGAGTTAAGTTGTTATAACAGGTCACTGCTATGGCTCGAGTTTTTCTTACGGGTCAGCTGCTGTTGACGTCCTGCACAAGTGTACTCGTGTATCCGTCGGCACTCTTCTGGAGAGGTTTCTATCACCCAGATCTGGCCGCGTTGCATTCCTGCTGATCTCACACCATTGGCAAACAAACTTTCTAACCTGGTTGAAACTTCCCGAAGTCGAAAAAATATAGAGTGAAAGAGAATGTCATGGGTTTGAGTCACACCGTTCTTCTGACGATTAAGATATGTCCACAAAACAAGAACATCTCAACATTTCTACGAGAGACATCTGTGAAAAAGAGCTTCATAGTTCATCGGATTCCTCCAGTCTAAATATTCTGATTCAATGCTTCCATTGTCAGTGGCGAAGGCTGACACTAACATACATGATACATTCAGACCCCTAATCAATTGATTAACTGTGATCATCTAGATTTAATATCCATTGATGGTTCCATTTAATTTGTCACGGAGCCATCAACTCGATGAAATAAAGCAAACGCGTGCACACAATGAACAGCCAAAGACAACTTTATTCAGCTCCATTCACATCAAGTACACCTCTTCACAGATATCTCAACCTGTGCTTTTACAGTATATACATACAAAATATTCTCGAACCTATTAAATAACCTGCATCTGCAATTTCATTAAATTCTGATACACCTTGGATCATTAAATTTGCATAAAAGCGTTCGTAACAATATTTACAGCTCAATGGGACATTAAAATTCAAATCGGTTGACGGCGTTCTGTTATGATAGTGGTTGTATATCTTTAATGATTATTTAAATGCTCTCAGTACATAATTTGAGGGTAAAATTATAGCAGTAAAAACCTTATTTAAAACATTTAAATATATTTAAATCAAGTGGCAAAACCTATGCAGACTGAAAATGACACAGCAGCCATCAGCTGCAGTCAAAACATTAAGTGCACAGGCTTAAGACATTACATAACCACAGTACAATACGTCTTAACATTTTAACTCGTGTGGTACAATCTATTTCAGTGTGTATTTCTCAATGTTGTGACAGCCCACACACAGTGTGTAAGTAGTGCAATGTGTAAAGGTCAGATACATTTTTGTCTTAACATTGCCGTAATATTTTAACAGCGGGTTTAGTTGCCAATAACAGCAGTAGTTTTCATTGTTGAGCTTGTGTGATGATTTAAATCTCAGTTCTGCCCTATTCTAGATTTCAAATAATCCTTGAATAAAGGATTGTGATCAAATCCACCCCCAGGACATTACAGCAAGAATAGGCATGCGCATGTACGTGTGTCTACAGGGGGGAGTGGTGGTGTAGTGGTTAGTATACTGCGCTATGAACCCAGGTATCTGGGTACGATTCCCAATCACCGCTAACATCAGCATCCCGTGACATTTGAGCTGGTCCTGGTTCTCTGCATTAGTAAACTCAGCCCAAAACGTGTAATTGGTGCGGTGTGTAAACATCGGCACTATAGAGACAAAGACGACCAGGCATGAGGAGCTGTGCTCCGCGATTCCTCATAGAAGCCCACCATCAGCACTTTTTATATGTCTCCGTGTATAGAGCAATGAATTTGGCAGAACATATAACATCCATCCATCACAGTTGAACTGTGGTGCTCTGCCTTAAAAAAAAGTATACATACAAACATTACGCACACATGCACAGAGCGTACAGTCAGTGCGACAAAAACGGACGCGATGTGGGACAAAGAATTTGGCCAATAAAATCTAAAACATGCGCGCTGTAATAAGAAAAAAAAAACGTTTGACACTTTACCATGAGTTGCATTACTAATGCTATTGTACAGGCTGTCATAATGGTAAAACGTAATACATAATGTACGTCTTTAAATGAGGATTTGCTTGTAGTGCACATCTGAAAACCGCAGACACACATGTGGTGTTATACGGGCAAAGATCATGCATTTGGAATGCGGGCTAATGCAACAGCAGCATTGCACAATGGTCGGAATAACAGGGACATTACAGTGAGCTGCGAACAGGAGAATGAACCCGAGAGTAACGCAAACCGTCTCATGACATCTGGCGGCTTGTAGCTCCAGTGTCATAACAAACTCCACCTCGTGTCTCTGCCAGACTCAGATGACCCGTCGTTGCTGGGAGTTTTAAGTGGCAATCGGAATGTGGACTGATGAATCCGCAAGTGGAATTCATTCCCTCCTTCAGTTGGGAGTCAGAAACTACTGTGGCTGCCTGCCATCGTTTTTTTTGTCAAATTTTACACCAACCAAACGTCCGTGACCTCACCAAAAAGTTACCTTGGACATCAAACAACAGGAGCATTTGGTAATCCCACATGATGCCGATGGACATTTATGATCTTATGGATCACAATCGGGTAGAGCGGTAGCACAGTGATTAGCGCACCGTATTATGATTCCGGTTACCGGAGTTCGATTTCTCTCCACGATTAACATTCGGTGGCGAAAGATACCTGAAGCTGCCCCAGGCCACCCTTCACCAACCCGCACTGTCCAGCGTGATGAAGGATGCTCATGCAACCACCCCCATGACTACCACGGCATGGGAAGGCCTTTGTCAGTAAAATTGACTGACAGCGCTATAAATCGTCATTGTTAACAGATAACAAACAAGTTTACGTTTTCAGCAGGGTGATGTTCCAATGTTGCCTTAAATACTGAGCACTATGTTGGCATTTCCGAATAAATGTAATGGATCACAAAGCTATGGAGAGAAAACTCATAAACTGACATATAAAAGTCGTAAATTAACGGTTAGTTTTTTCAAGGGAAACCAAAACTTACAGGTGTTGTTTCAATGCTTATCATACGTTAATTTATCATTACTTTCATTGATTATTCTACTTCTGCTCTGACACATGCGTTAATTAACTCTACACTATATTTTTTCAGTAAGAGAAACAGGTAATCCGCGATCACGTGTTTATATGACGGTTTTGGCATTTACTCAGGTCATAATATACATTTTTTTAACCATTTGACAGCTTTACAGGAGTAATACCATTATTCATTTAAACACTGTACAAATGAAATTAAAACATGGCTGAGAAGTAAAATCACATCAAGTGTCAGATCTCATTTTAAAGTACAGTGGTTTGCTTTATGTGCAAGTTCAGACCCATTCACGTCAATATTTCTTCCGTTGTAGGAAATCAGTAGCGCGTACGTACAAACAAACGAGCCGAGTGATGCCAGAAAGCAATCACATCTCCAGTGCACGTTTCGTATTCAAGAGAATGTGGTATAGCCCTTCGAACTATAAAGAGCTCAGAAATATCCCTGCTGAGTATTAAGCACGCACGTGTGCAACATGTCAACGTTACGGTATTTGTGCGACTGTAAAACTGCACCTAAAACACAAACTTTGCTCATCAAAGAAAAAAAAAATTCTACCACATTGGGCCGGATTCATATCGTGGCAAAACAATGGAAATGCACCACCTTTGGCGATTGTCCCTATCGATGGTAAAGGAAACCTTTGCTTGGCTTTGCCAATATATATGTAAATATATAAAAACCGGGCATTCGCCAACACATCAAACGAGCCCAATATTTTAATTATAGATCAAATGCATAAATCTTGACTTAAAGCTTTCGTGACTGCAGGAATTCATATCAGATGCATAATCGCGCCAAATAACTTGTGCAATGAGTAAAACCAATGTCAACTTTAATAATAATGCAGCTCAACGGAGACCTGCATTTGCATATAAGGGGAACGGCTGAGAAATTTACAAGGTAGCCCAGACCATTCAGAATGAGTTCAGTGTTTGTTGTTGTCCTTCCTAACAAGAATCCACCCGCTACAAACGACTCAAAAGTGTTGATCAAACCAATGGCAAAAACGTGGCAACGCAAGCAGGTAGCGTCTTTATGCGAGCTTGGAATTTCAGCCTCGTGCCAAAAAAACCTTACATTGAGAGTACCCTATTGTTGAAGAATATTGCATATGCAACATCGGGAAAAAAATTCTGCACATGCAGACGTGCAATAATGAACAATACATACCATAACAACAGCCCATGTTCCCATGAATGTAATGTTACGAGCCTTACATGGTCTCAAGTGTATTTTGTCCCGTTTGCCACCATCAGACGCGTCGCCTCCGAGGAGCAGACGACTCAAACTAATGATGGCGTGAGGTTGCCTGGCTTTGGCATCAACGCTGGCTTAGATGACACCCTGCCTCGTCACACACAGGGCGTCACACACACACACACACCGAGTCAGCGTAAGCAATGTGCAAACACAGCTACTCTTTGTGGCAGACTAATTTGAAAATGTTGCCATCTGCTATAGGAGAATGGTACGTTGTAATATTCACACACATTATAACATAATTCTAATTTGTGTGTGTGTAGCCTTGACGATGATAATGTGCTCCATTCTTATAGATACCGCCACGAAATACAGCAATAGGGAATTTTTTTAAATATATATAAAGGAACATATTAAATCTTTGAACACTATTCTCTGCATGATGTTCAACCATCACGTTCACAACAGTGAGAAGAGGCTCATTAGAATCAAGTGGGGTATCTATAAAAGGGATCACCCTGTATAGTTAACGGCCTAAAAAAACTGTTTGCTAGTGCAGGCACAGTATAGTGAGCACCCACCTGGCACCGTGACCACCCGAGACGTCATCGCGAGACCCCGCCACGGCATCTTTATTGATCTGTGATTGTCGACATGGGCAGAGAGAGGCGCTGCGTTACAACTCGCGGAACCTGGACTACAAGAAAGGGAGGAATACCATAGGTGTCCCCTCCAACGGTTATCACAGTCATCCAAGATAAAAGCAACGCGAGATACACTCTTGAACCCATCCTATTAAGTGGGAAAATTAAATTGACACTGTAGGATGTGCGAAATATATGGAAGAAAAACATTTATAGATGTAAAAACAAATTTTCTTGTTTTTAGGATGTTATTTGTCCGACACCGAAGCATTGCTGTGCAGTAAGTGACGGCTGCATAATTAAATACATATTTGAGTGTTGTGAACTGCAGAGATGTTAAAAACCAAACAATAGCTTTTCAACAACACTTGTGTTCGTGTGGCTGGGACACACACACAGAGGTTTTCCCCTCTGTTTTCTCACTGTGACACCTCCTATGAGCACAGGTGACTTTGTACGTTGTGTTAAAGAAGTTCCACGTACATATGTGGCCAGAATGCTGGTCTCATAGGACAGAGTTTCTAGCCAAACAGCAGTTCCATTCCTTCTAGATTTGAAGCTTTCGTGACTGCAAGGATTCATACTCTTAGTTCTTTCGGTAAAGTCACGTAGGTAAAAAATGAAAAAAAAATCATTGAGTTTATTATTTTATTATTTTATTCATTTTTGTTATTTTTTGTTAAAATTAATTTTAATTTCATTTTTTACCCACGTGACTTTACCGAAAGAGCTAAGAGTATATATAGCAGTTCCATTCTCTCCAAAAGTCAAGCACCCACCTGCCAGGCATCCTGCTCAGCCAAGTACTGAGGTTTTGTATGCCACTGCTGTTGCGACTCTTCTTGCCCTGCAGCTTTGGATTTGCCTTGCTTGGAATACATAGGCACCGACGGGGGAGGCCTGCATATGACATGAACCGCGAGACACAGGTGGGGCACAGACGTGCTATTAACACTACAGCGCCGAACTGCTGATCCAAATCATTAAAAGAGATATGCTTCCCGAACGTGCAGGTGGTATGACCGAGATGTGTCGGAGGGAAGTGCGAGGATTTTGAAAGCATTCAATATTTACTTGGGCAACGACCTGCACTGCCCAGTCCACAACTTAGGGCTCCCGAAATTTACGGTGCCCGCGTTGAGACACGATATCAAATACGCAACCTTATTCTGACAATGTGATAAAAGCTGCCCGCTAAGCGGTGAAAAGGATGGCGGATTTAAAGCACAAAGGGTGTGATGCAGATGATGGCGGAGGGCCATCTAAACTGTGGTTGAGTGCTCCGTCTGCGGTTTCTCATTAGCTCCTGTAAAACAGAGCAAACTGCCAACTTGAAATGGCCCATTGCCAAAGCAAGACCGTTAATGCCAAATTAGGCTAATTTTCATCGCCCGTGGTAGGATGTAACGAATCACCCTCCCACAGCAATTCGATAAAGTATCACAATTCAGAGTAACTATTTTATTTTTAAAAAAACTTATATTTGACGATGGTTTTTAACAGATTGTAATTATAGTTTAATATTTCATTTCTCGTTTGATTGAGTTTGTTTTGCTGCTAGCCAAAACTCAACGTTAACTCATCATTTGCATATGATTTGCCTGAAGTGTAAATGATCGTTCATCACACACAAGATTCAATGCTTATATCGTGAGTGTGAGGATCGATATTAATTTGTGAATCGATGAATCGTTACACGCCTATCAAAAATACTCCTGTATTCACGTTGTTTACGATACAATGAACAAACGGGATGCGCTTATTTAAAACAAGTTCACCTTGTGGGCACTATTGTAGAGACTTCAGAGCCATTTGTAAACTGCAATGGGAAAATGAGCAACAAGACAATCACGACTGATATCATTTCACAATATCACAAATACTGATAAAGTTCACGTGTGTGTGTGTGTGTTTGTGTCACCATTGCTTAGTGGCAAAGGGCAGCTGTTGTCATTGTTGTTGTACCAGAACACATGGAGGTTATGGACAGAGTAAGAGCTGAATGAAGACATTTATCTGAACAACTTAAGACTGGTAACCTACGTGGACTTGGCTTTGAGTCGCTGAGGCTTTGGGAGCACTGGCTTGAGGTGGAATGAGAGGTCTAAAGAAACACAATGCCACATCAACAACATAAAGGTTTGCATCACTCAACAGTTAACATAGATAACATTCAAGATTGTTTGTCTAATGCCTTTTCGGTGTACTGAGCAGGCTAGCGCCGAGATCCTCGGCTTCAGTCCAGGCAGCCGCCAATGAAAAAACCAGGATCTCAAGAATCAGTGGTCTTAACCCGGTCACCAACGACTTTAATATTAAACGTGATTGTCCATTAAAATTTGGCTTAATTCAACTTTGAGAACTAATTATTTGCTTTGACATGTGATTATCAATCTGTGCACGATTGGAACCTCCTTGTAAAAAAAGGTGTCAGTTTTGTTGCCAGATAAAAGGGTCAAAAAACAATTATCATATTTTTTACTGGCAAAGGAGGTTCCAATGGTGTAAATGCTTACCCCGAGCTCTAATACTCTGATGGTGCATTGTCTTTGAGTTGTGTGCCTGTTGGCATCATCTGGTCCAACACCATGTGAGACTAGGCTCTAAGAAAAGCTGTCTCGGGTGTGGACCAATCAATTTCAAGGACAGTGCATACATTATCAGAGTTGTGTTTTTTGTTTGCATTCCAACCGCAGGTATTGTGGTCAATGCAAACATGACTCCTTGTAAAAAAAGGTGTCAGTTTTGTTACCAGATAAAAGGGTAAAAAAACTAGTATCAATCTGTGTACGATATCGAAATGGTGTGCCCCTATTGTGGATAAAGAGGCTGACCAAAGTGACCACGGAAGTTGTTCAATGATATCATCTTCATGGGTCATTCTCTGACACGTGGTCCTGCACTGCTAGCTGCTTGGGCGTTCAACACAAATGTCCACTATGCCTCAAGACGTGATGGCGATAGCGCAATTGGTATATACGCAATTTGGGGAAACACGATAGCTATGGTTAGTTAAGGACAGTGAGTAAAGTATTGAACCATTACCTCTTGGGTATATTTGTGCTGCTGAGATCCGATGCCTTGCCATTGTGATCGTTGTCTTGAGATGATTCCTAACAAAGTTAAAAGATTGTGAACAACCGCACTCACATTGGCTGGCCACTAAAGAAGTTATCACGGCATAGGTGAGGGCCACTCATTTCTATAGCAAAGCAAAAATCATGGTATGCGAGTGTTGTTAATATTTCAACAGAATTTCGAGATACATTTGGATGCTGTACAACTTCAAATTCTCGTATAAATTGTCTTGTCAAAAAAAATAACGAAAGCATTATATGCCAATCGACAAACAATATAATTTTTTTTTGTAAAATGTCAAATCAACTTTTCTACAGACATCCTGTTACTGGTAGGAACCCACTGGTTCCACCAGCCCACAGGGGATTATTGTGTCCGTCCGTCGTGCAGGGAGGCGCTGGGTGGGGAGGGTGGGGTGGAGCTGGGTGGGGAGGGTGGGGAGGGGCTGGTGGGGAGGGTAGGGAGGGGCTGGTGGGGAGGGGTGGGGCTGGGTGGGGAGGGGCTGGTGACCCCGTGGTGCCCTTATAAAACTCAACGTTTAACCTACTCACGCCGGCTTGTGCCCGCCCTCAAAGTCGGGTATTTTTGCGGAAAACACCACGCCGCCGTTGACCCTGGCCATTGACCGAGCAACCCAACGTTCCTACCAGCTCCATCCGCAGGAATGTGTTCAGTTCCTTTGTAAACGTCAAAACAGCGTACCATCAACTGCGACGATGGTTGAAATTTGGATTCTCCTTTGGGCGTTGCTTTGGTGTTGCCAGAACTGTAATGGGGAAAAAAGGTTGTGCTTTTCACAAACAATATTGACATCGGAGAATCAGTGACACGAATAACATTACAACTGACGAAGCGTGCGGCAAGACGGGTCGGGGCTAAACAGGTGTGGAAGCTGTTTAACGATGGGGGTTGTGTTTGAGAGATGAAAGTGCATGGACTGATGTGTATGCAGATTAATCTGTTACAACAAATATTTTCAACAAAGCCTTTATTCACTTCTCTAAATAGTTTTTTCTTAAAAAATGTCACGCTATCACGCACGCTGGCATCGTGGTTCACGCACTGCACTTTCAACCCAGCGACGTGATTTCGATTCACGGCCACGGCTAACACTAACCAGTGTGAAGAATGACCAAACAACTCTCATGACTGGACACAGAGTGGAGAAGCCATCATTCTGCAGTGGATTATATGTATGTGGAACTTATTTTTCGCACGATACGTAGCCAACCGTGCTCATTGGAGGTACAGGTGAAAGACAACAAACTAAACACAAAAAGCAGTTCGAAAGAAATTAGTGATCAATCTAGATTTGAACCTTATGGCGGTACCCCTGGGTACCATAGTAACATAGTACCCCGGCTCTCGAAGAAGGTGCAGCAATTTTTAGTCTGTTGATGGTCGGCGATGCGGCAATTGACTCATCTTGACGAGCTGTACACGATGCACCACTACGGCGCGTACGAGCATTCAGGGTTTCAGCACAATCGTCCTCGCTGTGTTTCTACATCGCGGAGTAGCACTGATTTTGGATTGATTGGTACCCCAGTCGTGGAGTTAAGTACACCCCTGTGAAAAGTAGTGCCCCAGAAATAAAGTATTTAATTGCCTCAGCCATTTTGTATTATTTGGTACCCCGGGGTACCGCCATAAGGATCATTTAAAATTTACAAAGTAGTTGCATAATAAATATAGGGTTGGGATTTATCACGATCAATCATGAGTGTATGTGTGTCAATTTCAGGATGTACGGGTCCAATGATCATTTAACTATATTTAACTTCTTTCACACAGTACGTAGCCAACCATACTAATCGGAGGTGCGGGGGAAGGACGACATTATATGCAATCAATCAGACCGAGGAAGCCCAAAAGAGCTGTGCATGGGGGTGAGTCCTCACCTGCACTCCTGGCTGCGCTGCATGCGCTTTCTGCGTATGTACCGCCGTCTGCCGAAGAACGCCGCCACAGCCAGCACCGGAAGCAGCAGCAACAGCAGCCACAGTAGCTGGGATTTATCTGCTTTAGCATACCAAGGCAGCGCAGAAATGTGCAGTAGAACGCGGTACGAGCGTGAATGTAGCACAAGGCAATGATTGACGCATGCCACTCATCCACCCACTCATGGTATTGGCAGAATCTTGGAACTCTCTGGCAAATGGCATTATGGGGGGGGGGGGGGGGGGCATCCACACCCCACAAGGGTTGCAGGAGCTCAAGGAGAAGGCCCCCAGCACCACCACTTTCTCAGCACAATTTGGGATGGGCAGTAATTGCTGTATTACAAGCAATGCCCAAATCCCCCCAAAAAAATAAAAAATTAACCCGTAAAAACAACGTTTTTCACTATAAATCCTTTATATGCGTGGCATCGGTTTTATTTTATTATTCATTTCTGTTTTTTTTTAGTAAGAGTTTCATTTTTATCACATTGGTATTTTAAATTAAATATGACATTTTTTCTTCCTAAAAAGTGGAAAATTTTGGGAAAAAAAATTCACGAAAATAAATTGTCACACACAACGAGTCTGTGTGCAAAATGTCAGCTCGATTGGATCACGGGAAGTGGGTTAAAAAACGACCGAAAGATTTGCACGGCCGTAAGCGCGCAAGCAAGCAAGCAAACTTAATATAAAGGCTTTAAAAATGATATAAAACATGAAGCTCGGGTCATGAACTCCTCCACTTTTCCAGGTCTTCAATCCATGGATCAGCTGCTTGTGATTAAAGCCCACCCAGACTGCGACTTTCTCAATCCACAGAGTCTTCATTGGATACCCTCTGTTTCTAGTTTGTAAAGATTGCTGGATCTATTGATGTGCTTAAACAACCGCGTATTTGTTTGTCTAATGATGGCTAGGAGCTAATTGTGGTCAACAGAATTTCACGAGTTGTGTGTGCTGTCACAGTAACTTTTCCAAAGCATTTCATTTCGAATCCTATTTGCTGTTGTCATCTTCCGTTGACAAACTCCATTCCCTCTTTACGCGACACCCATTAGTCTACATTGTACTCAACCAAGCCAATGCAGCAGTATAATGCAACGTGACAGGGCACGATGTAATAGAGCTGACACAGCGCAAAAGATACACAAAGAAACCCAATAACATTCATGCTAAATTTAACGTTACGCAACCCGACTTAACTGTAGTGTACACATTTCTAAAATATTTGTATACATGTCATTACATGTTTACGATGCGTGTGGTCGGCAAAAGATATTTGAAAGTCCTATTTGGCCCTTAGTAAATGATACGTTTACCACTGCTGGCTTATGGAAGCCCTGAAGCCACCACGGATTCCACTGGTACCATAAAAGCAAATAATAATAATAATGGTATCGCGAATTGAATCATTGAATTGTGAAGGGTGTACATCATTACGTTCCTTGTGCATGGCGTGCGTGCGTGCGTGTGTGTGCGTGCGTGTGTTGCGTGCGTGTGTGCGTGCGTGCGTGTACGCACACGACCATGCGTACCTTTGCAAGTGGGCCCGCTGTCTAAGGAGCCCCCACAGCCTTTAGAAGAACAGTCCGGTGGGGCCCAATCCATGGAGCAGTGGCAATGCTTGTGGTTGTTGCAAACCTGGCATGGAATTGACCAACGGGTATATCTCAACGACAGCAGTGAATTCCACTAAGGCAATCCAAATACTATAATTGTGATACATTGCAGTTATGTGACAGCACCTCCATCTTAGTGCGGCTGGCTACGTACGGTGCGAAAGAAGTGCAACGGACATACAATGTATCAGTTTAACACGTAGGCTTAGTATTGCAGAAAGAGTGGGGGTGTTAATTTTTGCACGGAGAGGCAGCTAAGTAAGTGGCTTTTGAAAAAATATAATGATGATTATTAATTTATCCAGAAATGCCACACTGGGTACAAGCACTCTTTTTCATGTGGATTCCTGCTCTATAGGGTTTTTATTTTAAAGCGGTGCGCCCGGAGAGAACGCACCACGTGCGAGGAAGGACAAAAACCACACTCACCCCACGGCCGTTGCACTTCGTGGTGGTGTTGCAGTCGTAACCGAGAATCGTGTCACTTTGGCACTTTTGATCGTAGCACACCTGGCAGACACAGAAGGCAAGTTAAACTCTTCAAACATCGCGAAACCTGTCGATTACTCGAAAATCGGCCAACTATTTTAAAGGACCTTCCCCTAAAAAGACTTTTGCATTCATCGCCAAGTACATTAACTATTACACGGACATTACCGTAGTCTACGGATTATAAGATGCTCTGGATGAAAAATTTAGATTTAAAGCTTTCGTGACTGCAGGGATTGATATTCTTGGTTTTTTCGGTAAAGTCACGTACCGAAAAAACCAAGAATATGCTCTGGATGGTTAGATGCACCCCAAACATGTGCCCGGAGTCAATAAAATTTTACAAATCTGGTCACACAACACTTTTCACGTGATAAGACGTACACCCCAAACATATTATTTCAAATACACGGAGAGAAGCGTTGTCCTATAATCCAGAGATTGCGGTATCTAAATCTACACAGTTAATTCTACTGGATGTTGATACGGCAGATCACCTGACTCACAATCCAGAAGCTTACAGCTTCAAATCCTGGTTAGAAATCACTCGGCACATTATTCCTTCCTTCGGGGGTCGATAAAATGAGTACAACCTTGTAGGAAAGCACAACAATGACCATCCTTGGGAGAAACCAATCCCCAACATAGGAATGTGGATTTTCCACCAATGACCCAGGACCATCAACAGAAATGAGCACCTATCAATAGTCAATTGAACATGAAGACACTTGGGACTTTTTAACTTGTGTATATCAGAAGCATGGACGAGGAACACAGGCATTAGGGAAAGTACGCAGGCTAGAGACATCATATGGACTCATCTTCGTGGTTATTTCGGTAAAGTCACGTAGAAGGGAAATAATAAAATAATAATATAATAAAACATAATAAAATGCAATTCTCATGACGTTTCGGCCACAACGCAAGTAGCCGTCCCTTCTACGTGACTTTACCGAAAGAACCAAGAAGATGAATCCCTGCAGTCATGAAAGCTTTGAATCGAAATTTAGGGGCATATCACTAGATATGGCTCAGGGATCGGAAACCTGTGGGCTCCTGAGCCGCGTACGGCTCTTTAAGGACCGCTTCGTGATGTTGTTTATTCAAGGACCACCGTCTTGCATTTACCACACAGTGCATTGCGGCTCTGGAAAGATTGAGGAGTTTTTCTTACCCAATTCGAAAAAAATGGCTCTTCTTGTTCTTTGGAATGCCGACCCCTAATATGGCCGGATGGTTAATATTAACGATGGAATGGCAGCGGAAAACTGAGAACACGTCAGGCAGGATGTCTACTACGGAGATGGAGTGATGAACTCGGCTTGCGTGCAGGAGAGCTAAAGGATTTTTGCATCGTGACTTCATCTGAGAAGGCGACGACTTTGGGAGGCATTCATCTACCAGTGGATAGATGATGAGGATTATAATTATGAATGTGGTTGAAGGAGGCAGCATCTCACCAGGCCAGAGCCACAGCTGGTTCCTGGCTGCACAAGGCCCGGGTCTGGAACGTCGGGCCCATAGTTGTAATCCACAGCACGGCAGCCCTCGTAGCTCACGTAGTTGGGAATGTGTCCGATGAGCGGCTCGTTGGGAGTGTTGGTGCAGATCAGCTTCCCGCACTTGACATTCCTGCAGAGCCAAGAGTGTTTCACGGTGGTGAGATGTTAACTACCTTGCCTGGTATACAGGAGGTCGTGGGTTCAATCCCGACTCTAATGCCTGCTGTATATTTGGAGTTCGCATGTCTCTCTCTCTCCCTGTGGTCATGTGGATTTTTCTCCGGGTCCTCTGGTTTTTCCCTCCAGATTTAGAATCAACATGCGTCTAGTGTAATTTAGCTGCTATAAATTTCCACATGAATGTACAAAAACCGTAGATGAGGTGTGGGCAGGAGGACTCAGCCCCCTACGTTTTTCTTTACGGGAGAAGGGGATCGTGTAAAGCGTATCATGTACACGGGGCACTTAACGATGCATCGATTCATTGATTGAAATTAATTCTTGTAAAATCCCTTTCCCCCCCCTCCTCTCCTTCCGCCTGCTTGGATGAGTCCCGGTGTGCTCCATATCATCGATGTCCCTGGAACTACCGCCCGGAACGTCAGAATGTTGATCAATATCCGTCAATGTATGATGCGAGGGAGGATGTGGAATAAAAATAATATATATTTTTCATCAATTCTTCTGTTCATGATCCAAGCCCTAAACCACAAATGTGTGAATCAAAAGTGTATGCTGTCACATTTATGCTAGAGGCGCAAAAAAAACTATAGAACAAGAAACGATACAAATATGAAGGTAAAAGTGAGAATCTTGAATTGAATCACAACTCTCCAATCGTGACAATTTGTTGAATCGCTGGGAGAGGGAGAATTGTTGAAATGCCATACTGGATACGATGCTGAGAATGTCGCTACTGTATTACTGAACGATCCACGGTCGCTTATAATTGCACGAGCACTCGCTCACTTACCGTGACTGACAGGAAACAGGGGTTCCAGCGGCGTTCATTCCACAGTTCCCAAACTCATTCCCCTTCATGTTGACAATTGTGAAGCAGTGATCGGATGCAGGGACAGCGCCTGTAAAGACCAAGCGAGGACAATGACCGTGGTCAACTTAACTCCAGCCACTTCACTTTCAACACTCGACGAAGCACGCTGAAAAAGGTGAGCACATTTACAAAGCCCGTTCTCAATCGACTGCTATAAAAAAATATCTAAAAATTTTTATTTTACCAGGTAGGGCCCACCAATCTATATAGCTTTTTTTCAGAAGCAACCTGGTTACTAATGATAGCTCAACGAAGTGGCTCATCACGTGGAAATTTATAGCAGCCAAATACTCTAAATGCATATTTTAAGTGTAGCGAAGGCTCAGGGTGTGGTTAGGCACGTACTGTGGTTAGGCTCAAAGTATGTTACAACTGTAGCTAGGGCTGTGGTAAGGCTCATGCAGTGGTTAGGCTCTGGCTGTGGCTATGGCTGCAGTTAGTCTCAGGGTACGTTAGGTCTGTGGTTAGGCACGGAGTGTGTTCGGGCTGTGGTTAGGACTGAGGTTAAGACTCGGGCTGCAGTTGGCTCGGGAGAGGACATGGAGGCTGTGCGCTACCCACCGGGGCCCCAGATGCTCACGCACTGCGACGTGTACGTCTGGCAGACGCCGTTGTAGCAGTAGGCGGCGGCGTTCTGGCAGGGGTGGCCGTTCTGCAGGAACGAGTCGTCCGGGCAGGAGGGGGCCGAGCCGGAGCAGAACTCGGGCAGGTCGCACACTGCCCTGGGCCGCTCGGCAAACCTCGCCCTGGCCCACAAACTGCCAGCACCAAACACAAAGGTTAGGATCTCCTCTGAAGCAGTGTCCTTCATCGCAAGGCCCGCGGGCCACTGGCGGCCCCTGGTGGCCTTTAGTGCGGCCCCTGACGTGCGGCCCCCGACAATACACAACACGTGAAAACACCAACCATCATCATCGTGCTGCTGCCAAACCCAACAATGGTTCCAAATGTGTGGCGGCCCTCACACTGATGATGTCTTATTGGCGAAAGTGCCCCCCCCCCCCGCCCCCTGAAAATGAGCGGATGCTGCATCTGGGCTGGACCCACAGAGCGACCAATGTAGAAAGAAAAAGGTTGCACAAGGAAGAAGACTTGATACGGGCAAATTTCCGATGGACTCAACCAGGACACACAGTGGATTGGCAGCCCCTCACTCTCTTCAGCCCTGCCTGTTTTTTTATGGAGCCTCACCCACTTGGTAACTAGCCCTGCCCACCGCACAATGGGAGTGTCTCTCCTGTCACAATTTCTCATGTTGGCCCCACCTGCTGCTCACAGTTCCTGCCTACTCTGCTGCCAGCCCCCCGGGGCTCTTTTCCCAAATCATGACAAAGATATGTTTAAGTAGGAGCCAACACCCTGATTATCACAAATGCTTTGGGCCAACTAAAACAGGATTTTTAAAATCCAGAACTAATAAAAACACATAAATATTTTTTTATTACAAAGCTACAAGATGTTACGCTAAAATGACCAAGTTACGTGGCGTTGTCATGGGTGACTGGGCAGAGACCAAAAGTTTGCTACACTTGAGAGCCTGGTTGATTCACAGTCGGCTACCACCTCAAAGGTTCAACTTCATCTATTTAGCAAAGAACAGTGCAATGCGTGCGATGCATAGGAAGGCGTAACCACTTGTCCGTTAAGGGAGCGAGAGTTTGCCAACGTTTGTACTTTGGACCATGAACTTCGTAACGACTTTCCCGCAGATAAAACAAAAGCAAAACAATAAATCGTTGAGTGAGAGCAACGGTAACGAGGCTCTATGGATGTGCGCACGAAGTCTCTGCTGCAGGCAGAGCGAGAGGGGGAGAGTGTGGGGGTGACCTCTGACCTGGCAGTCCTTGCAGCAGGAGCCGTAGGCACAGCGCGCTCCGGATCGCAGCCGGCAGGTGCGGGCGTCGCAACATTTGTTGTCGCACTCCTGCAACACAAAGACAAAGATCACCCATGTAGCCTTCAGCAAAGCCCGAGAAGTGTTGTTATAGTGAGCAACGATTAAAGCCAACATGGAGAATGAGGGGGTGGGGTGTGGATAGCACCACATCCGGCCCACATTCACCTCCCTCAGTGATGATGTTATGTATGTACGTTTGTTGAACTTCTTTCGCGCCATACGTAGCCAACTGTGCTAATCGGAGGTGCCGGGGAAGAACAACAAACTAAACACAAAAATCAGTTTTAAAGAAATGAGTTTTCAATCTATACACACCACACCAACGACTGTGTCACACACCGCAACGATTACTCATTTAGTACCCAGATTACTTGCCTCAACTCGGAAGAACCGGTGTAATTAACTAATTAATGAATTACTTTATTGTGGCACATCCAAGGCAACTTTTATGACGGTTGCTTCTTCTTTGGTATGGCTGATGTAGATGCAGCGCAACAACTACAATTTTCGCATTCAGGTGGTCAAGCCAGATAACCACGTCAGAGCAGCGGAGTGTACCGCTGTGATGTCATTCGTATTTTTGGATCGGGCATTGCGTCGTGATACGTTGTACCGTCTCTGTTCGGGATGACCACAGTCGCACACAACTGGACAGTTTTAATTTTCCATTTGTGCATCAGATTATCCGCATCTAGTGCCCTGGTTTGTGCAGTGGATGCGATTTAGGGTGGACCATGAGCTCCGTGGAAGATCAAACCCAGGGCTCTTCTGCATTGGGGTCTTTCACAACCGAGGCATTTGCTTGCGAGTTCTTTTCGAACTCCATTCAGCTCTCAAGCGAACGAGCGAGCGCCCGAGAGGCAGGGACGGCCGTCCGTTCTCAGACCTCGGGGGAGCCGCAGTCGCACTCCTCGCCGGCGTCCAGCATCTTGTCACCGCATACGGGCGGGCGGAATGCCCCGTCCGCCTTGGGCACGTTCAGCAGGCACTTGCCGCCCTTCCTCTGCACGACTAGGTCCTCGAAGTCGTCCGTGCTGCAGCTGCTGAAGTTGGTCGGCACCGGGGACCTGGGCACGCGGGAAATGCGGCGGCGATGGCGGATAAGAGGAAGGGCTGCTGCTCTGAACGACAAAGATCGCCCCCTCCGCCTCCACCGTGTAGCCTTAACAGACTGCTGGGGCATGAACCTCTGCAACAAGCGTAAGACGCACAACTGCTTGAAGGTACTGTTGTGCTTTCCGATGGTGATGCTGCACTGTGTATATATTTTTCACAATAATGTCAAGAGGTTATTTAGCCAAGTCAAGTGCCCAATTAACAATATGCCACTTTTATAAGAGAGACATGCATATTACTCAATACACGTGTACAGATAGTGCAAGAAGCCATAAATACAGAGAAAAAGACAGGCAGGCAGGCAAGTAGGTGGATGGTTGGACAGACAGATAGGCAAATAGATGAGCAGAGAGATGGATGAACAAATCGATAATTGGACCACCAGATGGACGTAGAAAGAGAAATTGTAAAGTAAACACACGGACAAAGAGACCACCATGAACATATACGAGAGACCAACGGATAGCCAGATTGATACACAAACAGGCAGAGAGACAAAGAAACATCCATCCATACAAACAACAACAACCGCCATTCGCCATTAAGTAGCGGTGACGTCACCACGACGCTTGTGCCGGCAAAACAACCTCCTACCTCCTCGCGGTGCCTGACGGGCAACACTGTCGTGGGCAGTGCTGTGGGGGGAGGGCCAATGCCCATTGGCCTCTCCCCTCATGGCGTCTGTGACCACCAGTGGCTAAACGGGGGCTCTGGGCGGGTGCGAGGGGCTGGTAATCCCTCCACCTTCAATTCATTACCATGAAACTATGACTTAAACATAAATCCATGCAAACAGGCACAGAAAGACAAACATGGCAGACAGACAGACACACACGCACAAAGATGCGGACACGCAGACAGAGATAACCAGGCACACACACAGACGCACAAACACAGAACACTGCGGTGGCACCCGACTTCTGTTGTGAGTGCAGGGAACCCACGGGAGCGATCCCACCATGATGCAGGAGGACTTGGGGCAGCTGCAGGTGCGCCCGTTGTCGTGGCCCATGCCCAGGTTGTGCCCCAGCTCGTGTGCGATCACCGAGGCCATCACCACGATGCTGCGGGATCCCAGCTGGGGACAAGCAAAGGGACGGCATGTGTCACTGTGTCACTCGTGTGTCCACGTGTACTTTCGAACTGCTTTTGTGCTCAGTTTGTTGTCCTTCCCCCACCCCTCCGATGAGCCCGGATGGCTACGTGCGGTGCGAAAGAAGTTCAACATGCATACACACATCCTGGCCAGTTCACCAAATAGTGCAATGATTACCTTATTTGTGTGTAATATTTTCTCTCACTTGCTTTGACTGCGAATGTTTTACAAGTATTTTGACCGAGCCAGATTATGTTGCAAGAAATATTTGAATTCTGACTTCCTGGAATTCATGATGCCTTCCCTTATTTTTCTGAAGACGCTTGAAGTAGTTTCAAGAACAATGTTGCATCTAATTTTTGCTATATTTGGCTGTGAGAATTGTTCTGCAACGTAAAGAATAATAACGATTGGTGCGTTAAACATTTGTATACGCCAGAAAATGTCATGTTTGGCTATGTCAGGTGGTGGAAGGTATTTGGCCAGATGATGATATGGCCAAACCCTAAAGTTCAATATTAGTGGCTGAGAAAACCTGAGTCAGGACATTTTATTTAAAATTTTAATATATTTGTGCAGTCACTTGATTCCTCCTGTAATGCAATTGTTCTGCTTTCGATTTTGTTTCATTTTCCTCACTGTTTTATTTTTATTCCTGTTTTTAACTCGTGGACCCAGGTCAACCCTTGCCAATAAGACTCATTCTGGTCTCTTGAGTTCTTACCTGGACACACAATATATAAACTAGACTAACTTTAACCTGCTTCCTCCAGCCTCTGCCAATTGCTTCTCAGACCCAAGATAAAACCACACGAATCCCCTGCGATACATGGAGCAATGTGATGGGTCTCTTTCCCATTGGTGGCTCCATACCACCCTCGCCATCATTACCAGACATGATAAATCCACTGTTGGATAAAGACCTCCTCAAACTGTCCATAAGACTCTATCCACAAAATTAACATTATAGGGCAGTCTTGCAATGTGATTTAAAAATATCGTCTCTTTAAACATTTTCTATAAATAATAAGACGTTAATTTCTAGTGAAGGCTCCCAGCTTGTGTGCAGGCCTGGCATGGATTGTTGCATCGCGTCACCATGAGTGGTGGCGACGACTTATGGCGGCCTCCTTCATCCAGCAATGGATTGATCACGGCTTAAGATGAAGACGATGAAGAATTAAACTTTGGATATAGTTCATGAGATGTCATGTGTCAGTATCTTCTTGCTCAAATGAGTGCAGGGCGGTGCTCATTTCTGTTGGAAGTTCCTAGCCAGTGGTGACAATTCCACATTACTCTGACAGGAACCAGTACCTGCATATGACACCATGAACGCCTTCACACTATAGTTGGAGCTCATTCACTCCTCAGGAAGGAAGGGGTTGAGTCAACCCCAGCTAGGGTTTCAACTCACCACCTTCTTGCTTGCAAGCCATGCTGCTCTCACCACAGGCTCCAGGCCACTAGGCATTTAAAACTGGCTCCTCCGTTAAATAATGTAATCAATTATTTACCGTGCAGCCTGTGCTCTAATCTAGCAGGTGTGTGTGTGTGTGCTTTAGTTGACACCGTTTAGCTGTAGTCTCAAGAGCTGGGTACAGCTGCGTTCAGTCCAGTAACTGGTTCATTGTTAGATACAAGGCCGGCCTTTTGTGCACGTGCGTGTGTGTGCGGGGAGCGGTAGTATAGCGGATAGCGTGCGGAATGGCGAATCTGAGTTCGATTCCCGCTCACGGCCAACGCCAGTCACAATTATCTGAACAAGTCTTGGGCCTCCCCGAGGTCGACTCAGCCTAAAATGAGTACCTGGTGCAGTGTGTAAACATCACCACTGGGGAGACAAAGGCGGCTGGGCATGGTGTTGGCCACCCACCCCCTCGTGTGCCCTGCCGGCCTTCATAGGTGCTCGTGAACAGCACTTGCCCCAACAGTCTGTTCAGGCTATACAGGGGACCTTTGTCTTTGTGTGCAGTATTTACGCTGTTCACGCCCCCCGACGTGCTTCGGGAGCAGATGGTCCCCACGAAAGCCATGCCCAGGGCTCCCGAAAAGCCATTACTGTTGGGAATTGTATACGCACACAGACACACACACACACACGTATGAATTTAATAGAGACATCGCGTATAAACACAACAACAACCACCGCTCGTTCACCAGTAAGTGGCGGTGATGTCACCATGGCACTTGTGCCAGGTGAGCTGTACTCTGTATAAATACGAAGATCCCCGTATGGCCTTCACAGACTGTTAGGGAGAGTGCTGTTAGCGAGCACCTATGAAGGCTGACACGGCACACGAGGGGGTGGGTGGCTAACACCACGCCTGGCCGCCTTTGTCTCCCCAGTGGCGATGTTTTTACACACCGCACCAGGTACTCATTTTGAGGCTGAGTCGACCCAAGGGAGGCCCAGGCCGTGAGCGGGAATTGAACTCAGGTCACCGGGTTCGTAGCTACACTACCACTCCCCATATATATACGTCCGCTCCGCATGTAGAAATACACACACACAAACATGCACCCTGTACAGACAGGCATAAATGCATACATGTTCACACAACACTTACGATTAGCACGGTTGACTATGTATGGTGCGAAAGAAGTTCAACATACATACATAAAACATTCGAAGCGAGGACTTGCCGTACTGATAATGACGTTCGTGATGATTATAACAATGAGGACGACGTTGAAGATATCACCACAAAGATAATGATGGTGACTCCACAATGATGATGGTGATAATGATGAGCATCACAAATTCTACGACGAGAACATTGACGACAATACCTCACGATGACAACGACGGCGATACCCCACGATAACAACGACACCTCACGATGACAACAATGACGATACCTCACAATAACGACGACAATACTTCACAATAACAATGATGCCGATACTTTAAGATAACAACGACGACGATACTTCACAATAACAATGATGCCGATACTTTACGATAACAACGACAATACTTCACAATAACAATGATGCCGATACTTTAAGATAACAACGACGACGATACCTCATGAGGTGTGCCACGTCGTGGCGTGGCAGGGTGCGCAGATTCGACTCTCTCCACTTGACAAACTTCCCAAGGACGGCGCCGGCCGCTTTGGTGGCCATGATGAGGTTCTCCTCGTCCATTGTGAGAACGTTCACAGCCACGAGCACCACGCGCACGTTGATCGACTTGTAAAACTGCACACATCGCCGACGCCACCAGCCAGCCAACACAGCAACACCAGCATCACCACGACGGCCGTGGACCCATCAACATCACTTCAAATAATTCCAGCATTTTCAAACCGTTTACGCATGATTTTCACTTGGTTCTTTTTTTGGGGCTTTGCCTGAAGGCAGGTCCCTTGGCTAACACCTTGTCCATCCATCCCTCTGATCTAGTCACTCCTCTTCATTCACACAAACACCTCCTTCCTCTAGCTCCTTCAGTATGCCAATCCTTGGCCTTCCTCTCATTATTTTCCCTCCCGGTCTTCCTTCGAGGAGGTCCTTCATCAAACCATGCCCTCACAGGATGCGTCCAATCCAGTTCTCCTTTTTCATTCTGATGACTTCCATGATCAACATTCTTCTTTCGTTAATACCACCCAACATCTCTTTGATGGTCTTCTTTTCTTCTCTGAATAATTTTCACAAATTGTAAATATATTTCCTATACTTTGCACTTCAATCGTATTTTGTACTGTTTGTTGTTGTAACTTTTTGACCCCGTGCCCCTACTGGACATGTGTGAAAAAGAGCTTCATAGCTCATCGTATTTCTCCAGGATAACTAAAGATTTCTATCCTGAAATAATCCAAAATCAATCGGTTTTAATTAATGAATCGACGCATTGCTGCGTAACATCGTGAGACGTCTAATTCTCTCACAATAAAACGTCCATCTCACCAGTGAATCATTCTATCCCCCTCCTGTAACGCACCCGTAACGCACCTGGCCTCGACGAGCTAAGGCCGTGTATCGTCACCACAAGTGCTCGAAGTGAAGCGTGGCTACCACTGATATTTTTTTTGCACAAATGTAAGTCGACGCTCAATAACAAAAGCTCTCGAAGGGCAAGTCGGCTCCCACAGATTACTTTCAGACTATTCTATTCTTGCGTCGTCTAGAAATATGTTCAGAGGCTGAATGCCAATGTCGAGGAATGCTAGCCACGAGAAGGCTTCAGGAGAGAGAGAGTTCGTGTAGCTTTGCTGCTCCTCCGCTGAAGGAACGCAGACTACACTGCGTTTACTATATGGTCCGTTATTAAGGTCGCATCGATCAATCTTCATTTTACGTGCCAATATTGTCCTCGATAAAGGAGGCATCAGTACACATTTCAGCAGTGGCGATTGGTGCGAGCCCACTAGGGGCCCTAAGCGTTAATTATATTGGGTGCATCACCTGACCGCAACCATTGCATAATGAACGGGCTACATCATTCCATAATGCCCAGTCGTGTGAAATAATAAAGCGAATCACCATGCAAATTACGTGAATATTATTACACCTTTAAATGTTTTTTGTTGTCACAAGGATCTGCACGGCCTCAATGTGCGGTCGACTCACCGAGTCCATGATGTTGGTCAATTCTGCCATGTCGTGCACCATCACCGTCTTGTTTCCCTTGTACCGGTTTGTGAACTGTGCCACAGCACACAAACATCTTAAGGTTAACGAAATACACAATCGACAGCTCTGCGTCAACCCACTGCTGTATGAAGGCCTCCCCAAGCAGCAGCAGTCACAGGGGTTGTTCGACCATAGTTGACCGTGCTGGCCGGTGCAGGCACACTACTTGGGGGGGGGAGGGGAAGAAAGAAGGCACGGTAGCGGTTTGGAAATCGCTCACCACTGGTGCCAGTCGTAACCAGAAACCACACCCAGGTTACTCGGTTCCGAGTGTAATGTGCTAAGCACCGTCACAGTTTCCCCCTCCCCCACCAATGTGAGATTATTAAGAGTGATTTAGTGATCTTTAAACGAAGGGCAGTAAAAACCACCAACTCTTTAATTGATAGGGGATTGAAGGGTCCGGTTTTTCGAGTTTGCCAGGACCAGGTGTGGCTCGTGGCAGATGACATATTGTATGCCTTTCTCACGTAGATCGGATTACCCGTGGGGTATGCAACAACTACCCTGCTGGCAGAGCCAGCACGAGTGGGTTTTTTTTCATAAAGGTACTGGAGATTGTGATCTCCCTTGAACAGGCGCAAAGCGCATTTTGTCTGCCGATAAGATCATTCGGCACCCATCCGTCAAGCAGCTGAGAGGATAATCAGAAACAATTTCCAGCGCTGGGGTGACGGTCCGACATCACCAGGAATCACCACATTTGGTCGTAACTATACAAGTGGCTGCTCCATTCCACCAAAGCGGCTGTTTACCCAGTACACGTTTAGAGGGACTACTCTGTGTACCATGTATATGTCGATTCGCTTTGTAAAAGTCTCATCGATGTATAACGAGTGCATGGCGGCCTGTGTATGTGTAGAAAACGGCACACATCAAAGGGGGGCAAACACTCAAAAGTTCTGCACAGATAAAGAAAATCCACAGACAGACCCGACTCATCGGATCTACATGTGGACAGAGCTCACTGCTGTCCTGCCATCTCCTGGGCACCTCGCAGCTCCACGTTTATAACACCTGGTATTCCCGGGAAATACACGGAGAAAAAGGAACAATCGCTGAAACTTTCCCAAAGTAGCGAGGAGAGATAAGTAACCTGAATGACGCTGAGAGAGAGGAAGAGACGCACTGTGAGGAACACACACACACACAACTCAGATGCATTGATAAGTAGCCTTGGGGTAGGAGACATCACTCGAAGGTTTCCTAGCCAACGAACAAGAGAGAGTGACAGAACGACGCTTAAAAGGAGGGAGCGTATCCACGAAGAAAGCCACTGCGGAGATGCAGCAATGAGATTATCTCACGTGCACAAGTGAGATGGATTGTAGCGTCGTAGAACTGTAAGAAATGGCGATGGCACGGGGAGACCTTGATCCAGTAGTGGATAGAGAATACCAATCTGACGGTTAACAGAGTTCGGGTTCTCACGTTTCATGAACAGCAATGAAAGGGGCTTTCAAAAGCTAACTGCCCAATCTACATATGAATGCGGCCGCTATTGGGAGACTTATAGAGCTCAGCAGTGGCTTTGAGGATAATAATTTAACAAGTACTGTGTTAAGGGAAGGTGCAATGCAAACCGCCATCGGTTTTGAGCGGCCACCAACTTGGCATTACCCGCCCCCCTCTTTGTTCACACTCCAAATTTAGACTCCCGGTGTGTGAAAGAAACAAACGGCTTGTTGGGAGACGATGCTGTGTGTGTGTGCAGGTTGACGCTAAACGTCTGAAGATGCACAATTACATTCACCGTGTAAAATAGGTTTAAATGCCCCACGCCCCGCACGATGGTGGATAAAAAACGTCCACAAAGGAAGTTAACATCTGCAAGTATGATAATTTTGTCAATCAGCTGATGGATGAAGGCCTCCCCTTGCAATGCGGATCGTGGGCGTTGCTTGACCATAATTCAGCACACTCGTCAGTGCAGGTTGGCGAAGGCAGACGCGGGAACATAGAAAGTACAATGCAACAATACATTTCGCTGCTCTGCAATGAATGGGTAATATGCTGAAAATCCAGATGGGAATCGTTACATAAACTCATAGGGTGCAACCGAGTGGGGAAAATCAGTCGATTAAGCCGACTAACCAAAAACTGTAATCGACCATCTCTCATCCTGAAGGCGGTAATCCCCCTCCCTGCAAGCCAGACCCAGTGTGACGTGGCCGATGATGCCGATGACATCACCAAGCCCAGAACAGCACCTCCCGTCCAGTGGTGCATGTGGGAACGGAGGTGTTTTTTTTACGCGATTTTCATGTTATCTAATTAGTCGAATGATCGAGACGACGTCGACGAGTCATCTACCGACCGCGCCTGCCGCAACGTCGTTGTGACGATGGTGTGGCCGCCCCCCCCCGGGGCGCGTGTGCCGGCGAGACTCACGAGGGTGTTGTCCACCACGAGCAGCAGCTCCACGTAGCGCGTTCCCGGCAGCACGGCGCGGCGCACCTGCGGTGGGAGGGGAACCCGCCATTCGTCTGTTAGCCTCAAACCGGCTCAGATACCGATTGGTTCACGCGCGCGTCTGCACGAGCCGGTACGAGCCGGACTTATGGGGGGGAGGGTGAAGCTATTTCGAAACTGCAATGCTTGATTAACAAAACTGAGTTGCCTCGTTACATTTCGCCCTTCACCCACACGTCCAAACTTTTGGTCACATATTCCTTTAACCTAAGTTAAAGGTCATCATCGAAGACCACAGGCTCCTGGTTTCCTTCCAATCGGCGGTGTGATGCAGTACTTTATCCTGTACAGCTATATGTCCTCAAGTGCTGTGACGGACTGTCTGACTCACAGATGGACATCACGTTTCTTATAACGCCTTGCATTTGTACACACAGCCCCCTTTGTCAATCCAAGTCGAATAAAAATGTAAATTTTTCTTACAAACGTGTGACGCCATTCTGGCACTAATCTGACACTCGAAGCGCCATCGCCACGTTAACACTGTCGGACGAGGGCCTCCCCCGACAGAGCGATGTCACCGAGCCCATAACTTGGGGGATGGCCGTGGCGGCGGAGCGGAGTGGGCATCTGGTGCCGCCACGAACCCGGATGTGGAGCTGCTGCTGCTGCTGCTGGCCCCCGAGCGGCTCCAGGGCCGGATCGCGGTGCAGCGTGGGCTCCAACGGGTGGACGACGCCGCAAGCGGAGGAGGAGGAGGAGGAGTTTGAGGCGGGGAAGGCGTCGCTCAGACGGAAGACGCGGTGGAGGCTCCCCACCCTCTCCCCCGCCACGCCTGCCCCCCCCCACGGCTCCACCCCGTAGCTCACGTCCCCCACGCTGAAGTGGCCCCTGCACACAGAGGGAGCGGTTGGCCATAGGTTGACAGAAGCGCAGTGTGTGTGTGTGCGTACCTTTTTATGTTTAACTTCTTTCGCACCGTACGTAGCCAACCATGCTAATCAGAGGTGCGGGGGAAGGACAACAAATTAAACACAAAAAGCAGTTCGAAGTAAATTAGTTTTCAATCTAGGTTTAAAGCTCCAGTGGCTTCCTAATATCGGAAGAGCATTCCAGACGGCCGCATCGTTACAACACGACACAATGTGGCATCAACATCAGCCACGTTCGATCCATTCTAATCACAGGCCTCCCCAAGCCATCGCCATCTCTCATGATCTTAAAATGTGCTATTCCTCGTAGCACCTGAACTCAAAGCTAGTTTCATTGCTCCGTCTCCTCCGTGAACAGCCTCATTCCATTCCTTGCCTTCCATAATTATTCTTTCAAACAAGTGCCATAGTTATTTACATGATTTCCTGGGGAGACATGTCACATGTTATTATTATTTACTCAATATATTCATATTTATATAAAAGTGTTTTTATTAATTTAATTGACCAAATATGCAAATGCATTGTCACATCGGTCAGAATCATGAAAACTACCACCTAATGCAGCCCACCTTTGACAATCATCGAATCCTAGAAAGTTCTCTGTGTGCTGAAAGAAGCGTGGCAGCTGCCCTGTGATGGCTTCAGCGCTGCCAAATCCACGCTTGAAAACAGCTCGCGTGAGAGAATGCAATGCGCTGCCTTTTAACAGCCAACTTCGATTTTGCTTTCACGAAAAAAAGACCCCGTTGCCAATTCCTGCCAGCAACAACAAAAAACTAAAGCCGACAGCGTAAACCATTTGACGTCGCTGTTTCTTTTTGTTTATTGTTGAAAACAAGACAGCAACGAAAAACATTCGTGAAAAATACACTAACGTAGGGACGTTTGCACTGTGGTGTAAATGGTCAGAGCACCGGGACTTGCTATCCAGAGGTCACCGGTTTGATGCGATCTCCCAAAACAACAGTGCAGGTTTCTTAATTCCGCTCCTACCACCTCTGTCCGCTTCGGCAATAATAAATGGGTGCACCGCAGTTAGTAGTCCCGCCACCTCGGATGCTTCTAGCCGGTGTGGAAAAGTAGGCCAAATACTCTCTAGAAGCTCGCTCTAAGTGGAGAGGCCCTTACATCAGCAGTGGCATGAGAAAGTAATCTGGCCTATGAGAAAATCACCCTGAATACGGGTGATCTTGTCAGACTTTGGAAACTAAGCAAACTAAAATAAACTATTTTTTATTTTAGTAGGGAAGGCCCCACTGAGCTTCATAGCTCTTTTTCAGAAGCGACCTGGCCACAAACGATAGCTCAACGAAGTGGCTTATCACGTGGAAATTTATAGCAGCCAAATACTCTAAACGCGTGATGTTGATTCAAAATGTGGAGGGGAAAACCCGGGGAGAGAGACACGCAAACTCCAAATATAAATCGAACCCACGACCTGTATAATAAATTGGGTACTCTCAATTTATTCCCGTGTAGCCAAACACATACAACTGCAGGACCTTGGATAATAGGTGTATCATTAATAATATTACAAAGGTAATTCATGTCACACAAATCTTTACCTGAGCCCGTAGCAAGTGCTGACACTGACAGTTGACCCCGATTCACCTTCAATATCACCATGGTAGTAGCAGTGAGCCTGTGGATAACACAAAAAACGCTTAGACAGAACACATTATTATAAGACAACAAGAAAATAAATAATTCTTTATTTACTGAGGAAAGCCTCAGTGAGCCTATTTATCGCATGTCATTGTGATGACAGATGCTTTCCATCTTCAATAAACTGCTTCTATTCCTCTCTTATAACAACCCCCATCTCTTTTCCCTGGGTCCATCATCCTCCTACTCCCTGACCCCGCCCCCCAGCTATGACCAGGCCTACTACTATCAATACCCCTATCAATATTCCTATCACTACCCCAACCCATATCACTACCCTAATCCATATCACTACTCCAACCCAGATCACTACACTAACCGCCATCACTACCCCTATCACTATCCCTATCACTACCCCAATCCCTATGAATACCCCTATCAAATACCCCTATCAATACCCCAAACCCATATCACTACCCCAACCCAGATCACTACACTAACCCCTATCACTACCCCTATCACTACCCCAACCCATATCACTACCCCAACCCAGATCACTATACCAACCCCCATCACTACCCCTATCACTACCCCAATCCCTATCAATACCCCTATTAATACCCCTATCAATACCCCAACCCATATCACTACCCCTACCCATCACTACCTCAACCCCTATCACTACCCCTATCCCTATCAATACCCCTATCAATACCCCTATCACTACCCCTATCAATACCCCAACCCATATCACTACCCCTACCCATCACTACCTCAACCCTGCCTTAACCACTCCCACCTATCCTCCTTACTGTCACCATGACTACGCCACAACTTGTTCTCACAACCCCACTCTATTTTAACCATTATTATATTACGTACAATTGTTGTAAAGCGCATTGGTTTAAGGCGCTGCTATAAAAATAAAATATTTCATGGCCTGCACCGTCTACTTCACACGATGGCTACTTCTGTCGGATGGCCCTGTTTTGAGAACTTTGGCAAATACATTGTTAATGATTGCAAAGTATATGGGAGTAAACGGGAGTGGATGGAGAGACCCCAAGCAAACGAATGGGAAAACACTCACACCGCACTGCACTCTATGTGGCGGCTTCTTGCCTAGAACGTTGGATAACTACCACCAAGCATAATTTGTGTAATCAGCCACATTGTGCTGATAAGTTTCAGAACCATAAAACAAGTTCAGGTTTGGGTGCTTAAACAAATACAGCTGGAAAACATTGCTCCAGGAAAAGAAATGCATTGAGCATTTGACAAGTTTACTTTAAGAAATGTTTACATCTGAGATATTTGAAAAGTATTTTAAGTTAGCCATCATTTCGGTTGACTAGTCAGGAAGGCGTACAGTTAAAGTTACGTAAATACATTCTCGTGGGTGTGGGAAACAATCCAAACTGCAGCTACTTGAGACTGTGTGATACCGTGTACACACCGAACCTACCACAACAGCAAGACCCTAAGGGATAATCCGACCTTTCCCAACACATTCCTGCGGAGGGAGCTGATAGGAACGTTGGGTTGCTCGGTCAATGGCCAGAGTCAACGGCGGCGTGGTGTATTTCGCAAATATGCCCGACTGTGAGGGCGGGCACAAGCCGGCGTGAGTAGGTTAAACGTTGAGTTTTAGAGGGGCACCACGGGGTGACCAGCCCCTACCCACCCAGCCCCACCCCTCCCACCCCCCACCCAACCCCACCCTCCCCACCCAGCCCCTCTCCACCCAGCCCCACCCCTCCCATTTTTAGATGCACGACGGACCGACACAATAATCCCCTGTGGGCTGGTGGAACCAGGTTCCTACCAATATAACATCCAACTGAATATGACTGTATTTAGTAGGCAGTACTGATTTCTGCAAGTGACTGCTCTCAAACATACCACTACCAATGCTCATTGAACAGCAGTTATCACAACATCGTGCCTAATCAGAGAGGTACAGCCAAAGGAGATTTACAGCGAAGCTGAATTAAAATACTTGTGTATCAATATATATGGATGTTGAACTTCTTTCGCACCGTATGTACTGTACTATCATTAGCCATGATCTGTCCACTGCTGGATGAAGGCCTCCCAAAGCCGTTCCCATCTCTCACGGTTTAAATTGTCTACCACTGTGCCAACAATTTAACCTTTTAATCTTTACAGATATCAATTTATTTGTTTTCAGATTACAGACGTGGGTTGTAGATATATGTTAGACACCCATTTGCTGTACTGCCTTCAAGTCGATGAATGAAAGAGCATGGACCACTAAACTCTTGTGTAGGTAACATTTCCTTTCTTTTAATCTGGCAGCGAGATCAGATAGCCTTGTGTAAGATCTGGCAGCGTGCGAGGGTGGTTTAATTTATATATTTTTACCTTTGTATATATCAGGGCATGAAACACTTTGTACCAGTCTGCACAATTTAGTTCCAGCTGACTGAAATGCGCATCAGCTCGGAACGATGTTTAAGCTATACTGGTACGAAGTTCGCTTTCTCGGTTGTGCCAGTTTCGCTCTTTGACGCACTTCAGGGCTACACTGCGTCACGACGTCTGACGTTCTGCTCCATATGCTGACAGCGACATCAGGAACTGTCTCTCAATCCAGTTCCCCAAAGAAGCGCCCAACATGCTGGACATCATGCCGAATGACAAAGTGGCAACAAGCCAAAAATGCGACTGAGATCTAACGACCTTGTTTGTTTTTCACTGCCAAACCTTTTTAATCGGTGACCCTCGGACTCTAAACAGACGAGTGGTGCGTGATTTAGCTGAAATTTCCTCTACACATTGCTCATGAATACAAAAACGAAAACTTTTTTTCACTATTTTTATTTTACCAGGTAAGGCCCACTGAGCTATATAGCTCTTTTTCAAAAGCGACCTGGCCACAAATGATAGCCCAACAAAGTGGCTTATCATGTGGACATTTACAGCAGTCAAATACTCTAAACGCATGTTTCTAAATGTGGAGGGAAAAACCGAAGGACCCGGAGAAAAATCCACGCGACCACGGAGAGAGAGAGAGACACGCAAACTCCAAATATACAGCAGGCGTCAGGGTCAGGATTGAACCCACGACCTCCTGTATACCGGGAGAGGTAGTTAACATCTCGCCACAGTGTAAGCCGCAAGTAGAGTCTGCTTCGCATAGAGCCTATTCCACAGATGTTCAGCAGATTGTCAGCATATACATTAACAACCACACAAATGCTAAATAATGAAGAGAGTGGTGGCACAGTGGTTAGTTCACTACACACTGCACCGAGCGACCTAAGTTTGATTCCCAGCCAAGTTGAATGTCAGTGGCGAGCAATAATCTGAACCGGTCCTGCCCTCCCCCCCAATCCCCCACCACTCCCAGTAGTGGATTGACAATAGCTTGAAAATTATCCTGAATATTAAATATCCTGGTAAACTGAGGGCGTTACGTAAAAAAACTTACGGTGACATTTGTAAAGGAGTGTGCTCTTCCTGTGTAGGTTGTTATTAAATGGGCGGGTAGCAGGTCCCTACATCGCACGCACAAAATAGTAACACGATTAAACCAATAAACATACGTGTTCATTTGTTGTTACGCATTGCACCAAACAATGAAAATGTACTCTAGTACTTTGCTCTTACACATTGTACAATACAACACACTATTTTACATTTGAACATGGCGTTGAAAATAAGCTATTTTACTCTCTAAATTAGATGGTATGTGTTGCTATTGTGTGTACATATATATGCTAACGTGTATATATACGTGGGTAGTGGTAGTGTCTATGTAGGAGTGGTAGTGTAGTAGTTAGTATGCTGCGCTATGAACCTGGCAAACAAAGTTCGATTCCTACTCATGACCAACATCACCGACTGTTATCTAAACCAGTCCTGAGCCTAGGTCGACTCAGTCTTACAGGAGTAGCATTGTAAACATCGCCACTGGGGAGACAAAGGCGGCTGGGCGTGGTGCTGGCCACCCACTCCCTAGTGTGCTGTGCCGGCCTTCATAAGTGCTTGCTAACAGCACTTGCCACAAACGATCTGTTAAGGCTATACGGGGATCTTTGTCTTTGTATGTATGCATCGATGACGACGGTGATCACCTGTTCCGCTCGAGGTTGAGAATGAAATCCTTGTCATCCACACGCACAACGTACTGTACCCTGTCTGGGTGCACTGCCTGTAAGACACCAAGCGGCACACGGTCCAAACACAGTCCAGTACTTAAATATCAGAATCAGAATATTTATTCAAGCTCGAGGAATCCGATGAGATATAGAGCTCTTTTTCATAGACCTATGTATGCATGTAGAACTTAATTTGCACCGTACGTAGCCAACCGAGCTAATCGGAGGTGCGTTTGCACCACTGCAGTACCTGAAGTAAAACTACCCACAAGGATACCCCATACAAACTGCAGCATTGACATAGCAACCATACCATCCCTCCCCACACACACGGCATGTTGACAGCAAAGGCTCATGAATGCAACAGCCTCAAAACGCTTGTTGAGAAATACACAGCGTACAAGCCGTACCTTGAGTAGGAATGCTGTGGCGTTCTGTGATAAGAACAAATTCCCATGGGGGCTTTCACTTTTACCCTACAACCCCCAACTGCTTTGACTACCCCAAACACTTGCAGCAGAGGAGGTATTACCACCCCTGTGCAACTTGACAACGCGGTACGTGAGCCAACGAAGAGCGTGGCCGTACCTCAGGGCTGGCAGGGCTGGATCTCACGCTTGTGCCGTCCATCCAGCCTGTACGGCTCCGTCAGGCTGAAGCGCAGCGGCTCGTACGAGTCAGTCCCTGGGTCTGCCGTCCGCAACGCATCCTCAGCTGCGTGTAGACAACAACGATGATGATTTGCATTGATCAGAGTCCGAACCGATGGACTGTCATTCCACAGGTCGTAGAGTGAACGTAGTCCCACCTCTTCCAAGTACGTTGACCAGTAGACCAGAATAGCCTCCAAAGGAGCACCCCTCTAATGGGGGTCCTTCCACCAGCAGTGGTGAGCAAGTAATTGCGGGGCTGCGCTTTTAATCTTACCTCATTGTGACCACAAATTATAGGTCTGGACCAAATGGTTACCTCTTGCAAGGCGTCAAGTCTGCATTAACCACAAGTACTTGTGGCAAAGCATGCACACAAACATGCTCCAATATCACAAAGTACAGTACTTACACATTGTGGCTTTATAACAAATAAAAAGCCACTTTGTGCCCGGTGCCACTCCGGTTATTTATTTATTTACAAAGCACGTCCACTTTGTCATTCGGCGTGATGTGTTATGCTCAATTCATTAACGCAACCACTTTTTTTAGCGATGTGAAAAACAGGTAAGGAAATAATTATGAGGGGCAGAGTGGTGGCAAAGTGGTTCGTAAACTGCGATCTGAACCAGGCAAACCGAGTTCGATTCCTGGTCATCGCTAAAATCAGTGGTGAGTTTTATCTGAAGTTCTATTGAGCATGCCCCACCCTCCATTTGCCAACCTTCACTGACCAAAATAGCGAAGTATGGTGAAACAATCCCCATGCCTCATGATGTGGGAACGCCGAACAAAGGGGCCGCAAATTATATGATTAATTACAACGAACAATAGTTGTAGGGAACCCAAACTTAATATTCCCAAAAACACGTCCTCAAGAAAATAAATTAATACAATTTTCTTGAAAAGGTGACCTTGTGTTCATACAAACACAAAGGGCTGTTATGAAGTATTTGACGTGTTGCTAAATGAACACTGCGAAAAGCATTTTTCCTGCAATTCAAGATTCAATCTCAGTCGTTGCCAACCATAACCATACCGACACATTTTCCTCCGACAAGTTTTCTTAACCCTCTTTTTTTTAATCGGATAATAATCCGGATGTAAGGGTGAACTCAAGTAATTGTCTAAATCTTACACGTAAACTCTATTTGAAATCCCATGAGTCAGATTCTAAGGAATTCGGTGTTTCAGATGTGGGTGGAAACTTTTTTTATTGCATTTTAGGCGGTGAAAGGTCCTCATTTTACAGGTTGTAACTCGTGTTGTTCGGCATATTGTTCGATGTTTCGCTTTTTCAGGAACTGGACAATTCAGTTCCCCGAAGAAGTGTGCTGCGCATGTGTGGAGCACGCAACGTTGGGTGTGACATCGTGGTGAACAACAACGTGCGGTGAAACCCGAAAAAAAACATACAAGTCGTGTAAAGTGTGGCGAAGGCGTTCCAACACAAACGTGAAATTAGAAGGGGAACGGACACAAATGACAGACCCAACACAGGGACATCCAAAGCGAACGAGGCGGGATATGTTTTCTCAGAGCCCATGGGATGCTACTTATAGATTTAAAGTCAATAACTGTAGAAAATCTCATAACAGAAGCCAATAACGTGGAACATGCTGCATGTGCACTTACCTGAGTTATGTAAGTAGACTGGTATTAACTAACGTCTGTTATATACCACTGTATAACTTCCTTGCGTTGTTTTTTTATGAAGGCACTAAAGTATATTATATTATGGGAAGTTAAAATGTTATTCTGGGATATTTTATGAACATGAACAAGCTCGCGATTATAACAGATATTGAACTTTCAAAAGCCAATCATTTTTCAGCATACATTTTCGTGGATGGGGGTGGAGCGGTGGTGCAGTAATTAGCACACTGCGCTATAAACCCGGCCACTGGCCGAGTTCAATTTCTCACCACGGCCAACGTGAGTGGCAAATGATATCAGAACTGGCCCTGGCCATTTAAAGCTTTCGTGACTGCAGAGATTCATATTCTTGGTTCTTTCAGTAAAGTCACGTAGAAGGGAAGTAATAAAATAATAAAAATAAAACATAATAAAACAAAATTCTCACGACGTTTTGGCCACAACGCAAGCAGACGCTGTCTTTCCAACAGCTCTGGTCTTCACCTGGGGACGGCTGCATGCGTTGTGGCCGAAACGTCGTGAGAATTTAATTTAATTTTATTATGTTTTATTTTTATTATTGTATTATTTCCCTTCTACGTGACTTTACCGAAAGAACCAAGAATATGGTCCTGGCAACTCCATTCCCCAAACCTGCACTGACCAGCGTAGTGAAGTATGATCAAATAACTTCTGTGACTTGGGCAGAGTCGACCTGACCATCTAGCAGTGACTTGAGAAAGGGCTGTATGGTAGTTATATTTTGACGTTAAATTGTACAGACCACCTTTATATAGAAGACCTACCATGCGGTGATATACATTGCTTGTGTCATTATGTACATCCATTTTTCGCTTAAATTATTTTTGCCATTTTACCCACAATTTGTTTGTCCAATGTACTATTGCTATCATGCCACAACACACACGCACAACAAAAACATTTGGAAATCTCAAAAAGAAGTAAGAAGTGGTGATCAGGCTAAGTCCAGCAACTAGCTACACTTGAGAAGCCAGCGATATCAAGAGCCCATGTCCCAACCCAGGAGCTTAGCAGTGCTGGCTCAGAGCTCTGACCTCTGACCCCATCCGTCCATCTCCACAATACATTATCTTAAATAAATAACTCATGCTGTATGGAAAACCATCCATCAAGCTGTGCCAGTATTTATCTTCACTCAATGCGGGCACTCTGGTACTGTAATGTATTGTGAAACGCATGCCAACCCAGTTTTCTAAGCTGCCGGATTAAATTCAACTCTGTGACCAAAATCTACAGAGTCTAAAGTTGAGAAATGTGAGAAATCAAAGTCTGCCGTAAACCTAAGAGCGTTAAACAAATTACGTGGTGATGCTGCGTTGGTAGTGATGCACAAGCACAAGTAATAAAACAAATCTCAACACATTGGTCACTCACACTGCCGGGTCATCGGAAAACATTAATATATATACTGCACAGTAGTTCTCATCAGGCCCCAATGTGTTAAGTTCAGTCTCCAACTCAAATTATCCACTTTGGCATCTCCATTTATGTGCAATGAATAACAGTAATTGCCTGAAAATGTCACCTGTTTTATAAGTTTCCTTTTAAGGCAGTGTTCAATATACAGTATTAGTCATCGAGATATCACATGAGCTTCCGACAAACCACAAGTCTAACTCACACAGAGCTTCATGTCAACACGTTCCCAACTTCCTTTGATAATGCATTATGAAATAGGAAGAGGTTAACATCAGCTCTTTATTGTTATTTTAAACTGTTTGCACACACTTCTTACTTCGCTTACTCAAGAAGATGCGTTTCCTGTGTGCTTTTAAAATATTGCATGTTTCAAGGAGGGCAACTTACTTCATTATTCAATGGTTTCTTTATTTACTTTCTTATACTGTATTGCAAGTTGGCCTTATTCCAAAGGCAAATAATCTAACAGCCAATGAACGTGCCACCACTGGTCCAGTTTGAGCCAAGCTTGTGGATCAATTCCTGCAGTCACCCAGTAAATCCTGAGATTAATTACAAAAATGTGCTGTCTGCAAAGAGGACAAACAGTAATAGTACTCAAGTAATTTAATAGTAAATATGTTTTCTCCTATTGTCAATGAACTGCTGGATGAAGGCCTACCCGCACCGTGTTGGTCATCAGGGTTGTTTGACCATTCTTCACCACGCTGTCAGTATAGGCTGGTGACAGGGGGGTGGCCCAGGACTGGTTCAGCTATCACTCAACACTGATTGCTAGACGTGGCTAAGGAAACAAACTTAAGTTGAAAAGTTTATAGTTCAGTGAGCTATTATAAATATAATACATTGTCAAAAACCTTAAGTTAAAATAATTTGCATAGTCTGGAGACTCAATTGAGCCTTAATGCAAAAACAATGAATAATATCATGACTATTATTTTTATTTTCCCTGGCTTCAACATTTTTTGGCCAATACCCTGGTACAAAGACTGCAACATAAGTGTGACACCTTCCCCTTGCCAGAGATGCCGCCTGTGTGCCACGCGTTAGCCAACAAAGACAAGTCTTTCGACTGTGTACTTGGCCACTCTTAATTCCCCCCAGGTAATTTTCCGTAATATTCGGTTCACGAGACAAAAAAAACCCATAATGCCATTGCGGCCAGGAAACACATTTATTGAATGTATAGTACAGTAAATATATGACAGTTATGTTTGTAAATTCACATTCTATCAACATACACTGCACTAATACAGTAAAGTACTGTATTGTATTGTTGGCAATACTGCATTTAATTATCTGCCCATCAGCTGTCTACAACGACACTACCATACATTATAGATAGGCAGATATAGATAGGCAGATGTCCTCTTCATAAATGTCGTCTCTCCACATCAAAATAAAATGATTTACACAAGCTATGAACTCTCTGGTAGTTCCGGATGTTAAGGGCCCCATGCCTCTTAACATCTGGAAGTTCACCAACATTGGTTCAAGCAGGACTGACTCTGCTGATGAGATGCTGTATGTCAAAATCGGTCCAAAATGGTTCTCCATTTTACGTGGCTAAAATATTATCTGTAAGAAATGTAAAGCCATGAGTTTTAATGCCATGTAATGAACATCACTTGAATGCAGTGGTCGGGAAATTTCTGATTCCCTAGAATGTGAACCAGAGGTCACTTAAAATTATCTCAGAGGTAGCTTTGTAACATCTGCATTCGTGGGCAAGCCTATGCACGTAAACAGTTACACTGCTTTCACGACATGATCTCGATAGCAAAAATCAGAATAAAATCAGGGGTTCAAAATAACAAAAATATGTAACCATACTAGAAATTTACTGAAGAAAATGTGTGCCTAGACTCATGGGTTGTTCTTCCATTCCTTAGCAAAAAAGTCTAAATAAAAGGACATGAAGGTTCTTTTGCCAAGCACGAAACGTGTTTTTCCATCTCCCTGATATCAGAGACGGATTTAAAGATAAAATACAGCGATATGATCGTTCAGGGGACTCTGGCAATAAAGTAAGGTGGAGCTCTGACCACATTACCCAATTACCTCTTACACTGGTCCTTAATGCCATCTGACTACACACATTCCAAACAGACTCCCAGTCCCCCTTAAAACTATTGCACCTGGATGTAGTGCAAGTGCTATAAAATGCAGAGCCACTGTAATACACACAGTGTATGCTCAATAGCATAGTATGTGAAAGGGCTGGGGTGGTGGTGGCAAGTGATTCGCACATGACACATGATACCTAGAGCCTTGAGAGTTAGATTCCTGGCCACAGGTAACATTAATGAGTAATATCTGAATTGGCCCTGGGTTCACCCTTCACGAACCCACACTGACCAGCGTGGTGAAGTATGGTCAAACAGAGCCCATGACTAACACGGCATGGAAAGGCCTTCATCCTGCAGTAGATTTAAAAAGGACTGAAATTTGATACTGTATCTGTAAAATATTACAACAGTTAGTCTTACCCAGCAGGTTTGAACAAAGATACTGACCATCCAGGCATTTGTCTGGTAAGCTGGTTGCTGGAGTTGGGCCATCTCAAGCCCGGTCCAAAGTGAATTTCAGCTTTTCTCCACTGCGGCTATTGATGGCTTTCAGGCAACATTGCCATATTATAATAATTTTTTATCAATTCGGTTACAATCATGTTGGGAGGTTGGATATAATCAATGCAGAATTTCAAAATTAACATTGTTTATATTAACCCCCTTTTAAAACTCAGAAACAGCCATTTTAACGTCTTTTTATATCAACAAATTACATTTTTTTAAATTCAGGTGGGGCACCACCCACATTTATTCTGTGACCATTTCGTGCATTTCGATTTTTCCACCCCCAACACCTCAGCTGTGCATTTTAGTAAAAACTGTCTACCAAAATCTTAGCGTGATGGATAACAGTGACATTCTATTCATGCGTATGGCAATATGTTCATGAACTAAATTCCAATATCGATGTCTGTTAACCACGAGAGGACTTCAGGAGAAACTTCGCATAGTTTTGCTGTTCCTCCGTTAGAGAAGCGCATTCGATCGTGGCTTACTAAATGGTCCATAGCATTGGGTCGCATGGCCACAATTCCAGGGTGAATAAGTATAACCCGTAAAAACAAAGTTTTTCACTATAAATCCTTTATATGCGTGGCAGCGAACTTAATATAAAGGATTTAAAATATATTCGCCTGTGGAAGACGCGGGGATCGATCCCGCGACCTTTGGCATGGGAAGCGAGGGCGCTACCAACTGCGCTACTCCGCCACGGCCTGTGGAGGGGTTACGCTCTGGGCTCTTATACTGTGACGTTCAGCCATAGCCAAGAATGAGTTCTTTTGAATATATGTAAAATATTTTTTTTTTGCCTAAAAAGTGTACAATTTTGGGAATTTTTTTTCACGAACATTAATTGTCTGGCACAACGAGTCTGTGTGGAAAATGTCAGCTCGATTGGATCACGGGAAGTGGGTTAAAAAACGACCGAAAGATTTGCACGGTCGTAAGCAAGCAAGCACGCAAGCAAGCAAGCATGCGAACTTAATATAAAGGATTTAAAAAGGAACTATAACAGGACACACTGTACAATGAGTCCTCTATTTAGAATATACAGAACATCTGCTGAGACAGTGTGTAATGTTATTATAGAAAGTCCAACACACTGATACACGTAACACATATACACAGGGTTTGTTGTTGTTACAAAGGGTTTGATTAGTTTTGCAGCTAACCCAGACAGACTTTTCATTTCGCTGGACTACGGCTTTCCCCCATTCGCTTGGCCAGACGGTGATTTAATGCCATGACCCTTACCAATCAAGCAGGCACCAATTGTCTCAGCAGATGTTACTCACACTGCAGTTAACAAACACTCATGGAGAGGTTTCATCATGTTCCATATTTTCTCGCAGCAGCTGCTCACTAAATAATAAAAAGGTTTTGTCGCCAGGCACGAGACTGTCTGTGTAATGAGGAATCACGATCAGTGGGGTAATTGGGAATGCCTTAAACGACACTGGGCAATTAACAATCCACGAGGCAATTAGGAACACGGATTTTGTGAAATCGTGAATGAAGAAAGGGCTCAAGCCACTTCTGCTCCAACATACATTGGCTGTGCTTTGGTCTGAAACTAGCAGCTTTGATGGACTATTAACACCAGCACCGTGCTTAGTAATAACACGGTCGTCTGGGTTTACCAAGTGGGCAAGAGAACGCATGACCACGTCGCTCGATTCGATGAACAGCAGCCGTGGTTAAGGTTAACATCGATGGCACCGTCAATAAAGGGGAAAGAGGCCCGAGATTCTAGATGTGAAGCTTTCGTGACTGCAAGGATTCATATTCTTAGGTTTTTTCGGTAAAGTCACGTAGGTAAAATTTTTTAATTAAAATTAATAAAAGTAAAATAAAAAGCTAAGAATACGAGGCCCGAGATGACTGCCGCTGCGGGAGATGGAGCGACGAAATCGGCTACAGAATGGATTGCTTCACAGCTTTGGGATCGTGACCGCTGGAGGTGCCCTTCAGCCAGCAGTGGATAGAGCCACCCCCCACGGCTGACGGATGTCAACGATGTGAGAGCAGTGCGAGTGAGAAAGGTGGCCGTGGAGGGCCCTGAACTTTGAAGCCACCCGAGTTCGATTCCAGGCCAAGATTGTCATCGGTGGCGTCTGACACGTGAAGTAACCCGCATTGACCAAGCTGGTGAAGTATGGTCAAACAACCTCCCACCCCCTTGGCAGACACGGCTTGGGGGAGACCTTCATCCAGCAGTGGAATTTAAAAAAATTGACTGCATCATTAACACACTGAATTGTTTGTCGTGCAGACACGACCAGACACTGTAATAATGAGTAGATCAAAGCTGATGATGATGATGATGGTGGTGGTTGTCATGATGACTGCAGTACCTTTAGCGAGGACAGGTCCCTGGCAGACGAACGCCACCATCAGCACGGAGACACCGCACAGCCTCCAGGAAGACCGCAAGACGCCCGGCACATCACCCGCCACGGTGCAAGACGTCTCATGCCCTCCCCGTCCACCTCCCGGTGCCACGGACATCTTCACAGCCTCTCTCTGATGGGCAGCAGCACAGCCGATGTGTCCGCGAGAGACAAAGCTGTGATTGACGACACAGCTGCTGTACTAACAACAACAACACCAACACGGTGCTGGTCTGTGTAGCTCACGGTATGTCACACACACACACAGTGGTGTACCGACACAGGTACACCTCGTCTTTAGCTCGGCTATACGTGGTGTGAAGATCGATAGACTTCGGTGGCGGCAATAAACGACATCGTTGGAGGCGATTGTGGCGTCGTGAATATCTGTGGCCCGAGTTGAGGTGTTTGATGGTGACGCTTGCTCGGCCACCCACTCCTCCTCCTCCTGCTGCTGCTGCATGTGGCTCGACTGGAATGGGCTGCATGAGCCCCCGTGTCCCACGCTCTGTTGTGAGATCAGAGGGTAGAAAATCCTCTAAATGCACTTTACTCTTAGGTTTTTTTTTCGGTAAAGTCACGTAGGTAAAAATAAAAATAAAAAAAGAAATAATAGAAATAATAATAGAAGTAAAACATATTATAATATTATAACAATAATAGAAATAATAATACAAATAAAATAATAATAGAAATAAAATAATAATATTTTATTTCTATTACTTAATTTCTATTATTATGATAAATAATAATAGCAATAAAATAATAAAAAATATTATGTTATTTCTTTTATTATTGCTATTATTTTTTTATTTTATTTTTACCTACGTGACTTTACCGAAAAAAACCTAAGAGTATGAATCCTTGCAGTCACGAAAGCTTCAAATCTAGAATTAAATGCACTTTCTTTATCTCGTGGGGTGTGTGTGTGTGGTGTACCTATTGATGTTGTTGTTTTTGCGTAAATTGTCATTGTGTTCAGTCAGTTTCAGTTCAGTTTCATTTATTTCGTCGGATGATCAGGAGCCAACCGCCCAATTGTCGAGGTCTATCAGCCACGCCGAGAGGGCCTCAGAAATGGGTTTGGTGTTCTTCGTTGTATGGTAAATAGTCGTAGTGTTTGGCTTGCGTGGCCACAATCGCATTCATGTGGCTTGTCTTCTTTAATTTTACATTTATGAAGGTGAATTGTGGGAAAATGTTGCATGCCACGTGTTTTTATAATACAAATTCAGATGGCCTAAATAAGTACGGTACATTGTAAATGAAAACAGCTATTTTATAATGCAGACAACATTTCAAGCACACGAATGACCATGGCTCTGAGATGCAGAGCCAAGCTTCAGTAGATTAATTTTATTTAGTTGCATCATTATAATGAATTCGTTTTCTTAACCTGATCTCATCCACCTATTTATTTAGTAATATTGCTAATTCAATTAACTACCACCGGTGTACATGCAGTACTCTGATGTGTTTTTCATTCATTTCCCTCCCAACAAGATGTATTTAATGTTTGGCGAGCTTATAGGAGTACATTTCTTTTATCCCAACGTTTCTGCCTTTTTAACTTCTTCTATCGTGTCCTAGATGTAGTTTACTTCAATTGGTTTTAATTTTGGACTATTAAGCATATATAGTAACGTTCTGACCTGCCCCGACTTCGATGAAAAACAGCTTTATAGCTCAGGGTACCCCTCCAGTATAACTACATTTGTGGGTTCACTCTCCGACACACCGGTGTGCTGATCTAGCAACTAATTGGCATGTTTTGTTTACGTGACAAACCTTACTAGTTGGCTGTGTCGGGTGGTGGCGGGTTTAACGACACATTTAAGCGATCTAAGTGGCCGTCCATAAATGACGTCACGCACCTAGGGGGGGTCAGACATTTGTGACGATGTGTGACGAGAGGGGGGGGTTTGAGAGATGTGACGTCATATCAAAATGTGCAACTTTAAATATAGACAACACGTTCTACTTAACTAAATAGACTTTTTAATCTTTTCGCCTACATCAGAGTGCAGCGCCACATTAAATACACACTACAATGACAATAGTTTAAAGCGATTTGAAGCATGTTTTATATTTTTTTTGGGGGGGGGGCAAAGCTTTGTGACGTCATATTTGAGGGGGGGGGGTCTGACTTTTTGTGACGCCGTGTGATGAGGGGGGGGGGGTCAAAAATCGTCCAAAATCGCGTGACGTCATTTATGGACGGCCCTTAAACCCCCCCAAAAAAACCTCTTGTTATGGATATACATAAATATTCTGATTCCGATATATATTTTCTCTTTCTCTAAATGATAGTGCAGCCTGAGCCACAATACTCTAAAAGTGACTTTTATCGAAACACTATCCTGTAACACACAAAAACCCCATTAAAAACACGTGTTTGTTACCTGTTGGGGGAGGGGGGGGGGGGAATCCTCTAGTCTGGCACCGCAAGTGAGTTCTAACCCACCACGTGATCGCCTCCGACGAGCCCTGACCTCTTGGCCTCACCCACGGAGTTGACGTCATCAATTCAATGCCTCCTCAATCATCACACAATTGCATTGGCTGTGTAACCCATTGCCACGTTATTGCTCAGCGCAATGTATATGTATTGTGATGCGACGTTAATGTATCATGCTTTATAGAATTGCGAGAACGGCCCAATTCACTAATTGGCAGTTGAGGCATTAAACCAAAACCCAATCATTTTAATTTGTGGCGTCTCTTTTGTAAAGTTGACACAATATTTGACAGAGACCCTCTTTTTTCAATTAGCCTGAACAAGACAGCAAGCCACGCAGCAAGCACACACGGCACTGATATGCAAACGTTTGTGCTTAGTCACATTGCCTTATCACTGTACAGTAAAAACAAATTGTGTTTCACCCATACCGGCCTTACACCGCCCTCTGCAGTTCACAATGCTAATCTGACAGTTTACAAATGTCTCTCCTAGAGCTGTAATCATTATCGCAACATCCTCTTGTCCGCAGGGTCATTCGCGATTTTACTCCAACTTTAGGGTGCAATTTGTCAAAGACGTATCTTTATTGTCTGTTGAAATGTGTGCCGATGCCTTCTTTATTGAGGAAGATATTGGCTCATAAAATAAAGAATTAATGATAAAGATTGAGATCACCTGGGCAGGTACCATAACCACCACAGCTTGAGCTGCTTTATGAATCCGAAAGGGATTCTTTGCCCCGTGTTGATGCCTCGTTGAGGTTCCCAGACAAAAGAGGGCTGTGGGAGGATTGACAAATTGGTATCTTTGTTTTTGGCATTAAATCTCGGTGGGTTTTGATCACAGCTGTTCGTAACTTAGCCAGTTACCATCATTGGTTTCTGAGATGTCGACCGCTATGGGTTTTAGGTCTTTGGGCCTCTGCTCAGCAACTTTTACAACAAAATATAAAATTATAAAAATCGGGTAACTTGCAGATAGTAAGAAGAAATATGCCTAATGATATAGTTTTCGTGGCCCCAACGACTGCTAGGGATAATAGGAGACGCGGTTAATGTCTTAATACAGGCGTAATTATTTGTTCAAAGTTATTAAAACAATTGAAAAAATGTAGAGTAGATTTTTTTTCTTATGGATGTGGTTATAATGTGAAGGCGTAGTATTAAATGTACGATCAACAGGATGCAGTGGTTAGCGCACTGCACAGTAAACTTGTCGAGTTGAATTCAATCCCTGATGACATAATATTCTTGGTGAGTGATGTCTGTATCGGTCCTAGGCAACCCTTTGACTAATATGGCATGGGGAGGTCTTTATCGAGTGATGGAATAACAAAGGGCTGTAAGTTATTAGGTGTGTTATGTAATGTACTCCATTGCATACAGCCTCGACAAGTTACTCCAAACCCTTAAGTAGGAAATAATAACCACAGTCACACAATGTAATGCACATCACTTTATTTTTTGGTGCATACAGTACCATCAATCATTGCAATAGCCCCTGAATTAAACCAATACCCTCATTTAAATACTTTAATGGCAAGCGCATAAAAGTAGGGCTTCAACATAATTGTTTTTGTGTGACCCGTTAAAAGGGTATTTAAACACACTATGACTACTCATAATATAGGTTTTTGGGTCAGATCGCGTTATTTATAAATGTGTCGTAACCCTCCACCACCCGACACGGCCAAACAGTAAAAAATGTGTCACGTTTTTCAAAGGACAAAATAATTCACTTCTTTAGCCTTTGAAAAACGTGACAATTTTTTTTACTGTTTGGGCATGTCGGGTGGTGGAGGGTTACGACACATTTATAAATAACGCGATCTGACCCAAAAACCTATATTATGAATAATATTGGTCGCGAAAGCCTACGTGTTAAACACACTATGACTACCCCTAGCATGGTTCTTCTTTAAGCAGGTTATACCAGCCACCATTTATTTCAGAATACATACATAACCATTGCGTGCATCGTTCATAAAGCATGGACAAGACCCTGTCACCATGACATCACATTTCCTAACTTGACCGATGTAAGCGGTAGACAACACAATTTTTAAACCATTTTTATGCATGCTGATATTTAAAGTAAAAATTGTCAGATAAATAATATTTTCTTAACGCAGTGGTATGATTAGTTTGGACAGTTATTTTTCGGTAAAGGGTTTAAAAATTGGCAGCCTACCTCTTAAATCGGTATGGTTGGGCGGTATGCAGGTTCCGCTGTATTCTTGTTACACATAGAACTTGACTTTGGTGTCTTATTACAGTGCAAGGAGGTACTCTCTGGACAATGGAGAGGGTATCCTGGAAACCAGACATTACAATCCACTTTTGATACTTTGTTTTAACATATCAACTCGTCACAAATGGCAACATAATTAAATTAACAAATAACTTTTTCATCCAGATAAATCGCTCACTTTCAACAAGAGACTACTTTTCGGACACCCTTCAATTGACCTGAACCAAAATTCATTATTTTTTTTATTTTTTCCTGCCAACCCTCGCCATAATTTTCGCGTTGGAAGCAGCTTGTGCTCGCTGGCTATGGGCAGCCCTTGCCAAGTCATTGAGGATGCCGTAGACTCGCGTCGGAACGTCCAGGGACAGCGAGATGGTCGGCCCTCGGTGATGCACATGTGCGGGTCGTGCATTTCGAGTCCTTCTCATCTTCAAGCTGCCGAGGCCTCCACCGATTCCACCTCCCGTTGCGCCTCCATTGTGACCTGCACAGTCTCGCGCGGCCCGAATGCCACGGGTCCTTCTTGGCATCCTCAATTTGCCACGACCTTCATCATCAATTGCACGTCCAGTGCTTGCATCAATGCCACCAACATCACCACGCCCATTGTGCCTTTGAGAGACTGCATCATCGAGCTGACACAATTCTCTTATGTAGAACATATAGAGCCTTGACTTTGCGTCCAATACATTCATCAAGTCGAGGTGAATGGTGATGTCCTTGTGAGCCGATGCCCACTTCAAGAGTTCAGCTGAAAGAGCGGCGGAATTTAATGGAGAAATCGGAGCAGTTGCTTGTCGCATCGTGGCTCGAGCTAATCGCTTCAGATCTTCCATTTGAACACTGGAAGACACAATGGCGCAGATAAGTGGCCACATGTGGCTCTGGATGAGTTGAGGAGATCGCGGGACCACAGAGAGAAGAAGTCTTCTGCTGGGCACCTCGCCATCTGCTTGGCTGGACCCTGGCTTGATAACCGCCCCGGAGGTCTCCGTTAGGCTGATGAGCAACGTTGACGCAAGGAAAACTGTGCACAACATTTTACGTTGACACACGGTGCCAACGGTATGCATAGGAGGGGTTTTCTTTTTTGTTGAAGAACAAAACGACCTGTAATCAAGAAAATGGAATTGTTACTCTTGCAATATTTTCATCATTACGTTGGATTTTATTATTATGAACGGGCTTTAATCTGCTATTCACAAGTTATATTTAGCACACATTATATTTGAGCACTTTGAGGTTTGGTAGCATTTAAGCTATCAATAAATGCAAATCATAATCCTTTACACGTTGTATCATCTAAATCAATTGGGACAAAAAATCACTTTGAAAACAACGTGTGTGTGTCTTTATTTATACCGTAACATAATTAAAGAAAAAATGTACATTTCGCTTATGATTGATATTACAGCTACTTTACATTCATATGAAGACGCACACATTGCAAAGCACTTGGTGCCCTCAAGCTCACCTATAAATGATGCTGACCACAGCACAAAAATAAATGTTGCTCTCGTGCCAGCCAAAAGCTTTTCCTCTGCTCTCCTCTTCTCGCAAAGCCCAACACCTGCACAGTGGCTGGAGTTTATATATATTGTGTCTATCGTGCGTTCATCTGTGACACATGAATAGACCCCACTATATTGCATTGTACACCTGTGGCATCCGGAAAATTGCGGACAGATCTGGCTGGAGCTGCTCGTACCGGGTACTGTATACCTGCTGCAGCGGGATATTGTCGTCTCTGGATGCGCAAGGTCTTTTTCTTTTACCCATGGACCAGAAAACACCACAAATAATACACCGATCTGGTTATGAATGAAGATAAACTATCGTGCGTTAAATAAATAAAAGGAACGGCGTTATATTTCTTCGTACCGTATTGTATATGTTATTTTGTGTGATTAATAAGCAGGTGGAAATACCGTTTTTAATAGATTTGCGTCATTGTGATGGCATTCTATAGTTGATGTCGTATTGATATTTAGTTTAGAGAGATCTGATAACAGTACGGTAGTGTCTTTTAATTTAGATTATTGTGCTGTCATGTTTTTGTTACTTGACAATTAAAAATACGTTTTCCTAAATATAGTTGCATGAATGTTTAAACTGCACGATACGTTCTTATTAACGTATTTGACATCAAATATGATGCGTGTTCATTTCTTTTTTTCATGTACAGATACCCCACTTAAAGCATCATGCTTCCATTACAAGCGCGATCACTTTAGTGAGGTCTCCACACATTGTATGTATCTTCTTGGTTCTTTCGGTAAAGTCACGTAGAAGGGAGATAATTAAATAATAAAAATAAAACATAATAAAATAATACAATTCTCACTAGAAGTGTAATAAAATAATAATACAATTCTCACTTGAAGTGAGAATTGTATTATTATTTTATTATGTTTTATTTTTATTATTTTATTATCTCCCTTCTACGTGACTTTACGTAGAAGGGAGAGAATTGTATTATTTTATCGTTTTATTTTTATTATTTTATTATCTCCCTTCTACGTGACTTTACCGAAAGAACCAAGAAGATGAATCCCTGCAGTCACGAAAGCTTTAAATCGAAATTTACATTGTATGTATGTTGAACTTCTTAAATACGCCTAGCATCGTCAGCGTTGTCCCACTACTAAATCTGAAGTAATGGGCTTCAGTGTTGTTCTAGAAGCTGTGCCTCTACAGTGCCTTATATACGTTTGTTCAGCTGCACCCATGAGGTTAAACGTGCCATTTGTATAGGTTCAAGTTGACTTATCGCAGCGGTGATTGGAAACCAGCTGACGCATTTGCAACATTTTCAAGGACTTGCAGGCAGGATGAGATCATTTAAATCAGTTATTTATTTAACTGAAGGAACTTAAAAAATAAAATATATATTCCCAACTTAAAATTAACTCACCATTTGTGTATTGCCAATGTTTATAGGCGTGTTCCCATGACATTATTAATCAATGTGTTAGGAAATGTTGTGAAATAAAAAATATGCTCATGCAGCATATGCAAATTACTTTACCGTATAAGCATAAGACAAAACATGCCCACCCCATCACTAACCTGCACTGATCATGCTGAAGTAAGGTCACATAACCCTTATCATCAATATGGTATGAGGAGGCCTTCATCCAACATAGTATTGAGGTTTGGCGGATCACATCAATTCGTTAAACTCCCATCATCTGGCTAGCCAGGGTATGACAGTACAGCAAGTGCATGGATTTCCATCTGTATTCTATCTGTACCGAATACTGTTTCGGGACTTGTTTTGCTTGGCCACGTCTATCTCGCATTATTTAGGCCTAAAGCTGTTCATAGGACCATCGGAATACTGTATTGAGTTCAATAAAATAATCGAGGAATGGATAGGGGTGTGAAACATAAGGTACGCTAAGCTTCTGCCCATGGTGTATATTGCCCATGGTGGACTCTGCCCATGGTGGACACTGCCCATGGTTGACTAACCAAGGTGGACACTACCCATGGTGGACACTGCTCGTGGTGGACTACCTATGGTGGACACTTATCATGGTGAACACTGCCCATGGTTGACACTACCCAAGGTGGACACTACCCATGGTGGACACTGCTCATGGTGGACACCACTCATGGTGGACACTGCCCGTGGTAGACACTACCCTTGGTGGTGGACACTATCTATGGTGGTGGACACTACCCGTGGTGGACAATACCCAAGGTGGTGGACAATACCCAAGGTGGTGAACACTACCCATGGTGGACACTGCCCGTAGTGGACACTGCCCAAGGTGGTGGACACTACCCAAGGTGACCACTACCCACGGTGGTGAACACTGCCCACGGTGGTGGACACTACCCATGGTGGACACTGGTGGCATTGTCACCCCAGGTGGTCACGTGAGGGAGGGAGTTGTGAGGCGTTCCCACGCGGGCAGATTCAACAACTCCGCGCGCATGCGCAGAGCGAGCGCGTCGAGCCGGCGGTCGTGGTGAAGGCGGCCATTGTTCGGCGGCGGCGGCGGCGGGAGCGTTGTCTCGTCGCGGTCTCTCCTGGTCGCGTTAGCAGCCTCACTCACTCAGTCCCCAGACATGGCGCAGTACAAGGGAGCCGCCAGCGAGGCTGGCAGGGCCATGCAGCTGATGAAGAAGCGCGAGCAGCAGAAGGAGCAGCTCGAAGCGCTCAAGATAAGGATTGCCGAGGTGAGTAGGCCTTTGCGATGCCCGAGGAGTTTCCTAATTCCCCCCCCGCCGGGAGACACATGACCCCGGGCTCGTGTCGTGGGTGTGGGGGGGCATGTGGGAAGTTCGGGAAACAATGTAAACATTACCGTTAAACGTTAATGTCACGTAACGTGGTTCATTTTTTGTTGAAGTGGAAGCGTATTCTCTTGACTTGTAATCGAATGTGTTGAACGCCGTCTGGTGTAGAATAAGCACATTTGTTTTGTAACTGCGACACGTTTACATCTTGACCCTTGATAAAAGCCGGTGAAATGATGCACCGTGTAGTGATGCGAAGGTTATCTATTACGTATTAAATGAAGACAACTTACGCAATAAATACACGAATGTATTGTATCGGAGATACTCGAGGCGACGTGGTGGTCAGTAGAGGGCAGTCCATCAAGTTGCACTGTTGTACTAGATGGTTCCATGTCTATGCTCTCGTTACCAACGCTCTTGCATTGACCAGCGAGGTGAAGTATGGTCGTATAACCCCCACGACCTGCATTGTGTGGGGAGGTCTTCATTCAGCAGTAGATTTATAATGGCCGTACATGTACAGTATATGGATTCTGAGAGGAAGTCTAATACAGTTTTACACTATTTTAAGTTGAATCGTGTTAAATGGCGAAGCTGTGCTGTTCCTGTGGTTATCATTGTCGCTGATCAATTAAAGCCAACAGCCGAAGTGTCCTTGCTATAACGATGTTTTAAATGGTTATCCAAATGTACAGCCCTGAACCAAAGTTGTTAATTGCACATTCCTGTAGTAGGAGCCAGGTATACCATTGGAAAATCACATGCAATAAGAATGTAAACATGTTGTAATGAGCATATAGCTTTGTCTTTGGATGACACACAAAAATAGTGGTGTTGCATTTGGGGTTGATGATGGAAACACAAATCTGTTTTAACAAATGTATCATTGTTCTTGTCAGGAAAACTTGGCCAAGTCCAACATTGACAGAAAATTCTCAGCACATTATGATGCTGTGGAGGCGGAACTCAAGTCAAGTACAGTGGGTAAGCACTATCGCATCAGTTGTCATTACATCACTGATAAAAACAACATGCACGTGTTTTATGGCTTTAACTTGATGTAAACAATTATATAATTAAAATGTACAAGTAATTGGTATCCAAAGTTTAATAGAAAAATTCACTCCTACTTGCGTGGTCCAGCAATTAAGTCCTAATGAAACATCACACAGCCTAAGTTTCTGAGCAATGTGGTGTGTTAGTGTACCGAACAATTCTTTGATTTTTCTTTTCACCATCTTTCCTGCCACTTGCATAGGTCTGGTGACCCTGAATGATATGAAGGCGAGACAGGAAGCGCTTGTGAAAGAACGTGAGAAGCAGCTCGCCAAGAAGGAGCTTAGCAAGGAACTATTGCTGTGAGTGCAGATGCGGATGAATTGTGCGCATTCCCAAACTTGCTGTACAGTTGCCATAGAGACGTCACCGCCATAGTCTCTTCCGCCAGTCATTACAAATATTTATGGAAGTTGCTTTCAAGTTAGTTTATGTTAAGTGTTACCTAAACATAAAGTACTCAACATTAAAACCCCCATCATGAACCCCCTACCACTAGTGTAGGATGAACTTAAAGTAGATTTTATTGATAATAGGTTTTTCCCCCTTTTTTTCTGGCAACAAAACAGGTGTTAAGATGTTAACACCAAACTGAAGCCTTTTAACAAGGAATCATGCCAGTAAATTTTTGCTTAAGTCCTGTATTGCTGCCCTGATCACTACCTGCTTTCAACATTGCAGAGTTTGCATTGCATAAATGAGTTGTGAGATATTAGCATGATGGAAGTGCTTCCTTGCGCAAAAAGCCGATGCTGAATCATTACCATCAAATGCAGGAAGCAGGAGCTGCAGCGTGAGAAGGAAAAGAAGATGGAGCAGAAGAGAAAGATCGCCAGCTTGTCGTTCAGTCTGAACGATTGCGAGGAAGATGATGAAGACTACAACAGCAGCCTCTCTGATGAAGGTCTGTCTGGTGAAAAACTTGACACCTTTAGCCTCGGGCACCCCTGTAAAAGAGGTTATCTTGTTACACCGTTGCCTGCTTCCGAATGACCCACGAATGTGCATTGTAATGTTTGAAATGTTAATCCACTCACTTTTGATGCTTCCCTAATTTGGATGTTGCTGACTGCATATTTCGTTTTAGAAATCGAGTACCCGGTGAAAAAGAAAAAAATTGGTAAAAATCCAGATGTGGACACCAGCTTTCTTCCGGACCGGGGCAGGGAGGTCAGTGTTGATCATTGCTTGTCTTAACCAATCTTCTGCCATGCAAACCTATTCTATGCCTCCATTAATTTCCAATGCTGTACTTTAAGCAGGAGTAGGGGTTTCTTAAAAAAATCGAAAAGAGTTAGAGCTTCTTGCAGGCATTATTTTAGCGTTTAGTATAATTTCACCTATGATCAGGTCATTGATGATGCTTCTGATCTCATCAGTGCTCAGCAAATTTTTGTCTGGATAGTTCTTGGATGAGCGACCACCTTGCTTAAGTTTGTATAAGCTGTGGGACTTCGTTGTGGCCAGCAGAGGGCAGCTCGGCAATATCCATTGTCCATAATAGTTTTTATTTAGGTTAGATCGCGCAAGTATGTGTCGTTAAACCCGCCACCACCCGACAGACAATTAGTAAGGTTTGTTAAGTAAACAAAACGTGGCAATGCATTACTAGTTCAGCACACCGGTGTGTTGGAGAGTAAACCTACAACATTTACAATTCGGGTACGACGTTTCGCCGGTAATTATAACCAGCCTCATCAGGCGACAACCGGAGTTGATATCCATTGTAGTGTACTCGTTCCCACATCAATCCTCTGTCTTCACATGCCTGCTTTGACCAGTATTCTGATGTATGGTCAAATGACCCCCATGACTTGCATGGCATGGAGAGGCCCCTCATCCACTTGGCAAAGCCTGCATATGAACCTTATGGCAGGACCCCGGGGTCCAGAATAAACGGAAGTCAAAATCGTAATTTATTTATTTTTGGCGACTCTACCCCACCGCGCGCATAAACGCTGCGACCCACCCTGCGCAGATCATTCAGTTATGTCATCCAAGCGCAGCGAGGACGAATGCGCAGAAGAGCTGAACAAGCGAATGCACTCCATGCTCGGGGTATGGGCAGGATCATAAGTCGTATCCAAAGCTGCTCAAACTGCCTACACGACTTAAGTCCTTTATTTGTCATAACGGGATGCATAATACAGTGAAACTGCTCTCTTATCTTCATTATTTGTGACCTACCAATGTCTGCAGCCAGGATCAATCGATGACAATCCTATTACCTGCAGATATTTAACAGATGAGATGCGTTGCACCGTTAATTCCTCCTGTTTGATAATACTCTCTTGTCCGTATGCATCTGTGCAGATTGGCTTAACCGCAAAAAAAAACATTAGTCCCCACATACCGTTCGTATCAATGTGGATAAGAGGAGCGGCGACCCACTACTCTGTAGAGTGACATTGGTATAAACGCTTGTTACAATATGAGCAGCACATTGAAAACGCGTACTATTTTATGCACTGTTTACAAAGTGTGTTCAGAAATCCACATCTGAGAAACACGATGATTGACAGAGGGGTGTAAATTCTTTTTTCGATCGTGTATTTAAATAGAGGTACTGCAAGCAAGTAGTTTTCAGTTTTAAAGGCATAGTTTAACAAGACAGCACTTGCCACCATTCCTTTAAATTTATTGGTGAAAAAGAGCAAAGTTTTTGTTTACATTATAATATAATGTTTATGCGAGAGCCCCTCGGGGGCTTATGGGACCCCAGGGTCCCGTCATAAGGTTCAAAGTAGGGCAAAACATATCAAAGTGGTGAAGTAATATCTGTTTATCTTTTACATTGTGAATTTGCTATTTGCTTGTAGCAGAATGGGTTTGATTACAGAGGGTGAAGCATAGATCAGCTGTTTTCTCAGCATTGTGCTGAGGCGCTTATGGACAACTAGTGCTGTCGCTGACATATTTTACCTGAATTCTCTCCACCTTGGACATTATTAAAGCTCCTGTGGCACTCTGACAAACAGCCGAGTTAACTTTCCTGCCCTAAATGAAATTTGACTTAAATACCTTATCAACACATCGATTATAATATAATCAGCCCAACTTATAGGCTCATCTTGAAGGAACAGATTATCCACTGTTAAATCGCAAGTGAATGCTTCTCTAATTTACGATGGATTTTTGTTCAACCTGGCTGTGTTTCTTGTTATAATTTTCGTAGGAGGAAGACAACAGATTGAGAGAAGAGCTGAGACAGGAGTGGGAGAGCCAGCAAGAGAAAATCAAAAGTGAGTGGTGACTAACACCAGCAAAAGCATATACCTGGATTCTTAGGGCTTCATTGCATTGTTTTTGTCTTATCAATAACTCGGTAAATGTTTTGTTTACTTGAATAATAATTACTGCTTATGTTTTTATATTGACACCTATGGAATTGAGTTGTTTTGTATGGTTTAGGTTGTGCATTTATTTAAGGATATGGAATTTACGTTTGTATAAAAATAACATTCTGGTGCGAAGTGCTTTTCTGCATTTTAACTTGTATTAATCCACTCAGACGAGGAGATTGTGATCACCTACAGCTACTGGGATGGCTCTGGGCACAGAAAGACTGTGCGGGTACGTAGCGTTTATCTGTTCCTCCTTAGAATGATACATCAGTGAAATATAGACTTGGCACACTGGACTCGCAATGCACCCAGACCGCAGAGAAAGGGGCTGTAATTCAAAGCACCCTGGGGACTATCCATATCGAGACCAGAATCGAAACATTGCCTTGATTTAGCCATGATAAAACTCGAACAAAATTGTATTGTTTATGATCAGTGTTACAACAAAAATGTCACTGCTAAGAGTTATTTTTATAAATCTGTGATTTGTATCCCAATGAACGAATTGTAGTTTTTTTCATGGTCTGACTTGGGTGTTAAAGTATTGTATAATACTAGATTTGAAGCTTTCGTGACCGCAAGGATTCATACTCTTAGGTTTTTTCGGTAAAGTCACGTAGGGTAAAAAATAATAAATGAATAATAAGTAAATCGATTTATTTTAATTTATTATTTTATTTTTTATTTTTACCTACGTGACTTCACCGAAAAAACCTAAGCGTATGATAGGCTATGTTTTTAGTGAAAGACCTTTTTGGTGAATACATTGCGGATTGAATCTCATGAGTTTGTGACGATTGTTCAAGCTAGACTCAATGTAGTCATTACATAGCAAGTTTTCACCATCCTGTGCAAATGCCACATGTTTTACTTACAGATGAAGAAGGGAAACACCATCCAGCAGTTCCTACAGAAGTGTCTAGAAATGCTGCGGAAGGACTTCAGTGAGCTCAGGTGATGCTTTTGATTACACAAACTATTTCACCAAGGGATCATCACTGGAGTTTACCATGTGGTTTTTGGTAGCTGCATTGGTCCCATATACATTGCAGTGATTGATTAACGTCTGTCTTGCTTTGATATTTTAAACGTTTTATTACACTTGGATGTCTCTATTTGTTGGCGTTTCATGTGTATTCATTGCGCAGCATTCCCTACAGCTTGAATTATGCATCTCATGTTCCTGTTATGTGATTTGTTCCATTGTTTAGAACTTCTGGAGTGGAACAGCTGATGTATATCAAAGAGGATTTGATCATTCCTCATGTAGGTATTACCCAGGCACAGGTTCCAATGCTAATCAAATTCGCATTTATGTCCTTTGTTATTGTATAGGATTACATCTGCAAAAATATCCATAAGCAGCTGCAAAAACACACCAAGCTTTTCAACAGGCATATCATGTTATTGTAATTTTTATGTGTTTTAATTTCCTTGCCAGATCTGTACCATACCTTTTTTAAGCATCATACTTTACATGCTGCAATTAGTCACAGTGAAACATGAAGCTGTTCTAATTAGGTTTACAACCAGAATTAAATATAGTAAAACAATACTGCACCCTTTTTAAAAGCATTTGCACGAAATTGGGTTGTTTACTCAATTCACAATGCAATATTTTCTTGGGTGCTTATCAAAAATTGAGAGCCAAAACTTAAAGACATTTATGTTAACAGCCGTCCAGGCAGTGACACAATGCATTATAGTAGTTGTCGACTGAAACCAGCTTTTGTTTTATGTGTAGCTTGAATGTGCATCTGTAAAATATCATTGCCGTATTAGGTTATTATGTCATCAACTGATGAAGTTATTTTTTGTGGAAATGATTGGCCTTGATACTCCAGTCTACTTTACCTTGCTCAATTGCTCGCATGTTGTGTAGACAAATTGGATGTGGATTTTTTTTTGTACATAAGGTCATGCTTGTCATCTGTTCAGATCCGGGTAAGCAAAGCAGGGCACATTAAGCAGATGTGAATACCTTATTAAAATTGATTTGCTAAGGACAAGCTTGTCTGGGATTGACCATGATAATGAATTATCCAGCAGTAATACCTGATGGATGTTGATTAAGAATCATGAAGGACGAAAACACATAAGCCATGCTTAGATGACGATAATGCTCCGTGAACTTGAATGACCCCTATGCGTTATGAGTCTGTGCTGCTTGCCTGTAACACTAATTATTCCCAAGTAACATTAATCAACCAGCAACAGAACCATCTGTCCCTGAGACGAGAATATTGTGTATAACCAGCAGTGACAAGGGAATTAATGAATGCAAGATGTCTTGCTTAATAATTATGTTTTATTGCAAAAGTATCTTTTTTTAAAAACAAGATTTTATTTGACTGAAATTAAATGTACCGTACTTTGAAACCAACTACCTGAATCCAAATCTGTTATGCAGACTGGTTACATTAGATTGTAAGCAGTTTGTTTCAAGGCTGGATGAAATACAGTGCACATTAAAATGTTATAAAATGGCTCTTCTATTAAGTCCGTGTGGATTAGTGCAAAAAAATATTTATCCCTAGCCTTGAAGACAAGATCGAGCAGCAATATTGTAATGTGAGCTATAACTAATTCTATCAAACGTACCCACAAGCACTCTTAAAAGTTCTAAGAAGCCTTAATGTCAAGCAACATGGCTCTATGGCTTTAAATACAATGCGCTTCACTGTTGCACGTAAAATGGCATTTACTTGATTAGCTGACATTAAAACTAAAAAACTCGGTCCATAATAAAGATGCACAAAACATAAATAGCAAAAGTGTTAATTTAAAAGTTTACAGATTCAGTCAATGAATGTACTTGCGAAGGGTGTGAAATCGACTTTCTATGAATACTTAATGTGTTTTCTAGTATTTGAGATACGCATGTTACAGCTAATGCAGTGCATTTACTATCACATTGCTACGTCTGTGCAAACCTGTCTGTGGTGTGCTAATTTGTTGACTGGTATTGGGGTACATTTTCGTTAATATTGCCCATTCCTTCTTGGCCAATTTCTTCATTGTTTTTGGCATTCTCAAGCATGATGAGTTGATGTTTGAGGGTCTTCATTTGAGTGTCTTTGTGCTTCTGTTTACAGCATTATTCCTTTTTACGATTTCATCGTGACTAAAGCCAGGGGCAAGAGTGGTAAGTGCACAAACTTTGTATTTGCGTGTGCCACATTTGTGCTACTGCAGTAAAATCCTTATGGGAGTTCCGTCGCCTCGTGCATAATTGCCACACTAAGATGTTCTGGCCTCTTTCCAGTCCAGGCAATATTCTTACAATTGGCATCATTCACTGATACCCTTCAGAGATTTTCTGTGACGTAAGCAGTGCGTTTTGTAACATGTACACAATGTGAAGTGAAAGTCTAAATGAGTTGGGGAATGTTTTGTGCTAATTACTATTGTCACCCAGCATTTTTTTCCTGAATTATATAAAATAAGCAGATGCTTGTGACCTGGCCATTAATAATCTGGTTTGTTTTAGTGATAATGAGGACATTGTGTCCTGCCTTTCGTCAAGTATTGTGAACTGATTGATTTTGTAGTTTAACCAGATGAGAGCCCCTTATGATTCAATACCAATTTCCCCATTCCAACTAGACTTTGGGTATTAAGGCTTTGCAATTGTTTGGCTGGCTGACCATAGATTTCCATGCTTGCCCACCTGTCAGTGTAATCGTTTTATAACTGAAAAAGCTAATTGCATCCAATGTCCATTGGTACACTGCCCCTTTTGTATTTGTATATCGTAGCATGTATCATATCATGAGCACTGCTCAATGGAACTGTTTGCAGTTACAGAAAATTACAATAATAGTAGAAAAATTAATGCAGCATCAAACATTTCACATCCACTGACTGATAAAATTACCTGTAAATGCACCCAATGTAATATTCAGAAGCTAAAGAGGGTAGAACCTGCATAGTGATTGGATGGAAGGGGGGAGGCCCTTATCCAGCAGTGGTTTGACAAAGGGGCTGAATGCAAGGTCTGAAACTGGAATCCTAGTTTGAATCGTTCATTGTATACATTTTGTATCTGTCCCTGTGTTCAGGTCCGCTCTTCAGTTTTGATGTTCACGACGACATTCGGTTGTTCAACGATGCCACGGTGGAGAAGGACGAGGTAAGCGATGGTGATTTCCATTCGGCGACTCGGCATGAACATCGTGGTCACCGTTGTGCAATGTAACTTTGGAATATGCAGCACACGCATACAATACTCAAGAGTGTTATCGACATTTTATTGAACAAAATACGTGAAACTTTAATCAAAACATACACGTGCATGTAAAGAAGAGGAAAAACTGAATAATTAACTTTTTCTCTAGTTACTTGAAGATAGTTCTCCATTTATTCCCAAACAAAACTGCTCAATTTGGTAAATATCCCAAGAAAAATGAGACTTTCCTGGCTATATAATTCAAATCGTTATTAAGTGTTAAATGTCAATGCCTAATTATACAAACCTCCGATTAGCACGGTTGGCTACATACGGTGCGAAAGAAGTTCTACAGACATACGGGTGATGATTTTCCTTGTTTTCCCAGTCTCACGCAGGCAAAGTGGTCCTGCGCTGCTGGTACGAGAAGAACAAGCACATTTTCCCGGCGAGCCGCTGGGAGCCATATGACCCCGAGAAGAAGTGGGACAAGTACACGGTGAGTTGGACTTCACACACTGCACAGAACCCCCTCCCACGCCCGCTGTTCACCCACAGAGCTGTAGAGGTCCTCGGAGCAACAGGGATGTAATCTGTTGACGAATGGGTTTGGCAAGAACTGCCTTACTAAAAAATCTGTATTGTGTTCGATACCTGCCCAAATGCATTTCCAGATACAAGCATACCTTATATTTCACTTTTATGTTGGTTGTAAATGCGTGCTAAAATACACAGTTCAATTTCTGCATGGATTACAAGAGCAGTGTCATTTATATCTACAGCCCTTTTGTCATGCCACTGTTGGATGAGGTCCTCTCCAGGCCGTGGAGGTTATTTAAACATATTTCACCATGTTGGTTAATGCTGGTTGGTGAATGCTGAAAGGGAGCATAGACTTTTGAATACAGTACAGTGTGACGATGGATTTTGCAACACTGCCCTCTGCTGACAATGTAACTCCTTAGCAGCCTATAAAATCTGTATCATACATATTGTCTGCCCATCCCAAGCACCATCTAGGCTGAAACCTGCTGCTTTGCTTCTGAAATCTGATGTTATCTTGTGCATTCTGGGTGATTTGGTCACGGACAGGAGCAGTCTCAAATGTTATGATTTTAAATAATTGAAATTTTATTTCAAACTGAAGCAAAGGACCTGGTTTATGTGGGAAATTTGGAAAGTAAGCCTTATTGAAATGTAGACAAATAGTATATGTCTCAATGGAATTACAGGGCTTGTGGCTGGCATGGAAAGTTTAATTATTGCACTTACAAAACATTACAATAATTAGCACTTTGTAGCTCCGTGGTTTTTTTCATTGGATGTAAAAACTTCCCTGATGTGCTGCAGAGAAGCAACACGATGCTTCATTGCTGCCAGTTCACCACCCAGGGTTCTTTGACCATAAATACTGCGACGCTTCCAGAAAGCCAAATGCAGCCAAAGTAGTACAGCATGTACACAAAGCAGCAAATGCATCACTGCCATTTACGCCAGACATTTTCACTTTCACCGAGATTTGAGTTTGAATGAAGAGTGTTACCCTGGTATTGCACTCATTGGCATGCTGCCAAACGTGAGTTTTTTTTGTAAAAGAGTAATGAATCAATGTGACACTTTTTCGTTCGCAGATAATTAAGCACATAGTAAATTATGTTCGTGTTTTAACATACTCTCTTTGCCCCCCTCCAGATTCGATGATTTATTTTGAGTTTTTCATGGAGCCTGGCCCCAGTGGGAATGGACGTTGCCAAGAGGAAATATTCAGAAGCTGCAGACTGGTCTCTCTACAGTCTTTCAATACATCACGCTAATATTTGCTGTTGTGAAAGTCCTTGAATTGCTTATGTATAGATGAATTAAATCGTGTATAAATTAGTCTACTTGTGTCATATATGTATTTGCTTTCATTTGTAAAATGTCAAATAAAATTTTAATACCTCGTGTTTTTTCGCGGGTGATTTATATATCTAACTTTCATATAGCCTCAATTCTGTAAATTCTGTTACAAATTAACTAAATTAATTATTGGAACAGTATTTTGTTTAAACTGTACCATCAATGCAGGGTTACATGGTATTGTCCTCTCTACATTTTTCTAAGATATACTGCCAACAATTTGCCTAATATCTTAGTTGAATAACTTGGAGAAAATCAATATATAAGCAGGATGTTGCTATTTTCAAGAGGAAAATTTAGCTTTTCTGCATTACTATTCTACCAGCAAACTCATTGACCAAGAAATAGTTTAAACTTGTGAAATGTTATAAGCTCATCTCACTGATGCCGGTCGGGTTCACCGATACATTGGCTTAGCCTGCCGAGGCCTTCCCAGCAGCAGCAGTAAAGTCTCGCTTATAATAACCGTGTCAACACCTGAAAGGGTTATTATTACCGAGATGCCAATGGAATGTGGCAAGACATTTGTAGAGTCGGGGGCAGAGCGGAGCAGCTCGACTTACGTTTGACTTTGCTTGGCAGCGGCGCACGCTACCCAAGTCGCGTATTATTAGTTTAAAACTTGCTTTACTTAACAAAGTGCGCTTCCGTCCAGATCTGCGGGGAAATCAAGTTCTCCCGCAGCGCCTGCCTACCAGCACGTGCGTCCCAGAGGGGCCACACTTTTTAACGCAGCCGTAATAATTCCCGTCACCCCGAGACCTCGCGCTCGCACCTGGGGGACTTCCCTGTGCTTCCTGCTTCGTGAAGGAGCTATGGGCTGCCTCGCTGAGCCCACTGCCAGGCCCAATCAAACCATTTTGGCAGATCTGTCCTTAAGGTGCCTTAGGCAATGGATGCATGAAGCCTGATTTAAAATCTACACGTGTTTTTTTTATAAAAATTACTACTTTTTTTTGTCGACGTAATTTTCCACGCACGTGGTTTTCAAGGTGGTAAAGGCGCAGGCCTGCAATTGCTCACGCCACAGCTGGTGGGAGAGACTACTAGAGGGAGCTCTAGACGGCCCCACGAGGGAATTTTGGCCTACTCGTCCACGCTGTCCAGACATTATCGAAGAGGTGCGCGTAGGCATGCTAAACCCCACCGAGCGCGACCTGCCCATCAACTAAAGAGATTGAAAATTTCACAATTGAATGTGCCTATTATTCAACGATTACATTTCTGAAACAAACTCGCGTTATAATGTCATTAAATTAAAACTATTGCACTTGCTTTAACGTTGATTTTTCTGTACACGGGTGCTTGATAAGTATTGTATAATTGTTTTGTGCTGAAGAAAGGATTTTCATTTTGAGGCAATTCATCAACCCGCACAGACCAGTATGGTGAAGCATGGTCAAACACCCCCCCCCCCCCCCCCACGACCTACACAGAATGGGGAGGCCCTCATCCAGCACGGTTTGACTAAGGGCTGTACATTAGAATCACTTTACAAACGTTGTACTCATAACTCGTGCTGTCAACATAATACCACACTGCACTCGAGTGTAGCTGGGTAATGAGATATATGTATCCTTAATAGTTACACTGAAATTGAAGACTTTTTACTAGCATTTGCCATCTGGTCTGGTAAGGAGTGTAATCACGTGGCTTAAGTTGTTAATACAGCGCTAACAGTGACAATGCATCTGCTCTTCGGCCACTTCAGCTCCTAACATATAATTACAGTACTGCACAGATGGGCTTCTCAATACAAAAGCAATTTGTGGCAATGCTTGCGGTGCACCGTTTGCTGTAATTGCCAGCTAATTATAGCGTAGCACCTGTAATCTAACCTGTGCATGAGAAGTTGTAATGTTCAGGTATTGAAATTCATCATTTACAATGCAGCTGTATGCAATCTGGCTAAGTGGCACTTGGCGGTGACTCGACTTGATCGTGTAAAGATGCGAGTTCAAATCCCTGTCGGGTTGAGGAAACTCATTCCTCGTGGGTTATTGACATGGGTACGTACCAGATTGGTCAGTTAACAGTGCTCATCCTATGGTGGGACTGGCCTATGCCACAGTAACTAAACTATATATTTTTTTACCATGTAAGGCCCACTGAGCTATGTAGCTCTTTTTCATAAACGACCTGGCCATAAATGATAGGTCAACGAAGTGGCTTATCGCGTGGAAATGTATCGCAGCCAAATACTCCAAAACGCATGTTTCTAAATGAGGGAAAAATTTGAAGACCCTGAGAAAAATCCACGCGACCACTGGTAAAGAAACATGCAAACTCCAAATACACAGCAGGCGTCAGGGTCGGGATTGAACCCACTATTTCCTGCATACCAGGCGAGGTAGTTAACATCTCGCTACCGTGGCGCCCCAGCCTTGTCGTGTCGCCCCCAATTCGCATCGACATGAACAGAGATGAGTGCTGCAGGCCTCATAGCTCTTGTGAATAGAAACACGAAACAGCTGACTTTAAAGTACAATTTCTTACCTATACACTGTATCGTCAGCAGCCGTGATCAATCCCCGGTCCTATGATGTAGCCTTGCACGTTCCATCTCCATGGTGGACAATATGCTCTGGGTGCAGGCCAATCAGTTTCAAAGAAAAATGCGTATATTTTCAGAGCATATTTGTTTGCATGTTCTGCCACAAGTTCGTGTGGTCAATGCAGAGTTGATTCCTTGCAAAAAGTTTCTATTCGGTGGTTGAACATCTTAACACCACCTGTTTTATTGCCAGAAAGGGTAAAACCAATTCCTATTTTTATCTGCCTGCCAGTGACGTCTCATAGCCAAGCCAAGTGAACTTGTTAACTGTGCATTAACTTGTTAACATAGGAAGCAAATTGGAGCCCTGAACTTGGTAGGCAAGAGTCTACCACTGTCATCTGAAACCTGTCATCGTTTTTGGAATTTGTCCATTCCTCATTCACTTTCCTTTCCAGTTCCTTAAAAACCTGTTTTCAAACCCATGCACTGCTGTGGAGCATAATGGGTAAGAGCATATTCAAGCAGAAATCCGTTATGTGTCTTAACATAAGTAGTTTTAATTACTCCTATTGACTTTTAAGACCAATATTATCCAGCAGCATTCGTTCAAGCAAGAACGTTTCGAAACTGGTCCAGAGTTTGCTTGCTTTAACGATTAGTACGGTTGTCTGCGTACGGTGTGAAAGAAGTTCAACATACATACGCACACATTCTCGATAATATTGGTCTGCAAAGCCAAGAAAAGAGGCCGATGGACTTAAAGATCTGAACATCCGAGGCAGATGTTGACCACAGCATTGCCCCCTGCATCATCATTGTTATGAGTCGCTAACCCCTCTAGTATAAAAAAAAATAGTGTTTACAATTTTTATTCGATTCTTATTTTTTCATACTTCGATACGGGCAAAAAGGTCACATTTGTTGTTTTAATAGTCCCCTCTCGTTGCCATCCCAGCTTCGCAACAACAAGACCCCCGCATCAATGTAATGCCAGGATTTGGGCACAAGGAGGCGGGTCATCCACACGGGTAAAGTGGCTCACATCCAACATCGGTTTCTCACCGGGTGTCCACTTGGGAGGAGGAGGATGGGTGGGTGGGTCGGGGGTCATCGCTCCATGTGGCTGCGTGTGAAAGTGTTAATCGGAGATATATAATGAAATAATCACACACACTCCCTCCCCTTTGTTTCGAGACAATGCATTCATACCAGCCATCCACTCCGCATGCCCCCTTTTCCAAAACAAGTGAGCCGGTGAGTGTGTTCTTCCGATGTTGTATTCTGGACTGTCGTATCGTAATGCCACGCGCGCAATCACGTGGCCGTGGTTGTGTTGTGTTGCTGATAACACACGTGTGGAACTCATTACGTGTGCGAGTGGACCGTGGGGCAGTTTAGACACACGTGTGTGTGTGTGTGTACGTGTGTATTCGTATGCGCACGTGTCCTCATGGTGACCTCTTTATCGTGTTATCCACCATTATCAGACGGTCCGGAAAGTAAGACGCACCCTATGCTTCATGTGCCTGGTGTCAATCGACTTTTACGAATCTGGTCTCACGCAAAGACTACCCCCCCGTAGCGAATTATAAGACGCACTCACGACTTTAGCACTAAAACAGATGGGGGTAACGTGCGTCTTATAATCCGGATAAAAACCGCGACCTCTTGTTCACACAAACATATATTTCGAGTCTGAGAGCGCTGATGTGTGTGTGTGTAATGTAACGAGTAATTAATTACGTGTGTGCACGGTGTGATGTGGTTTATGTGCATCTCTGGCACGAGTTGAACACTTTCAATTGTAAAACCTGTTGGAGGTAACAACGTACAAATCCTGCAAGTGGCATGCACTTGGGATGCGATGGTGTCACGATTGATAAATAATGTACTGCAATGTCTTGTGTCCGTAACACGTGTGCCGTGCCGGCCTTCATATGTGCTACTCGCTGACAGCACTTGCCCCTAACAGACTGGGAAGGCTACACGGGGGGTCTTTGTCTTTGTAACGCGTATCTTGCACCACAGAGAGGAACTGCGACTCTTGAGTACTGACAAACGACGTCTCATTGGGACCAGAGACTTTTTGACTACTGAACAACTTTTATTGCCGCCAGCAGCAACAGCACTGGAGTCGATTCCGATATGAAATACACAAAGTCACCAGCAAACAAATATACAAACGCTGTAAATTCACGTACTGTGGTGCTAAATGCACCGCGCACAACACGTGGTGGTGGCAGTGAGAAATCTACCGGTTATAGAAACTCGGGATTTAGTCGAGCAATGCTTGTAATGGGCACGCAGGGAGTTAACCGATTTAAAATATGAAGCCGTTTTTTCACTCCAGCACCAATGTTAAATGGGAGTACAATACGAGCATGATTTCTTCATGATTACAGCGATTAGCTCACAGTAGATCTTATTGTACTCGCCGTCGGATATTGTTTACTTGTTTCGACACAACGCAAGGCAAGTTGTATTGAAGGGCACTGCTCAGAACTACATCGCAGGGCTCAGTTTATTATCGAATTTTTTCCAGGGACCG